GCTTCACCAAGCAAACCCATCTTGCGCCAACCACCAAAGACATTGCTTCGAAAGGAATCGCGGACTTGTTTCTTATATACATATGGAAATTGCACGGAACACCAAAGAAGGTGATCTCTGATCGTGGAACACAATTCGTGTCCAAATTCATGCAAGAAGTCTCAAAAAGACTGGGAACCAAATGGTCTATGTCGACCGCATATCACCCGCAGACAGATGGACAGACAGAACGAGTAAACCAAGAAGTGGAACAATACCTTTGAGTGTTTATGTCTTACCGTCAGAACGATTGGGCATCATGGCTTCCCATTGCAGAATTCACGCATAACAACTCCATTACTGTAACTGGACACTCCCCTTTCAAATGCCTCTACAGCTATAATCCCAAATTCATCATCTCCCCTAATTCCTCCAACACCGTTCCATTAGCCGATCAAAGAGTAGCAGAAATGAAGGAGGCACAAGATGAAGCGAAGGCAACGCTAGAAATCGCCAATGATCGGATGAAACACTTCTATGATTGAGGAGTAAAAGACACACCAGTTTTCGAAGTAGGACAAAAGGTTTGGCTAGACGCCAGAAATATCAGACAACGACGACTGAGTCAGAAATTATCGGATCATCGCCTTGGTCCCTTCGAAATAATTGAACGAGTAGGCGAATTGAACTACAAATTGAAATTACCGGAATCCTATCAAATTCACCCGGTTTTCCATGTAGAACTACTCACCGCTCATAAAAACTCGTCATTAACAACTCGCACTGCACCAGAGCGTCCACCCCCTGAAATCATGGAAGGAATGAAAGAATACAAAGTAGAAGCAGTAATAGCCAGCAGAGTACAGCGAAACCGGTTGCAATTCTTATCAAAGTGGAAAGGATATCCATTAGAGGAAGCAACATGGGAAAACAAAGAAAACCTAAAAAACTCCCCCAGATTAGTCAGTGAGTTTTACGCGGCAAATCCCGATGCACCCAAATCGCGTCAAATTGCAAGCGCAATCATTCCGATCTTACAAACTCCTGATTTCTTAGAATGGAGACAGAAGAATATTCGACCATCCTATGTTCACGAGGACGCTCACCTTAAAAAGGGGGTAATGTCACGAATTCCAAACACGAATCATTTTTCATTTCTCAGTTTTCCTTCGGCTACTGCCTGTACCCGAACCGGTCACGTGACACCTTCACCACTTCACATTTCACCAGTCACATCTCCAATCGGATCCCCTACGCCCAGGGCTAGAACCATATGTCTTCCTATCACTTAATCTCCGTCTCTGACATCATTGCTTATATATCGCTACGTCATGCGCAGTATCATACGATTCTTTCTCATTGGCTGATTATTTACAGACTCAGATATCTCCGACTCAATGTTATGTATATAGGTAGGGTAGTTAGCGTAGTTTCTCTTTAGACTTAACCTCTTCGTTCCTACCCAGTGTAGACTCAGACGTTTACCTCTCAATCTATCTGATTCTCTCATCCTTGACGAGTCCTAGTGGTCGTGTGATACCTTTTGCCATTAGGTGAAACGTTGATCATAACAGTCAATGGGGACAAAATTCAGGAACTTGGCTCAATCTGGGCAGAAATTGGATGTTGTACCAGAGTCTATGATAGCATCACGGCACTCAGCAGGTATCTTCATCTGTTCTGCAATGATGGCAAGATCTGATGTTGTGAAGGCATAGTTTGATTCTGGATCAGGGGCAGATGCAGCGGTATTTGCTCCTTCCTTTGGTGAGTTGGTACCTTTCTTCTGGCACTGATTCAGCCCTTGACCCTCTTTACCTCCTCCTGGCCTCCAGCAGCCACTCTTATAATGGCCTTTCCTATCACAGTTGTAGCAAGTCATGTCTGTGTTAGCCTGGATTCCAGCAGGCTTGTGTCCCTTTCCAGGGTCGCCCTTGGCCATTAGAGCTGTGTTTCCACCTTTCTTCGAGCCACATCTGTCTGTGAGGAGCCTATGCTCATGCTCTTTGGAGACAACATTAATCAACTCATAGGGGCTGAGGGGGTCTACATTATCTTTGCAGCAGCATTAATTGATGAAAGCAGGGGTCGGTATGACTTGGGGAGAGATCCCAATAGGATCACATAAAAGTCTCTATCTTTGATGGCGGTGCCCATACCTGCCAATGACTCACAGAGCTGAAGCATCTCACTGAAATGAGCCTTCACATCACTGCTTTCTTCACACCTTGTCTCCTGCAATTGATGACACAAGTCAATTTGCACGAGCTCAGTTTTACCCTCATATATGTTGCATATCTCAGCCCAAATCTTTGAGGTGATCTTGAGCTTTGAATGTGAAGCAATATCTGATTGGTAATAGTGCTGAATATTTGCTGTTTAACGAGTGAGTTCTTTTGATAGAACTTGTCAATTCTCTTGTCTAACTCCTTGATCTCAAGCTGCATGGGCATGGTACCATCTGGCTTCATGACCAGGCTTGTGTCTGGGTCGATGGTGAACAGAACAGGCTTGAGTGCCAGCCATCAATATAACACATCAGGCCTCACTGCACCAATCACTGTTAATGTTCTCTCCTTGTAGGTTATCCAATTTGTGCTGTCTTCAGCAAGTTTGGGACATTAAACAGAGCAGAGTTGGAGCTGGGGAGCATAGTATCCATGATCGTGGCAGGGCTCATAACCTGTGGTTATGCGAGCCACTTGGAGATGGGAAAAGGAGAAAGCTAGTAAGAATAATCTCAGTTGCTTGATAGGAACTGAGATGTTTGGACGCGAAGGTTTGTTGCTTTATAGTAGTTAGCATAGTGATATAAGTGATATAAGAAATCTATTGTAGCTAGGAAAAGAATGATACTTTGCATATATGAATATTGGCTCAACATCATCACATTATCCATTCCTCATTGCGGTTGTGTTCGCAATATCATCCTGACAGTCCAGCTACTTGTCTGACTCCTCTGATCCCAACAAGATGTTGGTATGACAAGTTGTAATGGTGGTGGATTTTCTTCCTCAACAGCTGCCTGCTGCTGACTATTAGGCATATCCTTGAGATTTTGTGGAATAAAAAGCTTTGAAAATTGGGTGTCTGACTGCAAGGTTGTAGACTGGCTGAGTGTCATATACCAGATCTGACCACTTCTGACATCACTTGCATCCGCACTGCCTGACCCTACTTCATTCCACTTTCCCCTTACTTCCACTCCACTCATCCCCACCCCAACCCAGTTGTTTCACCCAGTTGTACCAGATTAACCAGCATTCCCACTCAGCCACCTCAGTTGGTTTACTTCCCACATAGGTTCTTTCAACTGGACCCCTTTCCCCATTTAGGTATATACATCTCCCATCAGTACATAGCCATTCCTTTTACATAGCCATCCATAGCCTTCTGCTATGTACTACTGATCACTGCCTCCTTACCTAGAGTATATAACATTCTGTACTTAGTCTGTGTTCTGTAGTCTTAATATTACTTTGTCTTCACCAGTTTCTACATGAGTAGTCAAATAAAGAAATAGTTATCACTGCTTGACTTGCTCCCCTTTGATATCCTCAATTTTGTCCTTTCACACAATGGCATTCTCTCCACATTGGTGGAACCTCAACTGGGCCTGATATACATTGAATCACAACTGTGTTGAAACAAAGGCAGAGATAGGTGAGCATAGGTATGATGGGGCACTGCTGCATGAGCATGAAGACACAAGTGGATGTGCAGTGCAGGAGGGGGCATGGTTGACTGGTGTAGCCTCAGATAGGCAGCAGCAGGGGCATAACATCCACAGCAATGGGAAGGTGATGGTGATGATGAGGTAGTATATAAGCAGATAAAACCCAAGATATCAAGATTACCCAAAACAGGTAGTCCGTGGATGACAGTGACAGTTCAATACACATCAGAAAAGAACTTTTCAGTCCTTGTATTTTGATGGGAGTTGGTCCTATGATGGCTGGGACCAACTTTTGTCAGGATACAAGGACCAAAAGAACTGTGTGTGACCAGGACTGACTTGTCCGTGTTTTACAAGGATTACCTGATTTGGAAACCACATGAGTTCTCTTTTTCTTTTCGGATCACCCCAAAGTGGTCAATGTTTCAATTGTGATACAAGGTCACATGTATGCCTAGATACTAAAAACTCAAGATTTGGTATAGACTTCTGTAGGGAATAGTGTGCACTATGACAAGAAAGCTCAAATCAACATATATACTTGTAGAATCAACCTGTAACACTTCAAGAACATTGAAAATAGCATTTATGATATCCCCCTATCATACTACACATATTGTAGATCATGGGTGGCATTGTGTAGCACACTATGATATGTTTTTACGTCTTTTTCATGTGTTTTGTATACTTTCCCACATATGTCCCACCTCTACATTCCTTCCACAACTCTTAGCTTAGTGTCCTATTGCTCAGGAGTGTATCACTGGTCGCTTATAGGTATATTACATGTGTTCTAACTCTCAGATCTCAAATCTATGTTTGATTAATCCTCCAGAACACTGATCTTCTCATATATCCCCTATCCCTATGAAATCAAACCATCGGCCTCCTGGAGCTATGAGACTGTGTTAAAATGTCATCTAGAGTGTGTATAGCATATATATGAGTATATAGTCCCATGTACAGTGTATGATGATGCATAAAATCATTAAAAATGCGAATTACATTGTTTTAATAGAACTGATTGCCTAATGGTAGCTGGTAGCAAATAAAAGCGGTCAAGTATGTTCTATGATGTATATAATGGCTAATATACATGATATATATGAGCCTACTACACAGGAGGGAGCAGGGGGAGGCTTGGAGGCTGGGAAACATTGATATTATGAGACTACCTAATCGAGTAATGTTTTGGGCGGTAGTACTCAGCCACTACCGCTTTGGGGCGATCCGAAAAGAAAAAAGAGAACTCACGTGGTTTCCAAATCGGGTAATCCTGGACAAGTCAGTCCTGGTCACACACGGTTCTTTTAGTCCTCGTAGTTCCATCAGCGGTTATCCCCCGATGGCCTCACCACCTAAACCTTGGGAGCGGGGCGCAGCAGCAGCAGCCCCAGCAGCGACTATCCCTACCACGCTACCATCAGCTACGACGAGCTCCTCTTCACCAGAACCTCCTTCAGTGCCTGCACGTCCCCCAGTGTTCTCCAACCCATCTACATCTATCGCATCACCCTATAATTCTTTGCAGTCATCCTACAATACTCCATATTCGCCGTATTCGCACCTTGGGTCCTCGTACTACCTCCCCATATGGCTCGAGTATGTACGGTGGTTATGGCGGAATGGGCAGCGCCTACGGTACTGGGTACGGTGGTTATGGCATGAATAGCATGTATGGCGGCATGCCCGGAATGGGTGGAATGGGTGGAATGGGCAGCATGGGCGGGATGGGCATGTACCCTGGTATGGATCCCAACAATCCTTCCCTTACACAGACCCTCGAAACCACAACCCAACACACCTTCTCCCTTCTCCACTCCATCGTCCAGACCTTCTCGGGCGTAGCGCAAATGATCGAATCGACATTCATGGCGACGCATAGCTCATTTTTCGCAATGGTCGGCGTCATCGAGCAGTTCAGCCACCTCCGCAATGCCTTGGGAAGTGTATTAAGCCTGTTCGGTCTTTTACGGTGGATGAAGGAGCTCATCACGGGGCGCCAGAGTTCTACAAGCTCTATACAGGGCGAATTTAGAGAATTCGTCAATGGCAAGCCCGTTCAGGGTCCGATGGGTCCCCCTGCTGTCAAGCCCAGCCGAAAACCCATCATCATATTTTTACTCGCTATTTTCGGCGTTCCATATGCCATGACGAAGCTCATAAAAATTCTCAATGAGCGCACTATGCAACAGCAGCAGGCCCAGATTGGCCCCGGTCCACTGGGCCTCCTTGACCCATCAACTCTTACATTTGCACGCGCACTATATCCATTCACGCCTTCATCTCCATCCGAGCTTGCGCTCAGAGAGAATGAAATCGTCGCTATCATGGGCAAGCTGGATCCCAGCACCGGTGTGGAGGTGGACCCACGGTTGGAGGTGGAGAGTGAGTGGTGGAAAGGTCGGACACGCGAGGGTCGCGAAGGGTGGTTCCCGAAGAAGTGGGTCGAGGTTCTCGAACGACGAAAACCTGCTGAAGAGAGCAAGAAGGTGGTTTGAGTATATGAGATTGGCTTCCTGTTCAGTCATTATTTACCTTTTTTCGACTTCAATCGTTGCTTTTTGATTGATAATGTGTCTCAAATATACAGACGCAGAGTGTACATCACCCTAATTGTACTTGATGGCTCCCACGGCTGGCGCTGATACTATCATAGCTTTGCCGTACCCAATCGCGCGACAAGTGCGGAAGACTACCAAATGGTGCACAATTTTGTACGCCATTAAGTTTTGACGCGTTCTATTCTGATCGATTTCCGGTATGTACCGGCAATGCCACCCAACTTATCTGAGAGAGGCCAATTATCTCAGGTCTTTTAAGTTAGGCGAGGACTTTGCAAACGTTCTGATAAATTTTCGAGGGGGTAGATACGAGTAGCAGGCGCAGGGTGCCGTTGATTAGCACCGCTTCAGCGATAATGAGGTCCCCGGAACTTCCGCCACTACTCATTACCAATTACCACTTTACTTTTTTACCCTCCTGTTGCGATTCACGATAAGCAAGCGCAGCAAGGTCATTGACCGAGAAATATCCTTACTGGCTCGCTCTCGCTGACATCCATGTCGTCATCCCGTTCTCTTTTCAGAATAGCGGAATCCATATCCATTGTACTTTCATCTCCCGCAGACTCCGAAGAACGTCCGGGTATAGGGCAACGCCATGCGCTTATCTTTGAATCCTCGCCACCTGTGACGAGAATTTCATGCTGTGTTGCTGGTAAGCATAAAATATCGCTGGACCAAGTAGACGTACATTTTCATCCCAGAAGACTGAACGGACCACCCCAGTGTGCCCACTAGCCCATACCGAATTTATTGTCCATGGCGCAGATGAGTCTGTTACATCCGAGCTTGAGAGGAGGGCCACGTCTCCCCTACGCGAGGATGTTACATCAGAGGACAACGCCATGATATGCCACATACTCATTCGAACCAACAAATACAGCGAGGTTACTGTCAGATCGTTTTGTATTTTGACACGTTATAAGATAGTCGGTAACCCAAGTTCGCCCATGGCTATGAACGGACGGGTTGCGAATGTCACAGTTCTGCAACATGTCAAGCTTTATACACCTTCATGAGAATCAAGTAGATCAATGGATAGTGGGAACATACCTCATTTGACCAGCAGCTGAATGTTTCCATATCGCTGGCAGCCCAGACACGATTAGTCGACGAGCCGCGGATCCATCCTGCTTGGGATATGCTACAACCCCAGCTCCCGACGTTCAGAACCGCTTCATCTTCATCGTCTTCCGCAGAATTTGATGTGCTAACCAGACCATCGGTGGAAGCTGATAGCAGGATCTGTCTAGACGTTGGAGATGGACTATTTTTTAGAAAGTGCAGTGCAGTAATGTCGTCTGAGTGTGTCGAGCCGTGAACACGGAGTGGCACAGCTGGTTTTCGAGGGTCCCTTCGATTTCGTTTTGAATTTCATAGTCTATGCAAAGAAGAGTAGGACCTACCAGTAGAGTATGAACGCATCCTCCTTCTGTAGATCTGTCCCCGCAGCAACCGTCAAGCCATTATGAGAAGCATCACAAGACAAAAGGGTGCGAGATCTGCCAGATGTTGTCACTAGTTACCAACAGCACTCTTGAGTTGTCAAACGTGAAGGTCCAGTATTAAAATATGAAACACATACTTGTTATGCTCGAATCACCAGAACGTTCATCCCAGGCAATCACGCAGCCATCCTTACCCGCAGATAGAAGCATATGTCGATCTGATCCACCAATGCCTCTAACCGTTCGCAAGGCCGTAGTGGCGCTTTCATGACCTTTGAGGGTCTGGACGCATTGCAAAGATGACTTGTCAAAAAGATGAATTGCATTTGAGGGAGAAGAAGCAGATGAAACATAGTTATTTCCCAGCGATGTTAGTGCAAGAACATAACTTCCATCCGGGTGATTTGTGGACTTTATTGCTGAAGAGATCGTCTTGAATGAAGGAGACTCGAGTAACGACTCCATAACTGTTCAAACGTTGAAGCTCAAGCGCTCAAGGAGCGCACCAGATCATCCAATAACATTGCAAGATCACGTCAGCAGATTATCTAGCCTCACGACGAATTTGCCTCGTCACACCTATCAGACTGATTCTTATTTCTTAACCACCACCCAAGCGCCTAGGCCTAGGTACCTTGTCCGCCGCAGCTGTTTTTTTCTCTAAACACCCACGCTCCTTTCAATCCACATTCGTTTTTATCCTTGCAAGACTAGCAAAGATTCCCAAACCTGAGAATCTATTCACCAGCACCAAGAATAAGCATTTCACTGTATCACTTTCTGTTCTACTCCCACTTTCAACATGACTCGTCGTGGTGAGTCGTTAGCCGCTTAGATCTCGCGTGCGAAGACCTAACACATCATATAGTTCCCCGTATTCACCGCCTCCCTCAACGTCTTGACTACAACTTGATTCCTGCGCCTTTGGGTGCGTGTAAACGCATATATTAAATCCCAACATTAATCCCATTACTACAGATCTATCTCTTCCGCTGGCCACGGAAAAGTCTCCATTGCCAGCGATCATTGTTACCCCATCCTCTCCAGCAGCCGACGCTCCTGAGTACTACATTGCGTTCTTAACACCTCCCCCAAAGCCTACGCTTCGTGATCGCATCTCCGAGTATTCTCCTTTTCAGCCACAGCTGCCACTCAAGGCTCGAACCGCTATCATCATTTCGCTCATTATCTTCATTCTGATCTGCCATCTTCTGGTTCACCTCGCTCTTCGCCGTTCACACTTCAATTTCATCGCATCCTCTGATAACGTTTCGTCATTCAAAGCGGATTATCGTCAGCCCCACAATTCACTTTGGGACTTGTTTGCCTTGGATTTCAAATCTTTATGGAGCGGACCGATGGCAGGAGACGCGCGAAATTTCATCATCGAAGATTTTTCACAGCCAGCGCATCGCTAGATGCTGGCAGGTTCGCCTTGGGTCCCCCCTATTTCGTGATTTTCGATATATAGACTTTGATACAATGTCTACTCTTGTTCTTCACCATGTTCCCATGCACCAACTAACAGACACTGCTATCTTGACTAACCTGCTTATTTCATTGGTTCGCAGTTTCATTGAATTTTTTCGTATGTATTTATTGATTTGGTTGTGGAACTCTAAATGTTTGGCTGAAGTCCTCCCCTGTGTCGTGATAATTGCACAGCAAACCCTTGGCTTCCTATTAGTTCAGGCTCATCACCTGAACCCTGCACCATTCTGCACATGTTCACAACACTCTGACTGTATGAGCCTCATGTACATTCGACACCTGTCCAGTTTGGTTGCCATGCTTGTACGAACAACCAATGGATTTCATGGTAACTCATAACATAGAGTTCGCTCCTAATACCCAGTCATGTCCTCAAACAGTTTATAAATAATTCTTTCGCAGTAAGCAATTAATTTTTAAGTCGAGGTTCTCAAGTTATCTCACTCAATGGTGATGCAGCACCCTAACAGTCGCCCGTCTCGGGTCGCATACTTGGAACGCAGACAGCATTCACTCGCGAGTCGGACTAGCCCACAATTTTGCTCCATATGGCAATCAGATGGTGTTTCTATCGTAATCCTTTGCCTTACTCACGCTTGCTTCGCTTGTTACAGCAGGTTACAGCAGGCCTTGATAACGACTATTAAGTACGATCGTGTTGTCACTTGAGCAGCCTACTCACTTCCTTGATTACTCCATAACACTCGTTTGTTTCTGCCCCGCCCCCCTTCCCCTCGTTATTCCGAAGCTTCCAGCTACGACAAGACAGCAATGGCTTCCAGAGGCATGTTCAATTCTGTATCTGTATCTGAGTGTTGCTATCTATCGTCATCGGGGATCATCTCAGGGGAATGTCAAACCCCTTCCTCGTCTTCACAATCCCCTGTAATCGCTTGTCCTCACCCTGACGTGGCTATGCCAAAAATTCAATCCTCTAGTCATGCGCTTTTCAACCGACCTTCCCAATCCCCCTCTTCCGCTCGTAACTCCACCAGTCACAGCATGATGATCTCGTTGCCATCCTTGTTGAGTCTACCTGTGACGACCACATCATCCTCGTCGTCTTCATTTACGACCAGCAGCTCTGCCACATCACATATTGCAGCCACGCGAAGAGATATTGGTGGTGGTAATGTTGATGTTAGTGGTGATGGTAATGGTAATGGTAATGGTAATGGTAATGGTGATGGTGATGGTAACGGTAACGGTAACGGTAACGGGAATGGTAACCCCCCTGAGAAGCCTACATCCCTTCCGACGCCAGCACCATCTTCCGCGACCACTGAAGACAACAAGCCGACAACCAAGACCAGCAGTAACGGAACACCACCTAGCCATGATTCATCTGAAACGACGGCAATAGATGCGCCGATCATATACTCTCCAGCAGCGACCGTCACTTCATCTTCTGTCACGTCAAGTGCGCAGGACGTCTCCATTGTCCTTACAACAGTGAATGGAATGCCAATTACAGCAATTGTCAGGTGCGCTTCAGAAACTAGGATCGATATGCAGTTGATGTTTAAGCATGATTTAGTGGCACTTTGACCACTTTAGTTTCACCAGCTACCACTCAACAACCCCACCAACTCGTTTCACAAACTTATACAGCGGTGACCACTGTCACTTCCCAATGGACCTCTGAGGGGCAAACTTACAAGACGACGATGACGTTGGGGCCTGGGAGTGTCAATCCTTCGCCCACTGAACCTGCCACAACCGCTATGTCTACATCTAACACCAGGTGAGCATTTGAATGCGCCTAGTCTGACCAATTCTAACTTATTCTCGTTGAAGTCTTCTTCCAGTGATATTGGGACTAGTTCCCGGAATCGCCCTTCTTGTCGCCCTCAGCGTACTATTCTACAAATACTGCATTCGCCGCCGCCGAGGCGCTGGGTCATACCCTCAGCCTCCACCAGATCATGAAAACCAACATGACTGTACAGAGTCGTTGCTACGGGGCCCAGCTCCACTGATCGCAACACCAGCTATACCGCGGCTGGGAAGACGCATTACTGCTCCCCCACCTGTGAGAACGAGATCCGCCTGGCCATCATCATGGATATGTCGCTCAGCGGACAATTCATCGCAGATCAGTGAGGGAGTATCGAACCCTTTTGCGGAGGGTTCTATCAGAGTTTCTTCACGGACCACTGCGCCTCCACGAACCAACAACTCTGTGGAAACCGCTTCCACCCAAATGCTATTTAACTCTGACGTGGAGTCAACCTTGTTCGAGAGCAGTACGCTTCATACAACCGACATCTCGGAGTTGAATATTCTTACTCCCATTCCCTCGATTGATGCGAGGTCGACATATTCGTCGTTTATTTCTCCCACTGGTCACTATCGCGAGCGGCTGCGCCGACCTGACGGATCGAGGGAAGACAGAATAGAGAGGACATCAATGGGCGTTTCTCCCGCTAGTGGGCGCTTGAGGGCTCTATTGGACGAGGCATGTGGGAATTAGGTGTAGAATACGGTTGATAAACATTCAGCACAATAATTTAAACACGCCCCAATTGGCAAGTTGAAGACCTTACGGTCTACTCGGACCTGGACCTGCGTGGACATTGGCGTGGGAATACACAGCACACATAGAAAGGTTCCGTTTTTGGAAGTTTGTCCCTCCCTGCCCAAAAATCTAGTGGTCGTTTGTTGTTGGCTTGGTTGTCCTTCTAGCTTGCGACCTAGTCATCATGGACGCGCTCTTTGTACCTCTCGCTTCCGCGATTGGTGCTTCCGTTGACCAGATCAAGGTGGGATGCACTCCTCTCATCATACACATGTGAAGCTAACTCGATTTGATTTTATCTTTGCCAGCTCATTTCATGTCTACTAATAGCATGCCCTCTCGGAAGTCTATTCATTCGTATACCATCATCTCAGCCAAATCTAAAGCATTGCTTCAATCTACTCGTCTCGGTTTTCTTTTTCATACCAGTTCTAAACCTGTCATGGGGCTTTGCCCAGTTATTAGGCAGTGTTCTTGGAACGTATTACATCGCGGGTAATGTAAAAGGCCCTAATATGCCATGGATAGTTTTCGTGTATGTTTTTTTTTCTAAATCCAGGAGGTGTGTCCTCACTGGACTTTCCGCAGCTTCGTCATGGGCCATCTCACAATCAAGTAAGGGATATAAGAGGCGTTTGGATGGCGCACTGATTTTTTCCCGCTTCAAGTCACATCATACGGGCATTTTACAACCTAAGCTATGAAACATTTGAAGTGACAGGCCCTCAGATGGTGCTGACTATGAAACTTACGACTTTCGCCTGGAATGTCTGGGATGGCAGGACGGCTCCTGAAGTAAGTTCCTCCTGCACGCTGCAATAACTCCTGTTGATTCACCGCACATTCAGAATCTAGACAAATGGCAATTTCAAAAGCGTGTCACGAAGTATCCCACACTGCTCGAGTTTCTTGGATATTCGTAAGTCCTATCGGATCTATCTTGCCTTCGGATGACGGATATTTTGGGCAGCTTTTACTTCCCGGGTATCCTAGTCGGCCCATATCTTGACTATGCGTCATACATGTCCTTAATAGACGAATCGCTCTTCAAGTCTGCCGAAGGCAAGCGTGCCAATTCAAGCAGGTCCATTCCAGATGGCAGAAAACGAGTAGCATACCGCAAGATGCTGACTGGTTTGGTCTTCTTGGGAATCTTCGTGGTTTTGAGTCCCTCGTTTTACTACGGCATTGCGATCACCCCATGGTTCATGACCAACGGATTTCTCTATAGGTCCGTCTCCCTGCATTCTGTGCGATGATTTACTGATGTACTGGATGAAGGATGGCGTATTTCCAATTGTGTGGATTCATTGAGCGGTCCAAGTACTATGCGATTTGGACGCTTACAGAGGTGCGTTTTTGTGTGCTGACATGGACGCAATACTGACGTGGGCGACCAGGGTGCAAGTATCCTGACTGGTTTAGGGTTTACTGGGTATGGCCCGTCAGGCGAGTCCATATGGGACGGTGCCGCCAACGTCAAAATCCTCGAAATCGAGCTCCCTTCGAACTTCAAAGTTCTGCTTGATTCATGGAATATCAACACCAACATCTGGCTGAGGGAATGCATATACAAACGTGTAACTCCTAAAGGCAAGAAACCTGGTTTCCGCAGCAGCATGTTAACCTTTGCCACGAGCGCCTTCTGGGTAGGTGGTTGAGAATCTATGCATGACCTGTGCTGATCATCTTGTAGCACGGCATTGCGACAGGTTACTACCTGACTTTCTTCTTCGGTGGATTCATCACTACGGCAGGCCGCCTCTGCCGTGCCAACCTACGCCCCTTGGTACTACCCCCTCCAGGAGTACCCACGACAACGACGAAACGCATCTATGACTGGGCTGGCACTTTAGCCTCTATCCTCATTCTCAACTACGTGGCAGCGCCATTCATGCTACTTACCTTTACCGATTCTATCGGGGCTTGGCATACCCTCCATTGGTATGGCTTTTGGATGGTTTTCCCGACGATCGCTTTCTTCTGGTTTGGTGGTTCCAAGTTCTTGAAGGCCCTGCAGAAGAAAGAAGGAAAAGCTACTGCTGAGAAGGTCATGACGCCAGAATCTCACGTTATGCCACCACCTCTAGATGATGTGGCAGAAGAATTGAAGGAATTGCAGAAGAGAATGAAATAGTGGGCAGAGTTTGGGTACTTATTTGCATAGACCGATACCGAGATTCTATACCAGTTTATACTTACTGCTAGACAATTATCAGGATTCAAAACTTTACATATTTGTCTCGGACTTCTGGATCACTTTTCACTCCTAATATCGCATTCCTGAAGTGGTGCCTTCGTAGCAAAAGCGTGCGCTTGAACATAGGCAATGCATAGGTGGGGCATACAGAATATTGGAGTCAAAAGGTGAAAAGATAATGGTTCGTAGTATACCCATAATGCACATGCAACCACAGACTGCGACATCCTCCGTGCTGAATATTTTGTGAGCCTCTTATACTTTGAAGCCACGAGACTTTCGGCGACCACGGGCACGCTCGAACTGAGGGAAATGTGTTAGATAAAACAATATCTTAAGACGACGATTAACACGTACTTTGCGACCCTTGGAGGCGGTATAAGGCTTCTTGTTCTTGTGAGGACCCATGCCAAAGTGCTTGACAGCCTCGCGAGTGTTCCTCTTCCCCCGTAGCAACACAGTGTCGGAACCTGTCGGTGCACGAAGTGCGAGCTGATCCAACGTCAATGCCTCACCGCCAGCATTGAGAATACGCTCCTTTGCTGCACGCGTGAATCGCAGAGCAGCGACTGAGAGCTTGGGGATCTCGACGAGACGAACGTCATCGGTGACGGTGCCAACAATCACGACAACTTTTGAGGCAAGATCAGGAGTGGCGGCGGTTTCTTTAACAATTCTTGACAAAGAGATGGGGGGACGGTTGATTTTGGAGAGGAAGAGGCGATGGAGGATAGCCTGAGTAGAAACTATGGTTCAGTAAAACAGCTAAACCACACTCAAGTATATTCGACCTTGTTGAAATCCGAGTCCGTCCGGCGCGCTAAAAATCTGTAGAGCTAAAGAACGTTTAGATCAGAGTTTCTGCAGCAATCGAACGTGCATACTTTGACGAGCAAAAGGAGGTAAGGGTCCTCGCTTTTGGGGGACGTCCGCTGGGCCTTCTTGACGTGGTGTGCCTTGAGGTCGATACCCTAGGGAGACGCACATTTCAGCATACTTTCCGGGCGTTGTTGGGGACGACGAGCTCACCATCTTGGTCTTGCCGATTTGTGCTGTTCGGGGACGGTGTACAGACAACAACGGAGGCTTGAAGAACTGTGCAGCACAAGCAAATAAGGTTTGATGCTCGGGAATTCGCGGGGGATGAAATTGAATTTGCCAAACAAATGACAAACAACGCCAAATTTTTCTTCAACTTCAACCGCCATGGTGCGTAATATTTTCGGTGCCCCAAGCGACTTCTTGTAACTTTTTGTTTTTTTCCGGTAGGATCAATACGGAGAACCAGCCGCTCCTTCAGTAGACCCTTACTCTGATGCGTACAATGCACCAGCACCCGCTGCTGCATCAGAAACTAGAGACCGGGACGCCCCTCCTGCACGCGGTCGTTCTCGTTCTCGGAGTCCTGGAGCCCGCAGCGCCGGTTACCGTAGTCCTTCTCACAAGCGCAGGTCCCCACCTCCTAAAAAACCAACACATGCTCCAATTGTACGTTCCACATGTTCCCCTCTTGTTTTGGCAAAGCGCTTATGAGGCAAAGAAGGCGCCTAACCCCTCCCAAGTTTTGGGGGTCTTCGGATTAAGCATCAGAACACAAGAACGGGATTTGGACGAGGAGTTCACTCGCTTTGGGAGAGTCGAAAAAGTTACGATTGTCTACGACCAGAGGGTACGGTGGTTTTTATTGTGCATTTTGTCGCCCTAACCCATGACACGTGTTTTTCAGTCCGACCGTTCTCGTGGCTTCGGCTTCATCAGAATGTCCACCACCGAAGAAGCTACTCGCTGCATTCAGGAACTCAACGGAATCGTATGTTTCTTCTTGATCTATGTTTTCTCCTTGCTGATCTCGCGCACAGGAATTGAATGGACGACGCATTCGGGTTGACTATTCTGTCACTGATAGACCACACGCACCAACCCCTGGGGAGTATATGGGACATCGCCGCTCAACCAGGGACAGCTACTCAGGCCGCGACTCGTACCACCGCGACTCTTACCGTGACTCGTATCGTGACCGCGATCACCGCCGTTCCGATCGCGATAAGGACAGGGACCCATACGGTCGTGATAGCCGTGATTGGCGCGATCGCCGTAGCCCTCCACGCAGTGGTCGTTACTCACCTGATTACAGGAGGCGCGGAAGCTACTCTAGGAGTCCTCCTAGGGGTAGCAGCCCTCGCAAGGATTATGATGGTCCTTCAGGCAATGGTGCAACAAGCTCCTCCAACCAGGCTGAGAACGGTAGTCGTTGGTGAAGGTTCAGCTGTCAGCGGACATTTCTTCAATATCTCGAAGGTGTGCCAGTCGTGGTCCCTTGAAACAGTTATCGATGGGCGAAAGCATGGACAAGAGGTCTCGTTCGTACAAGCACAAGTGATTGAAGAGGTTCATGGCGGTCATCCTCCAGCAAGCCTCAAGTTGGCAATGTTCTCGTTACTTCCCTATCTTGAAGAAAGCAAGACATGGTTCTCGCGTTCGCTATTTCAGACACAAAACCAAGTTCAAAAGTTCATTTCATCCTCGACTGTTTGCCTGTATCCGTTCCGCTTTTTCATATCGCTCTACTACTTTGTTCTACACTATCAACTTTCGCTTCCATGAAGAGTGGCAAGTCCCCGATTTGCGATTGCAAGAAAGGTCAGGCACAACAGTGGCGAATCAACATGCGCAGTCAAGGGAATGTTGGCAGGCTTGTGTGGAAGGCGTCACAAACCAGGCTGAGCGAAACTTGCGTTCACTCATCTTGGGCGACACGTTCTGACATTGATGATTGCTCTATCAGGAGGCTTAGCACATGCTTGACGTTATCGATTAACAAGCGATCAAGGGCGTTTAACTCAAGCGCTCGATGAAATCCATCGCTGCGTTGTCGGGAATCTCACGAACTCGTCGTAGCGAAATGTTTCGTCACTACGCCGGATTCGAGTTATTATCGACTATCAGAATGCACCGCTTTCGCTGATTAATCGCTAGTCCGTACATGTTATGGTGTTGACGCCGTAGCTGAGAGGGCTGTCGCTCCGGGTGTTTGCGACTATCACCTCGGAATGAATTAATTCTTCCATAGACGCCGAGTGAGTTCTTGAATTTCCACGACATTTTGATGGTCATTATGTCACCTGAAATCCAACCAGCACGACAACACCCCGTACTGCTTTTAATCCAGCATTCACGTACATCTTGAGCTAAAGCTCTGATTACAAGTGTGCTGTGGCAGGTTCGAACCCCCTCCCAAAGGCTGATCTTTTTGTACGTACGAAAATTTTGCTGCCGTGATATATATATCTAATTCTTCCGTCTACCAGGCGGTGTACAGGACCCCAACATCCCGTACACCATGACGGTGCATAAGTTTTCCTCAGGCGGGTGTTCCTACAGTGCACGAAGCACGTTTTCGGCAACTCAGAAATTCGAAACGCAGATTCGTTGCTGCAAGCTCAGAATTGTCGCTACCTCTTGCGAGAATCGAGCAAACGAAGCCTAGTATAGTGGTATGCTGAACAACTATATCTGATTTTCTTTTCTTTTTTTTGCCGACCAAAATTTGAGACTGGAAAAAAAAGATGGCCCAAACAGTGTATGTACGGGTACGAGGGGCGAATGACGTCGTGAACAGCCCACTGTGCGGGCGGCCAGTGCAGACATTTCTGCTGGAAGTCCAACACGGCGATGTGACTTGTATTTTTTCACAGCGAATGCTGTCTGTTGCGAGTCGAGGTCCTTGCTGCACTCTCGAAATCAGCACAAATCAATAGAATAACGCGATTTTGACACTGTTTTATAGTTTGTGTGGCCTTCTTAGAGAGGCGGGGCATTGTCAGGACTCAGGAGTAAGAAAGTTTCGACAAGTTAGCTATTGCCTATATCTGGGGCTTGCATTACAACGTGACACTTTTGTTACAATTGGTCACAGGCAGTCACACGAAAAAGCGTGACTGCCGACTTCTGTGGGATGCTGATTACACCGGAAGGGATAGTATTTTTTTCTTGCCATCAAAATTTGAGACTTTTTCAAACAAATGCCCGAAAAATCAGATAACATTTTTGCCTCCACTGTTACATAAGTACAAGTGAAAATTTTGTATTTAAACTGTTATTGAAGTCTCTCCAGAGTTGCTGCTTTTATGCTTCGTGCACTGCAGCAAACGCTGCTATAGACTTGATTGTGAAAAAAATGGACTAGTGTAAACAATTAGCAGTCACAAAACGGATGAAGTCACATACCGGATATCATAAGGATTAGACCTGATGCATATGAGCAGCAACCCAACCCTCAGGGACGATCATACGTCCTCCGGGTCCGTCAACATTATCGACGATTGCGAGATGACATGGCTCTGCGGATTTGATATGTGCTCGAAGGATATCGTGACGGCACTTGACGACTCCGCACACGGAGCAGCGCACCTTAACACCGAGGTGAGCAAGGATGTGTCTCGCCATGCTTCCATTCTTGAGCGTCTTGGAGCAGCCGCCCCATGTACAAATTGTGATGGCGCTGTCAGGACTAGTCATGCCGTGCCCACGTAGGTGGGCTGACACTGCACCGGTGGTTCCCTCCATACACATCCCGCAGGGGGTCCCCTGTAATTCACAGTCATACACGGTGACCGGTTGACCGCTTTGTTCCATCCGAAACAAGGTCTCGGGGTCCACCGTGACGGGAATGATATCGAGGGGCATGTATAAGCAGTGGTCGTCAGGGAGGAGCTGGCGACTGCTGTACCGTGGGTCAGCGATAGTCCAGTTATTGTTTGGGGACAGCCCAACATACCAGAGGGTGAAGAGTGCGTAAGTAGACAGGTGGGTGGTTCGAGATTTTTGACAAACTCGTGTCTCGATACGAGGCATTTTAAACCTTTGGGCGAGGTGGTGGCATTTTTTCTTCGCCTAAATGAACGAGCAACACTGGAATGAAGCACGACAGGGGCTACTGGTATGATCTTCTAAGGGGCAGTACTTACAAGCAGCAGGCGCTACGACTAAGCTGTATGATTTGCTACAATCAGCTGAATGTGCTTGCTCAAATGAGCAGTGATTAGGCAGCAGGCGATATTAGCGCAATCAATTGGATGAAAGCGCTCGCTCAAAGGAGTAGTACTTATGGAAGTAGGCGCTAGTAATATCAATCACATGGAAGTGCTCGCTCAGAGTAGTAGTCACTGGGTCGAGCATGGAAGCGAAGCCCAGACACTAGCGCTACATATGGTAGTCAGACCTCTAACACCATATTGTAAGTCCGAGGCACGAGGACTTACAAAGAATGAGGTCTACGTGACGACACAGCTTTTCGAGTTCTCTCACCCTTCTTGCTTCGTACTACCACGTAGTACTTGCAAGTCCTCTACTGATCGACTACACTCTCGTTTCGTCGCATCCGCCCTCCACTCCCCCAAAGCAGCCAGCGTCTCGTACGAATGTTTCATTAAAAACGTTCTATGGACAATTAGTTATTCTACTCGACGCATCTTGTTCGACTCTGACAGAATTCTTATGAAAGAATTCAGAACCGTGAGCTGCTGTGGCCCACCCGCCCTCACGGCTCATCATGGACTTTCTCCGCAGGATCGAAACGATGTTTCGGGTCGCAAACCCTTCGGGTTTGAGCCCAAATAGCCTCACATTACCATTGATACTATTTGTACCGAATCAGATGATGTCATTCCCTAGAATCTGATTCCTTCCTTGCTAACACGAAAAGTGTACAGTTACACATAGACTTTTCTGTTGAGTGGTGTATACCTAGTTGTTCAGATTCTATTTGTCTAAAGTGGTGAATATTGTCAATGACATAGTACTAGCAATGTTCAAAAAGTTCAATGACAAAAATCTCAATATACAAAGTTCGCATACAATCCAACTTCAACGAGTTCGAGTACACTGCCGCTTCTAGAGGACCATGACGAGTTGCCGTATCGTGAGGAAAGTAACGGCGCCCACTACATGAGTGGAGTAGGTGGAGGTCTTGGACTTGGTGCGTTATCTTCTTCATGACGTGAATTAGGATAAACATTTACCTAGGCATTGAGCATTTGAATCAGTTAGAGGGCCTCGCTCGTGATGATGAGCCTGAAATCACTTTTAGCGTCGACGAAAACATCGGACTGGACCATGCAGGTTTAGTCGTGTGCCAGATGCTGACTGGTGACTTACATCAATAGATATCTTGTATTTCCTGGTCAATCATCTTTCATCAGCGGTGTCTATGGTCCTGACTGTATTTTAGCTTAGTAATTGAATGGGCTTCCATACTATTAGTGTGATGCCCTATCAAATGGATGGAAGTGCTCGCTCAGCGCTTCCATACTATTAGTGTGATGTCCTATCAAATGGATGGAAGTACTCGCTCAGCGCTCAAAGTTTGAGAAATATTAACTATGATAGTTTACATCAATGTAATAATAGGTCAGAAGGAGTCCAGCTATGAGCCTAGGGAGGATTTGACCCGGGATGACCCAGTACTAGTAGTATACCTGTGCTAGTATGACCCCCCAAACTTATATGTACTTGGTGGGATGGAGGACTCAGTGTCAGATCAAAGCGTTCAGACACACTGGATTTGACGTTTCCTGCATTTTGAAGGGGGTTGACCCGTGCGCTCTCCCTCCTAAGTAGATATCATAACGCATTCGGTGGTCGGCAACGGTATATCAGCCCTCACTTCAAAGATGATGAAAGACTCCGGGATTATTGGTTCGTGGGCGGAAGCTGAATATTATCCAGAACGTGAGATCACCCAACTATTCTGGACACGACCGTCCCGCCATGCTCAAGCCCACCCCCAGGCACGAAAACTTGAGGTGTGTTCTCGAAAGGGACGGCTTTCCCGGGCGTCTCTCCGTCACCACCGCTAAACACTGCCTTCAACTTCCCTTTGCCCTTGTTTGGCATATCCGGATAGTCCCCAAGGCCGATAGCAGGCCGCACGCCTTCCTCCATCGCCATCGCCAGGACCGCAGCCAACGAGTCCCGCACATCTGCACCCTCCCAATCCACGTCCGACATGACGTTCACCCACGCATAATTCACTGGCCGAGGCTTCGCCTTCCTGGTCTTCTTGCCTCCGGCGAGGCTGACGGTTGCGTGAGAGAACTCGCCCTCGTCGTGGACTTCTAAGGCGCATTTCGCGTTACCAATGCGGAGCGCCCGCACGCCTGCGCGGAAATGATCGCTTGCTGTGGACACAACGCGGTCGGGCGCATCGCCCACTAGGGTGGTAAACTGGCCTTCTATACTGGTTCGCGCGGCGTCATGAACTGGAAGGCTGAGCAAGGCACATCCAGCTTCCCAAATCTCACGACCTCCGATTGTATCGATGACTGCATCGAAACGAATGCGCGCACGTGCAAAGTAGTTGAAAAGTGTCGTCACAGAAGTATTCTCAGTCTGATATAGAGTGAGAGGGAGTCCAGTATAGGAATATGGGGCAGGGAGTGCACAATGAGGGTGAGATGTAGAGGACAAATGACCATGTGTGGAAGGCTGTGTCGACGACAATGTCGATGACGTCGACGAGCGTGAAAACGGTGAGGGAGATATGCTCTGCGAATGAGTGGAAGAGGAAGATGAGTGTGGATGGTGCAGAAGCGGCGATGAAGAGAGGACGTCTCGCACAGCTGGCGCGGATGGCGTAGATGATGCAGATGCGGAGCTTGACTCGATGGGGACAAACAACACCTCGTCTGCGCCCCACTCACGAAGTCGTCTTTCGATTCGTTCCAGCATAACCCGTCGTTTTCCCAATACACGTTCCTCCTCATCTTTGAAATTTTCTTGTAACTCGTGAGGAGGACCTGGAAGGTCGAATGGCACGGGTACGTGAACCCAGACAGACCACCCAGCGCGAACAAGCATCTGAAAGGCCAGCGCACCGGGTCCGTCATGTCCACGTAAGATTAATACGCGAGGACGCGTTGCGTCGAGTTGCTTGTCTGCTAGACCATGTTTTATGGAACGCACGATGACAACACCATCGTCTTCGTCAGTGACACTGGCAACATCATGACTATGCCTGTTTTCGCGTGGCTGCCGTGCAGCTGTGCCAGGCTTTGCTAGCGCACGCGTGATGTGTGTCAATGTGCGCACAGCGCGATAAGCAGGAACGCCTGAAAGCGGGAGCAGAGCGAGTTCGTCTACTGTGAGACCTTTGGGTTCATTCACGGAAGGAAATATGAGCGAATCACGCTGTCCCCGCTCACCATCTTCGGCAGCCTCGCTCGACGAAGCGAGAACCAGAGACGGCTGATTAGGTATGTAAGGATGTGGAACGTGACGAATGCGATGTTGGTCAACGAGTATGAATTCAGCCAAAGCCCCACACTTAGAAATGAGTCAGCATATTTGTATCAATTCTCGTGTTAATGTAATACAAACCTTCTGCACACTGTTAAGACCGATAACCCACTCCCCTTTCTTGAGAGTGTGTTCATCAACTTCCCATCCCACTTCGAGGATGCGCCCAATGAAAGATCGTCCTGGAATGTAACCCAGTGGAACATGCCGTTTCCCAGCACCTTTCTCCTCAACTCTGTATGGAGCCCCTGGCGATGGTTGTTTCGATGACGGCGGATGCACACCCACAAGACGAGCATCCACATCATCCAGACCCACGGCCCATACTTGCACTAGTACTGAACTTCCGCCAACATAAACCGGAGGTTTTCGATACGCTGTGAAACCGAGCGGACTCTCTGCAGCTACCTGTCGAGATTTCCTCTTCCCCTGTTTGTCATTATCCTTTGAGAACCAGCCCAAGCCAAACAGGTGCCCACGAGACTTCGGTTCCTGGTGACGGACAGCGCCAGACGCGATTCCACGAACAATCTCCACGCTGGCCATTGTCGTTTGCGCGAGTCCAGCTCGTGTAAGATCAATCTCATCTCCGAATCCGAATCCTGCGCCCAAACTTTCTGCAGCTGTTGCCCTTCTACCTGTTTTCCAGGGACGCCAAGTACCAATACCAGAATTCGATCCAGAGGTGGCCGGAGAAGTGGCCGCACGAGGAAGAACGAGGCCAGTGAATCCACGCGTACCACTTGATGGAAGCGCGTCTGCCTCACGTGAAGAAGAAGCATGTGCAACAAGGGCGTCCAGTGCATTTAATGGCGCGGATGTATAAGGAGATTTCGTGGTCGAGGAAGTTAAGTGAGAAGAGCTGCTCATTGGGCGAGAGGCGACGCTGACAGGTGGTCGAAATGCTGAAGATGCACTAGATGCTGATGTGCTAGTTTGTGACGCTACCCTAGTTGCACGAGAGTGTAAGCGTGTTGATGACGACCGTGAAGGTGTACCATCGCGAGAAAGCGAAGGAAAAGACGAGCTGCGACGTCTAGTCAACCTCGGTGCCGGTTGTGATGAAATCGCGGACGGCTCCTGTCGTGCAGGTTTGGGTGGTTCAAGAGCATGCGTTGGGGCACATGACAAAGACTGTGAGCGCCTGCGAGACATGCTCCTATCCACTCCATCAGAGCTTCCGGAGAGTCCGAACCCAGACGGGTCGGCATCCTCCTCTACTTCGAGCAGAACCGACATTCCAACCATCATGCGCATCGCTTTTGGTTTGACGTGCCCGTGAACTTTTGGCTTACGTCCATGAGCGGGTTCAACTTTGGGAAGGTCACGCGACTGTGAAGGCACGTGTATCATAGAAGTTTGTGACATTTGTGAAGAAACAGAGCTTGGTAAAGAAGAGGCTGAGCATGATGCTGTATTTGAAACACTGCTCGGGGAGGTATTGCGTCTCGTACCCTTGCGTCTAGTTCCTGGGTGTTGCGGGGCTACAAGCCACCGAACATCTTTGGCCCAATCTTCGTCCGTGTAAGTTGTCTTACGGTCGTTCGAAATACGTTTATGACGCCTCGGCTCGTTCTTGACGGGGATCATGGTAATTGTGGTGCTCAGAGAGGATTCGGTCAAGGAAGTCGTTGAAACAGAGATATCCTGGGGGTTGTCAGACCCAAAAGATGCGGCAGATGATGCAGCAGAGTGAGGGGGTGTCGAAGACGGGGAGTGAGCTGGCGTCTGTGAGCGAGAGGCTGAAGGCGAAGGGCCAGCAGGGGACATGGACGATGTAGGTGAACTGGCAGGGGTGTAGAACACCTCTTCGGAGTTATGCTGAGAGGGGTCTAAGGATTGATCTGCAGAAGCATTGAACTCCCGACCTGCTTCTTGTCGTGGTGCCTGTGCCTTCTCGCTACAGATGTCAGTGGCAATGGAGACACTTGCAACGTGTCGTTCGGGATCTAACGCTGTCGCAGCAGCAGGGACAAGCTCCTCGTTCTTGAACAAGGTCAGATGATTATATGTGTGTATTCTGAACTGTATTTATCGCGACTCACCTGTATAAACTCACATGATTCGTCTGGGAGATAACTCTTGCCCTCGCGAGTGTGGTCAAACGAATCCTCACGACTGAGTTCGGCGGCTATACGAAGCAACTCCCCCTTGGTCGAGTGAAAATCCCTTGCGTGGGGCTGTCCTTGAGCTTGAGGGGCTTTCGTTGATGTTATGCGGCTTGTGCCTGCAGCAGCATATTTCTGGGAGGGTCTTCGGAGTACCTTCTGGAGAAAAGTCGGACGAGTCATAGGCGTGTTCACCAGGTGCTGACCGTCATCAGCTGCAGGCTATATAACTTTGATGTAAATGACAACAAGGACTACCATGTGCGGTGAGCGTGTGACGCGTTTTCGAGGTCAAAATCAAAATCCACGCGGTTTACACGACATGACGTCATCTCCCTTATACAGTAAGCCGCCGGTACTGACTTCAGCTACGCCTGTTTTTGCCAGACTGTCGCTGCCGTTTCCCTCCAACTGGCATAGCAGCAAAGGACACCGTTCGCTTTCGCTTGGGCGGGGGCAACAGTTCAGGCACCTCCTCTTCTTCATCCTCTCATCCTCCACAACTTCTCTCTCACCACTCTCGGAACCACTGCCTTGATCGTCCTCGTCCTCATCTCCGCTTGCCTCTTCATCTCCGGCATCTTTATCATCGACTTCATCCTCATCGTTGACTTCATCCTCGCTGTTTTCTTCATCGGCACCCCAAACATCATCCAACAATACCTCTCTCTTCTCTGCTTCGCCAGCTTGCAAGCGCACAAGTTTCACATCTTCTGCCTTCCGCAACTCTTTCCGGCTCTTCAGCATTGCCATAATTCCCTCGGTATTTGTCGAAGAGGAAGTAGTTGATGATCCTGGTGGCATGGTATACCTCGCGAACTTTCCGATACTCCAATCTCTGAGGACAATGCGCGCCGCGCCTGCATGATCCAGGACTCCACGCTGTATGTCAAAGATATCAACATGAACCTGAATCATATCCTCGAAAACGTACCTTTTTAATGAGCCCGCTCGCACGTGCCATTCCAGCAAGGAATGAGGTGGGGTCGCCCTTTGAGAAGGCAGGTAAGCTATACGCCAGCATTAAATCCTGGGTATCTGCTCGAGATACTATGTGTGTAACTACCATGTACGTCAGCTTTGGGGGTAGAGGAATAACTCGGTGACACTTGCCAGCAAACAGTGGGTCTTTAAGTCGATCAATCCGCCCTCGACTTCGAAGCAAGATGTCTCTTGCTCTTGCCATTTCCTTCTCCTGGTCTCCTACACCCTCCGCACGCACATACTCCAATCCAGGGGTGTCAATCAGCCGTACATTCACTCCCTTTTTATCAGGAAACTCCAAGACTAGCTCGTTTGCTGATGTGGTCGTGTAAGGGCCTTTTGCAGTTATCGCAGAGTTGATGTTGTAAATGGGTAGCACATCTGCACGTGCAAGGGAATTTATGACCGCCGATTTGCCGGACTGGACAAGACAATTTGATCAACGGCGGGTCAACACATAATCAAACGAAGAAACTCACATTGGTAACTCCCGTCAAGGCCACAACCAACTCGTCACCGGATTTTTTGGCTTTGAGCTTGCTGAACTGCTGCCAAACCGTGTCTGAACCAAGCGCATCGTCCAGTTTGACAGAAGTTTTTTTTGATGCTGGTGGCGGATTGGGTTTAGAAGGCAAGAAAGCCTCCGCTACGCGAAAAGGTAAGGTGTTATACGTTAATCGCAAGTGGGAGAGCCACAGTGCTAGAGACTCTCGTGGTACGGTATCTAATAATTAGATGCGATCAGTTCAGTGCCCGTCACAAACAGAACAAACAACATACCAATTTTGTTCACGAGGAGTAGAATATCTTTGCCTGTCGCTTCTTTAAACAAGGCCTCACTGAGGCCTGCTGCAGGATCCCGTGCATCCACTACATGTAGTACAACATCAGCTTTTTGCAACACCTCACGGAGAGTGCGAGGTCCTGCGGTGACGGGTATCACAGGTTCTGGTGTCGAGGGTTCTACGGGTTTTTTTTTGGGTGGTGCGGGAGGTGCAGGACGAATGGACATAATGCCATCAAAGCCTTGCCCGTCATTTTGATTTTCGCCGATGTCAACATCCATGATGTTTTTTTGAGAATCCTCGACGTCTTTGGCGTCGGGTCCAGCAAGAGCGGCCCGTTTTTCATCTTTACGTCGCTGCTTTTCCTCTGCGGCCTGTGGATTGCAGCCAAGTCAGGGGGAATAAATCGTACGAATCAGTCCCTCCTTACTTGACGTCGTGACTCCGCGACTTCTGCGAGTATTTGATCCTTGTAGGGGAAATTATTCGGGATTCCAGGGTCCTTTTTAGATTTCTTGTGCGCTAAACGAAGACTATGAGCACACGGCGATAAAGTGCCGAGCAGAAAAAGCTATAGATGCGAAGATATCTCGAAGCCCTAAACGAAGCAGTTTGCTCATAATACTGCATGACACTCACTTTTTCCAGCGGCCTGTTCTTTGCGGGCCTCCTTCTTGGCTTTCTTCCTGCCCTGGGAGACCTTATGCTTTAATTTTTCACGTTGGTGGGTCGTCCCTCGCTTGGACGTTTCTATTCAGCGATATCGAATGAGTGCATTGTCAATTTTTCATGAAGTTGATTGACTGACATACTTTTACGAATCCGAGGCATGGCAAAGTGTTCTGCAAGCGCAGGCTATAGTCACTCAATGCAGCAAATAAGAAACCTGAGTACTGATGCGCTCAAGTGTTCTATGGATATCAAATCTGAGTGGAAGAAACCTAGCTAGGGACAATCTGCTATCGTGGGAAAACGGCGTTCGCTTGATTGGGGCATGTCTAACCGGGACACAAAGGCCATGCTCGGACTTATACTCGGCTGTGTTGGCTTGACGCTTATATTCACCAGTGAACACTAGGAAATCCACCTGTCCCATTCATTAGCAGTGCCACATCGACATGCATAATGCACTGCTTATTCAAGATGTCCGAGCCTACATCTTCGCCTCTATCAAGGAGGATAAACAAACAGGTCGATGTACCTTTGCCATGCTAGCCAGAACCTGCAGCGCTCTCAGTGAAGCTTCACTGGACGTGCTCTGGAGCGAACTGGATAGCTTGCATCCGCTAGCATCGTGCATTTACATAGCAAACACTATGACATTGAGCGATGAGGCATGTCTATCTCATGTATTTACTACATTTCAAGCTGAATCATCACTTTGTATCCTACAGCATATCGCAGAAGCTGCCGACGACCCGAAACCGGATTTATCTATCTTCTACAAATATGCTCATCGTGTCCGAAAGTTAGACCTTTCCGGACAACAAAGATTCTTGAGGCGCGGTGGATACCCCTCCCTCCCCGAAGATTTAGGTGCACTACTCTATTACCCACTAAACTCCCCTATCCTCCCGAACCTCAGGCACTTAGCTTGGGCGCCTGGGATGGGTTTCAATTTACTTCGTCATCTGCTCGGTCCTCACTTGCTGTCTCTGAAAATACCTGCCCACCGCTGGAGCTCGGCATCCAATTTATTTTCCCTAACCAAAGTCCCTGGACTTTGCCCGAAAATCAGATCATTGACACTCCAGGTTAATTCTTGGGATGGACATTTGGAGACGGAATCAGTCCAAAGCACGCAGTACATATCTCAGGTAATCTGCTCTTGGGAAAAACTCGAGGAACTGGACTGCAACCCCATGACCTGTGATGGTGTTCTACGCCTATCTGGGTTGGCATCTCTCAGAATTCTGCGACTGCAGGTCACCACCTCATCTATTGTTGACCTACCTCCAGACTCCCTTTCATTTCCATCCCTGCATACTTTCCAGTTTCAAACTGACACCCTCGACACTGCTATCACTCTCACGAAAGCGATGAAAAACTTTCCTCAAATCTTGGAAGATTGACGTGTCTGCGGGCCGGCCCCGCAGAGGAACTTGCAGTTCGGAAATTATCGAGGTCCTCCTACGCCTCGTCAGTCGAGATACATTACACCACGAACTTCGAAATTTTAGCCTACATCTCCCACCCCTTCTGGGAGATGATCCTTACAATATCTCTGACATGTTACAACCCCTCTTCCATTGTTGTGAACTTCGCACATTATCTATACGAATGACATCGCCATTCACTCTGAGTGACGGTGATTTGCGTATGATGGCTGCCGCTTGGCCACAACTCGAGGAACTCGAACTGATCGATTTACGACCACGTGCGAGGCACACTCTCACTGCCCTCACTCAACAACTTCTGCAGCACACAACTAATGTGGGTCCTGGCCAGCCAAACCAGGCTCCACAACCTCCGGTGGTTCATGTGAACCAACACCACGCAATACCTATTACGACACTTCTTGGGAATCCTGGTCAGGCAAATCCATTTCCGCACCTACCTGTGTTTACCATCCCCCCTCCAGTATTTCCAGGGTTCTTTCCACCGGACCATTTCTTCCCTAGCAGATCGCGTACCACTGAGATTACCTTTCACGGCCTCATTTCGCTCCTGCAGCTATGTCCAAATCTTTACTACTTTGACCTAGCACTCGACGCTACCAAACTAGATGGTCTGCAAGGCGATAGACCAGGCGGCGGAGTTTGCAATCGACTGGTCAAGCATGCCAAGCTTGTCGATTCGCCCATTGGTGATCCTGAGGTGGTTGCTCACATCCTCCTCGATATACTTCCTGAGCTTGATCCCCTTGCTGGGCTAAATGTTCCACTCCCAGCTCCACATCTGAACTGGGTGCCTCACAACATGACGCCTCAAGGGTGGAACATGGTTCGTCAGATAATGCTTGATTCGAGAAATGCAACGACGCAATCTGCTAGCCAAATCTAATTCAGAAGTATTCGTTTTGTATACCTACATATATGTAAACTTCCCTGTGCAGACTCTGTATTGCTATGGCTCAACCTCGATTGCTCTATGATCACTTCCGGGCTGCTTACTATATGACGACTACCAAGGGACCAGCGTGAGTTGCTAGTGTAGCTAAGTGCACCAGTTACCAGAGAAGTTCGGGACTATGGCGCTGGTGCTATTCAAGTATTCCACTAAATAATCGTCACGGCGTTCGGCCGCGCCAGCGCCCGACACCTGTAATCTGATAGTGCCCCAACTTACATGGTATCTATGGACCCACTACGTGGGTGTCGGGGATACTCTTTAGTCTCCCTGCAGTCAGGAGTACCTTGATCGAATGAAAATAGTCGTTTGGGTGTCATTTATTTCTTTTGCCGTATGACATCCATATGATTCATACTATCCATGCACTGGAGGATGATAGATTCACATTCACCTGGCATCTCAGAGCATCCATGCGTGAAAGAAGTGATACATATAGCAGAGACTTATTTTGTATCTCTGAGACAGCCTAATGGAGAGTAAGAATAACAGCTGCTCAACACCGACGAGGCAGACGTGAATAAGGTTCGGGATAAAACTATTTGGGGAATTATTAGCAGCTTTTTAGCCAGGCGGCTGTGGGGGAGATATTTACTAGCGGTTTTCTCCTCAGCCTCAGCCTTCCCCTTTCTTTTCGCCACACCGGTGTCAGGACTCGCCTCCGCCAACACTACCAAAAAACTATCCGCGCTCAAGTCTATCTCAGATTCGACGTTGAAATCTGCGTTTTGTGGTACAGTGGCACTCTCCTGCGTAGTATCCAACCAAGTACTGGACGCATCTCTTCGTCTCCTTCAACACTTTCGGTCGACAGCAAGCTGTTCATCGTATCGTGGTGCCGTTTTCCTGCTTTTGTTTATTCCAACAGTCTTCATCCCACTGGCTACATCCCAAACATTACCCTCCCAAGGAAGCGTCGACAAACACTTTTGGAAGTCAGATGCGACTGAGCAAGTGGGCTCTGTACCATGTGACCGTTACTCTAATTTTCCGGACAATAGTCGGCGTTCGAATTCCTTACTTATGCTCACCATGGCACTAGTACTACCAGGTGCCAGCCAAAGCTATCAGAATCAAGGTTCCGCGCCATGGTGCTCAAGAAATAGGCGCGTAATTTTCCGCGCATGTCGAAGCGCTGGCTAGGAAAGTGGAAACGCGTGTGGCCACTCACCAGCCCGACTATGACTCGAATAATGGATTAGCTCAGGCTATTATGAGTGCCATGTTATCTGCGCCATGACTCTAACATTAGGAGGGCATTCAGGAGTCTGCATCGGAATGGAATTCATTGCTTATTACAGCTCGCGCACGTGGATCACACTGGGATCATATTGGAACTCGACAGTGCGTCGTCTAGCCATGTCGTATTGAAAGGGAATTGAAAGCTGTTTAGGTTTCTTGTGGACTAAGAGTCTGACCTTTACTATGACTCATCTCCACTGATGGAGTATCAGAAATAACAATGCGAGGAGGAACATGCCGCCGCTTGAACCTCAATGCAGCCTCCCGACTTTCATGCACATGATCTTCTCGTGTTACTCGAAATCACTCGACCTCTTCAATCACAACTATCCATACGTATCACAGAGCATGTCTCAAGTGACTCCACGTCATGCTAATCTTGGGGGGTACCCGAACGTTCCATTTGACGGCATTCCACCCAGTCACTTCTACGGCATTGGAGTGGATGAGTATGAGTGACAGCATGGGTGCCAGCATGTCCCCAGATGTGAGGAGGTCAACAAGAGGCATACCAGAGGATCGATTCATTCAGCTGCATGGACCGTGATCGCACAAGACCATTTGTATGTTATCCAGTACTGTGTATATCACCCTTGTTCCTGCTGAAGTTACTGCTTCCTAGTTCTACATTTCGTCTATTACATCGCTCAGTGTTAATTGACTACCCACGCATTATTTCACCCGGGCCATTTGTGTTGTCACAATTTCTCTTGCTCCACCCTCCCAGTCTTCCCACGAAATAGCCATAATTGCAGTGTCTCTCCCAGGTCCTTCCAGCAGATCATTTTTCCTAGGTGTCTTTCCGAGTGCCTTCCCGACAGGCAATACCAATGCCCATCTCAAAGTCCCTTCGCGTCTGAGCCCCATGCGAGCAGCAAGTCTCAGGGATGGTTCATTGTCCGAATGCGCATACCAATATACTCTTCTTAACCCTAATCCAGTTTCAGACTGGAATGCGCAGGGCATGGTAAAGCAGTACTTGAGGAGTATTCCTACTGCATGCGTTGCGACATGTGTCCGCTGAGATGCGGGCAGAATACACAACATTCCAAGCTCCATTGACAAGTTCCTCGGTGAATAACCGAAGAGTGCAATTGTTCCTGCGAGCTTTCCTCCCCATTCTGGATATTCCTGGTCTGGGGTGGTCCTGTCGATGATCGCGAAGAGGATGGAGTACGGGTTCTGGCGCACGAAGGCGTCCACAAACCGCAGATATGACTCAGGTTCTTCCATGTCGGGAAAGGGATAGTAACGGTAGAAGTGTGCAGGGTCTGATATGGCTGCATGATATTTTACAGCGTGAATGGACGGGATGAATGGTGTTAACTTCAGACGCGGGGTCTCCAGCTGAGTGAAGTCGAGCGGAAAGGCGACGTTGATGTCATAGGGGACGGGACCGTGAAGGCCGTAAGCTGGCTTCGCGGGAGGAGGGGGTTTATAGGCATTGACATACGCCATGTGAAGAAGATGGGGGGGAAACACCTCAGAGGTCAAGTTATTATAATGCATATAACGAATCCTGAGTCCTAAGCAGATTACCTCCTCCGAGAAATTCCGTACTACCCCCCAAGCCAGACCTACTAATAAGGAGTATCAACCAGTCTGGACTAGTTAGTCTAGTGCAACGCTGGCAGCAAGGAAATGGTATTATCAATGAATTGCAGTTTGAATTCAGCGCTCCACCTAGCCTATTTTATCTAAGATCTGAGACAAGTACCGTACTCTACTTGTACAATGTGAAAGATTCTGTGTCGACTGACGAGTCACGATGATCTTTCGATCGGACCGCTAAGACTCGGAAGCAAATCGATTTGCCAGTGTTTACTTGAGTACTAGTTTGCTAATTAGGCTATGTACTTATATTACATGCTTGGTACTATTATTTCGTGGGTTCAAGGCCTTATATAAATCCCGTACCCTTGCCTACGTGCAGCCTGCAGGCCTGACGGTTAATTTCATCTTACCTCCTCAGACCTCTAGATCTTTGTGATCAACAACTATCGGATTATCGAGATGCATCATGCGCTACTCGTTCCGGACGTCCTCGGTCACATCCTTGCATACATCAAAGCTGATGTGCCAATGAGTAACCGCACCTTCGCAGCACTAGCCAGAACCTGCAGTGCTCTCAGTGAAGCCTCGTTAGATGCCCTCTGGAACGAGCTGTGTAGCCTGTACCCATTAGTTTCGTGCATCTACGATACTAACATGAATAGGTTGAGCGACAAGGCATGTCTCCCGTATTTATGTGTTGCTGCCCAAGCTGAGCTGCTCATCGAACAGCGCACAGCAGAAGCCGACACTGATGCGGAATCAGATTTGTCTGTTTTCTACAAGTACGCTTATCGCGTCCGGAAATTAGACTTTAAGTTCTTGATGAGCACAGCTCTCCCTGATGATCTGGGAGTGTTTCATGTTCACCAGGTTCCCACTCCTTTCCTCCCTAATCTCAACCACTTGGTTTGGACCCATCAACTTGGTCCCGCGCTGGTTTGGCCCCTGCTCGGTCCACGCTTACAATCTCTTCACATACCAAGCATTCAGTGGAACTCGAAATCCACCCCGCTGTTCTTGTCTAAAATCCGGGGACTTTGCCCGGAGCTTAGTTCACTGACATTGCAATTTTATCTTTTGCCAGCATGTCGAGCTGCAACCGAAAGCTCCATATCCCGAGTAATTTGCTCTTGGAAGAAGCTTGAGGTATTGGACTTGAGCCCCGCGGGTAGCGAATGTATTCTCAGCTTTCATGTGCTGTCATCTCTCAGAGTCCTCAGCTTGCGCATTGACAACTCATTTGATCTGGATCTGCCTGCAAATTCGCTCTCATTTCCATTGTTGCACACTCTCCGATTCCAAGCCATCAGCCTGAGGACTGCCTATTCTCTCCTTCAAGCGATGAGGAGCTTGCCTAAATCTGTGGAGATTTCCCTTCTACTACACCAACCCGGGGATTGCGGTCTTGAGCTCATTCTGTGCGCTATCGGTCAACATACATCATGCAACATTCTTGAAGAGTTGCGCATGAATAGGGACATTATCGTCAATGACTTCAACGTGCTACGACCCCTTTTCCTTTGCTGCAACCTTCGTGTTTTGCGCATGACGATGACGCCACACTTCGTTGATGATGATCTATGCGCGGTGGCCTCTGCTTGGCCACAATTGGAGATACTTGAGTTGTTTGGCTACCACATCCCATACATGACAATTCCCTCCCTAGACCTCCCTACTGTGGAAGAACTCCTCCCAATTCCCCTGCCTGTGCCCGATCTTTTTCAGTAAACCTAGCTGCAGCTCAACCTCCTTACTCACAGAGCAATCGGATTGCTAAATTCACCTTCCACGGTCTCATTTCGCTTCTAAGATTGTGCCCCAATCTTCGCTTCTTTAACCTGACTATCGACGCCACCAAGCTGGATGGACTGCAGGGTGATAAACCAGGCGGCGGCGTTTGCAACCGACTGGTCAAACGTCCCCGACTCGTTGATTCGCCCATCAATGACCCTGAAGCTGTTGCTCGCATCCTCTTTGACATACTTCCCGAACTCGAGACCGTTTGTGGGGAGGGCTTTGTTCCAGACAGGCTTGGCCACCAACCACTGTCTCCAGGATGGGCCCGAGTTCAGGAAATAATACTCGCTTCTAAAGCAGCCAGGGGGCTTGCGACGTAGCCACAATAGCGCAACTCCATGCAACTAATTTCACTATGCACTTAACGCACTGTATGCCCCTCATTCTCGATCGAGTTTACGAACATCAGGACGTATTAACATGGAACACATACTACGATACGCATCTCTCCCGCGCACTTGTAGAATAGTTCGAGGAAGAGCACTCGCATGATAAAGCAGCTACAAAGATAATGTGATGCAAAGTAAGCGGCCAGAATACAAATGGGTAGCGTACTTTCAGTACAGCTACCTCCACTTCAACATCCTTACTCGCCCAACACTGAAATCACCTTCCACGGTCTCATTTCGGTTCTAAGATTATGCCCCAATCTTCGCTTCTTTAACCTGACTATCGACGCCACTAAGCTCGATGGGCTGCAGGGTGATAAACCAGGCGGTGGTGTTCGCAACCGACTGGTCAAATATCCCTGACTCATTTATTCGCCCATCAATGACCCTGAAGCTGTTGCTCGCATCCTCCTCGACATACTTCCCGAACTCGAGACCATTTGTGGGGAGGGTTCTCCTTTTACAACTATGTCCAACCAATCAGTGCCTCAAGGATGGCTCCGAGTTCAGGAAAGAAAACTTGGTTTTCAAACAGCCAGGGGGCTTGCGGGCGTCATTGTAGATCGAGTTTACAAACATCAGGACTCACTTTTGGGAATCATTTTTTGTCCAGTTGGGGTATGTACCACATCGATGCATCAGTACTTATCAACATAGAAGAGATGGCACGATACGCTTGTCTCTGGCGCACGCTTGTAGAATAGTCTGAAGAGCACTCGCTCGCATGATAAAGCAGCTACAAAGATAAAGTAGTACAAAATAAGCAGTCAGAATACGAATGGGCAGCGTACACGATTACGCATCTGCCATCTCAACGTCCTCGACGTCATCGCCATTATTTAGTAAAGTTTCCGCAGCACGTACTGGTAGCTATCTTGGCTCGCATGACAGTAATTGCTTCTGGAAGTAGACGTTGTGGAGGATAGAATCCCTCAGACTCGATGTTGACTGCAGGGATATCAGTCAAAACACGTGCGACATGGAGAAGACGCGTACATAAGAAATGATCTCGCACGCGGACAAGTCGAATGCATCCTTCAAACTCTGGGTGTCTATACACTTCTCTACTCATCATCTCCTTCTGCATTTTCTTACTGTCCACGCTGACGGCTTTCGTTCGAGGATCTACTTGAACGACACCTGGCGAGAAGCATTTCTGAAAAAAATCTGCAAGTTCTCGAGGTACCAGTTTATCTGGGTTCAAAATCACCAATGGTAGTAGACGATATGACGCCGTCGCTGTTAGTTGAAGGTCACACATCCGGCTGCCGTAGCTTGAAAGTGATCACTCACCGACTGGACAAAATTTTGCATGGTCTTTCCCTACTCCCTTGACGGCATGTAGCTCCATATCAATTTCTTGCCCGGGTTGTAGTTTTGTCAGCACAATGTCTAAATTCGTAGGTGCAGGGGGATTGTCTGCCACAACAACCTCTTGCTCTCCTTGCGGAACTCGTCTAAAATGTGAGGACAGGACCTCATGGTTGATATACAGCTTGCTGGGGTCTGTGGTATCTTTTGGCGCATGCTTCCGACGCTGGCAGGCAACTTGTAACCGAAACACGAGTGTATTACGGTCAGTAGGCTTGATCATTTTGACCTGTCGAAAAGATCAGCAAGAAGAACTTCCACGACAAATTTTAACTAGCTTTGTTTCATATCCATAAGGGCCGGATCGACATTCAGAGGCACGAGACCTATTCGTTGTGCAAGCACTTCATCAACGACAACTGAAGTGTTGTCCCAAACGTAAACTCTTTCGATACAAATTGTTGGAACCTAGAGTACGTGAGACGATCACACTGCGAATTAAACATCTTGAACTTGTCCTCTGCAATCAGTATTCTCCTGTACGCATTCGCGATGGACGCATCCACACCCACTAGGTCAAATTCAACTGGAGCGGTTTTGATAATCTTTCTATTTTGACAGGTTAGTCCCTATCCTTGCATGACCGTTGATCAAGTCAAACACAGATAGAGCTTTAAGGACCAAGGCGCACTCTCGCAAATTTTTCGAGGTCCCAGGAGTCATAATAGAAGGAACGACTGTCTTCCTTCTATATGGTCCTGACTAGGTGAGACTACCCATGAGTGGTCCTCTTCTGGGTAGTGTCCAGGGAAGTTCGTACTGGAAACATTGGAGACACGTTCTGCATGAAGCCAAACGTGTTTCCTGAGGTCATACGTGATTGCTGTTGGCATCCCCTTAGGTATAGTCTTAACTCTCTAGTAGCTGACCCAACATAAGATATCACGTTTTAGTCACTCCGAGACTCGGAAATTTTGGTATCAAATTGAGATGAAATCCCGTGACTTGTCACATGATCCTGAACAGCGCGGTTTGCTTCAAGTACTGCGCTTGGCACCTGCACAGCGAATACTCAGGCCTTGGGCCTCGTGCCTCTAAATGTCGACCCGGCCTCCATGGATATGAAACAAAGCCACATACAAGTACTTGTGTGCGGAGATATGCGTATCGTAGAGTCCCTTCCATGGTAAGAAGTCCTGATATAAGTAAACTCGATCTAGTGCATGAGTTAGTACATACAGTGCGTGAAGTGCATAGTAAAATAAATCTCCGGAGTAGGGCCATTGATGTGGCTACGTCTCATGTCCTCTGGCTGCTTTAGAAGCAAGTATTTTTGCTTCAACTTGGAGCCATCCTTGCGGCAATATTTCGTTGAACATGGTTGTATAATGAGACCCCTCCCCACAAATGGTCTCGAGTTCGGGAAATATGTCAAGGAGGATGCGAGCAACCGCTTCGGGGTCACTGATGGGCGAATCGACGAGTCTGGGGTATTTTACCAGTCGATTGCAAACACCATCACCTGGTTCATCATCCTGCAGCCCATCCAGCTTGGTAGTGTCGATAGCCAGGTTGAAGAAGCGAAGATTGGGGCACAATCTTAAAAGTGAAATGAGACCTTGTAAGGTGATTTCAGTAGCCCTATTGCTGTGTAAGTAAGTCTCGTCGTATTCTAAAAACAGTGCCGAGGGATGGGGAAGCAATGGACCTTGAAGGGCAGGTTGAGCTGCAGCCAGGTGCACTGGAGGCTGCGATGGCGATATAGGTGGAGGAGTCGGGGGAGGTCCTATAAAAAAAGGCGAGGGTGGGTCGGGAGACATTGCATACGGATTGTGATACAGCTCAAGTTCCTCCAGTTGAGGCCAAGCAGAGGACATCGCGCGCAGATCATCATCACCGAGGATGAACTGTGGCGTCATTATTATTCGCAGCACACGAAGGTTGCAGCAAAGAAAAAGGGGTCGTAGCACGTTGGAGCCATTGATGATACTGCCGCTTGGAAAGGCGGGAACAGTCATGCGGAATTCTTCAAGATTGTTGTATGATGCATTTTGAGCGATGGGGTGCAGAATGAGCTCAACCGTTTCCAGACCGTAACCCGCATTCCAGCCTGAACAGCGCACAATAAGAACAATCTCTATAGATTTAGGCAAGCTCTTCATGGCTTGAAGGAGTGAATAAGCCCCAGGGCTGTTGGTTTCGAGCCGGAAAGCGTGCAATGATGGAAATGAGAGCGAATTTGCGGGCAGATCCAGAACAGATGAGTTATCGACGCGAAAGCGGAGGACTCTGAGAGATGATAGCACGGGAAGGCTGAGAATACATTCACGACCCATGGGGTTGCATTCCAGCACCTTGAGCTTCTTCCAAGAGCAAATTACTCGGGACAAGCAGCTTTCGGCTACACGTTGGTATGGGGATTCTTGCGGAGCATCGCAAAGCAATGTCAGTGAACTAAGTTCCGGGCAAAGTCTTTGGATCCTAGGCAGGAGCCACGGGGTAGATTTTGGGCTCCACTGAAATCTTGGTATGTGAAGAGACAGTAAACGTGGATTGAGCAGAGGCCAAAGCAGAGTAAGACTAACTCCATCAGGCCAAACTAAGTGGTTGAGATTGGGGAGGAGAGGAGTGGGAACTTGAAGGATGTGAAGTACTCCTAGATCATCAGCGACAGATGTGGACCATGCATCGAGTGTCCAGTCTACTGCGAATCCAGAAAGCTCTAATTTCCTGACACGATAAGCATACTTGTGGAAAACAGATAAATCCAGTCCCGCATCAGTGTCAACTTCTGCTGTGCGCTGTTCGATATGCGGCTCAGCTTTGAGAGCAACACACAAATACGAGGGACATGCCTCATCGCTCAACTTCATGTTAGCACCGTAGATGCACGACACCAACGGGTGCAGGTTACTTAGGTCGCTCCAAAGGGCATCTAGCGAGGCTTCACTGAGAGCGCTGCAGGTTCTAGCTAGCGCTGTGAAGGTGCTGCGACTGATTAGCCAATCAGCTTTGATGAATCCGAGGATGTGATCGAGGACGTCTGGAACGAGTAGCGCATGATGCATCTCGATAATTTGTCGTCACAAGAGGTCTGAGGTGGCACAGGTATTTACTATAGCCTGAGAGGTAAGATGAAACGAGGGAGATCAACTTGTCCATGTCATGCCTTTCAGGGTGCACATCACGAGCCTAACATCACGAGACATTCTAAGGCTATTATTAAGTGTTACAGGTAAGCTAAGAACTCGAAATAATGATAAACCATCTTTCCCATAAGTCTACAATATTACATCTTTTCAATTAAATCGTGCAGACCCTGGCGGGTGAGCTTCGTGTCCCAGATATGATTTCCGGCTGGTGAGTTGGTAGTTTTGCAACGTTGCACGATGGCTTGGTTTTGAACAACAGCCTTATCAATCACGTTGCAGAGCTCCTAGTCATAGCAACGAGGGAATGATGTCAACCACGCAAACGAAATGTGACAATGCAGTTACTTACGATAATCCACCTCTGGACCATCACGTCATCCATAGGCAGCCTGATTCGCTTTGGAGAGAGTAACTTTTTATGCCAGGCAAGTAAACAACTTGGTTGTATAGGGGATGCGATGTGGAATGTTGCTCGGACCAACATGAGATAAAGCATGCGACACTGGGATACCGATGTCAGGCAGTCCAAGAAGCCATTTATGACGGAATCAAATAGACTGCGAGGGATGATGCCAATCGCAACAAGGTCGCCATAGAAAGCTGCTGCATTGAACATTTCGTTTCGGATAGGCTCAAGTGAGTCGCTAGCTTTCTCCAAACCAGTCGCACCAGACGTGAACATGAAATCGACCGAAATCTATAAAGTGGCAGATTTTTGTTGGGTACATCGAAGCTTATGCATGAGAAATCAACATACATTAGACCAGGCCTTGAGTACAGTCGAAGTAGCGATGTCTTCGAGGTATAATCGGAGAGCGCGCATGGCACACCAGTCGCTCAGATTGAGTTCGATGAGAACGTCATTTGTGAGCAGTGCCACAGTCCGGGTGTATTCCAGTCGAGTAGCCCCGGCGCGGAACAGCGCTTTCGCCACTGCCTCACCGAATGACTCTGGTTTGCTATTGAATCCAGCGTTCACCGAATGGGTGATCAAGCGGGCTTCATTATGGATGACAGAGGGGTGGCAGATTCGTGGCAAGATGTGTTGGACCTTGTAGAAATAGGCCTGTAGGTGTTGATTCAAAGTTGGTCTTATCATGGCAACACCGTGAGGATGCCAGATGTATTTTGGCGTTTGCTCCTCAGTTGATGTGTATGTCGGGTTGGGGGGCATCCATGCCTGAGGAGCAAACTTTGATTCGAACCTAACGGAGGCCATGGACCTTCCTGGCAAAATGAACCAGGAGAAATTCTTAGCGGCAGCGTCTCTAGCCAAGATCATGTCGAGTTGTTCGCAAGCGCCAGCCATGATCGGGAAGAGGTGAGGGTAGAGAGAAAAAAAAGTGAGCTTGGAGATGTAACACGGGAAAGTAACCGGGGTGATGCATCTCTCTTATATACTCGGTGGGGAAACTAGCTGTGGAGTACGAGCCACTGCCAACTTCCACAGTCCAGCTTCTGATTCTGGGGCACAAAAGACGTTGCATTGATCCAAGACTTATGGCATGGTCAAAGACATATGTGGACAAGGGCAAATGTCGACGTTTGTAGCGACGGTAGGCTAATGGTGGGCTGTAAGTAGCAGATATATCTGATGCTATTGTGATCAAGTGTCACCAGGGTGAATATAAAGGGGACTGTACAACTTTGTTTGGCAAATCCCTTGGATCCAAACAACCGCTCGTGTTTGGGGGCCGCGTGGGTACGAGATGCAAGCTTGTGCAACCGAGGGCTTCGGCTTGCTAGACCCTATGATCCGCAAAATAGCTACATCTTCAAACTAGAGTCCTAGGAGAACGAGTTGAATTTGATTGCCAGCAGAAGAAAAAAGGGACTTCTGTACTTCAGAAAAGTGAACCCTACACCGCACAAAGGATTCGTCATAGTGTCCACACGGGGGACATATTTTGTCGAGGAGCTTGTTTCAGGGGACTCAAGTACTTCATATTCTAATCAAACCACCAAGATAAATTTGAATATTCATGCTTGAATCTGAATATCGATTACAATGGAGTGTGGCGGTAGGGAAGTGTATGGTAGACCTCCAGCGGCTTGAGAATATTACAGACCTTTGTCCAACTGAGCCATACTTCACGTGCGTGCATGCACCCCCTCTAACGGGTGCTTTCTCTCGATCTCCTTGTCGTTTTGTCAAATGAGTAGCCTCGCTTGTCCAAAAAAACATGTTGTGACGGCATCGCGAGTCATCTGCAAGGCGGAAGACAGCATAATAGTAATGTTAAGAATCGCAAGTAGGTAGCTTAGCTGGCAGTGTGCACCATCAATGCGTCACCAGCCCGACTGGGAGGTAGCTTGTCCATCTTGAAGGTTTTTGACGACACCGACGGACGGGACCCGACGCCAGGACCAGCATAAACGCAGTCCATCTTCACAGCCGGCAGCGAGTTGTTACTGGTCCCTGTTTGAAAGTGTCAATGCAGCAACCTCGTGACCACACAGGCATCCTACCAGCATGACAGTACGAAATTCCGTCCTCCTTGTGGCCCCACCACATCACTGGCGACCACTCATCCACTAGGTTCGCAAGAGTCTGGAGGTGGCCGTATGCAGCTGGCTGAGGGCCGCGTGGTCGAAACAGTGCGACGAGAGTGAAGAGACACGCAAATATAAACAGCGCCATGCATAAGTTCCAGATCTGCAAAGTGTGTAAGGATGGTGTAGCGGTGGACACAATAAATGCGAACCTGGGCTGTAAACATGAATATGCTGACCGTTTCTAGTGTCCTGGGACCGGCGGTGCCAAACAAAGTGAATGACAGCCCAAACATCCAGTCTATATCGTTAACAGTATTAATGTTGTTCAATAAAACCTGTCAAAAGCTAGATGCGAATGACTCACGTAGCGCAGGCTTTGTGACGAGAAGTACAAGATTGAGTGGATTGGCGAAAATCGGCTTCAGCGGGTTCGTCGCCGTTCTAAGCCCTTCCCGTCCGGTAGCGCATGTCCACTGTCTTTCATCCCGAATAACATTCGCGATGAGCTCCGAGCAATGCAACCCGAGTGTTATTGGCCCTTGGACAAATGCCAAGTTGACAAAGAACAGAATCCACCACCACCCCCAAAACGGAAGGTAATACACGACTGCGTTGGACTGCTCGCTGGGGAAGAACAACCATGATTTCATAGTCAGCACAGGGGTGGATTCCATGCCACCGTCAAACTTGTGCCAGATGTACATTATGAGCACGGCATATCCAGCGCATGCTATAACGAGCCCCCAGAGAGAAATGATGACTTTCCGGATGCTAGGGTGAGCACGCCATGCGGAGGGCTGTGCCTCTGATGGCCTAGCTGGACCTCCTTCTGCATCCAGGTCGGACACGCCGCGCATGCACCGGAAAGGAACCAAGGTCAATTGTGTGTGGTGGACCAGAGCGGCGGTCAAGTCGAAAGGTGAGGAGCTCCATGTTAATATTTGGACAGCACGCATCCCTGACAATGCGATCACTGTCTGAAGAAGAAGTGCGACACCCAACAAGAGGAGGGGTAGTCCTGTGATGGAGACAGAAGTCTCTCCTGTTGACCAGTGGGTGCCGTAGTTGAGAGTTATTATGACGAGCGAAGCTGAGTTGTAGGATATAATGAGGAGGACAGCCATGATACCATTAAGCAGGGAACCGTTTGGGTTGCTCCATCCGCGGGCTGCGGTCAGGAGGCGTAGATTAGAGTTGAAACGAAGTCGAGACTCTGAGGCTAGCGCAGAGCGCAGTGAAATGCCGTGCATGAAGCCTATGGACTCGGTGCATAATGTGACGATTAAGTTTATCATCAGGACCAGCATCTCTTTCTGCAGGTTGCTGCTTAGTGTCATTTGAGCCGCTCCGTTGCCTTCTTTGTTGGAGCCCATGATCACAATGCCTGCAATGATGCAAAAGCAGCTGATGATACTCGAGCCCGCTATTCCAACAAGGGTATATCTGCGACTTGTCAGACCACGGTCGTAGAAATCGGTTCCAGTCTCCGTAGTGGACTTCGCATCAGGTATCATTGAGCCAGAGTTATCATGGCGATTTGGAAGTGGGTCATATGCAAGAAGACTGAATGGATACTGATTTCCTTCTGTCGGTTTCAGCACAGCAGCCATGAAAGAGACAAAGATGAGGGCGAGCACATCATGGAAACGCAGAAAACTTATCTTGCGCCAAACTAAGCTATATGAATCCATCACCTCCATCGTCTGATACGAAAACAAGCGCTGCTAGTGACTGGTGATCTTAAGAAGAACGCTAGAAGATTTCAAAATTCATCATCAGCGAGCCAAATCACGATGCCAGGTGCGTACCATTACAATCCCACCACGACCGTGATAGGCTCTAGAAATTCAAAGTTGCGAGTCGAGCCCACAAATGGTTGATCAGATGACATTAATACTGCCGCTATGTAGATCAGATGAGACCATCAGTACTGCTATGTATCAGTCGAGTCGGAGTCTCGTTACTAACTTAGTTATTTGGATTTGAAAGACTAAGTTTAGCTCACGTTGCGACTCGAAGGCGCCAGTCTCCGCGAGTTGAACGATCGTCGAATCAATTGACTGGAAAGCATCTTGCTGAGTCGGGAGAGAAGCACGCCGACAGTAGTAGTGTACTAACACCATCCCCGGACGACAGGCGAATTATCAGCAGAGGAAGCGATAAGATCGAGTCAGATGATCCAATGCAAGGTTGTATATGAAATACCATGCAAAAAAGGTATTCATTCCGGAAGCACACACTGCTCACGGTATGGTCACAGGTTGTGAGTTACTCTCGTTCATCCAGGTCAAGTCAAGGCCCAGTCGACCGTTTCTGCAGTTACTTAGCTATAGTTGGGCTATAGTGTAGATAACTAAAAAAATTCTAAAAGGCATGTACAAGAAATCAGAATAGCAAGCACGCATTGCACGTCAAGCAATTAACCGGGTTATCCCATATAATAGTAAAACCTCTCTATCATACAGAATGTCACCAAAAACAAACGATCCCGCATGCAAATCACTCGTTCATCTCTTTCTCTTGCCGACAGCACGAAAGCCATGCGAACCACATCATAGTGCGAAGTTGGAGAACGTCCTCCTTCCATGCCATCGATTGGTTTTGCTCCCGGAACTCGCGCGTCAACTTTTCACAACGCTCAATGTTTTCGGGGCTAACGAAATCGACTGCAACTTTGACACAGTCCGCGAGATTGCATACCTGTGTTGCAAAGTGTGAGCGTTGGAGAACAGTGAGGAGGTAAATGACGAAACCTGATGGGCGCAACCGGCTGGAATGAATATAGCTTCTCCTGGTCTCTGGTACACACGATGGCTCTTGATGCCTTGCGTATCATATAACTCTTTCCGTAAGTGACTATCCAAGTAGAACTGTTGAGAGTGGATCGGATCATGTTGATACGAGCCCTTGAATTTTCTCTTGAGGAAAGTACGCAGTTTCTCGGCATCTTCAGCACGGAAGAGGTCCCATACCGCGCAACCTGGTTTGCCATCCGGCGAAGTAGACGCGTACGTCATGATATTCACGGCATCAGCCATGTCCATGTGAAGTCTCGTCGATCCTTTACTGCCCGCTGCCTCAAAGGAAGACATTGCGTTGTACATCTTGGGTCCTGCAATGGAACCTGAATGAGCAGCGTGATATCGAGTCGTGGTCATCATGATGCTTACCAAGATCTGGAGCAACCGTATTACTGGGGAAATGTGAGGCAATGTTGAGGGCACCATCCCGACGAACGTAATTGGGCACAGGAACAGCTCGACTGAAATCGTCAAAAAGTTCAGGAAACGCGGTCTTGAAATCTGTTGATGGTGGCCAATCCTAAAGATACGCGCTGAGCGTGTGTCAGGAACCACGCTCGCGACACACACCTTGAGCTTCCAGCACTCCACTCGCCCTTCATATTTTCCGAACCACGAGAAGAACTCGCCTACCGTCACGCGCTTGTTCACATCACTCTGGCACTCCAAAATGAGGCAACTCTGAGAGTTGTACTTCTGTACGAAATACTCAGGTGTCCACTGAATCTGGAACTTGGGCAGCAATTCGGTGACCACAATTGGGTCTCCTTTAGCCCACAACGGGCGGAAAATTTCTTCGGTAAGCTGCGAATCCGGGATGGTGGTGGTCGGATGTGAAGGTATTTCACTTGATGGAATAGAGTTCTGATCAGCGGACGATGACACTGCGGGGGCCGACGGTGATGGCTCAGCGACCTGTAAAGCAGTTACTGGCACTGATTCCGGATGGAAGACTCCATCTTGTGATGAGCCATTGTGGGGAGCAGAAGAGAGCGATGGCTCTGCTGCTGATGCAGACTTCTCGCCGCCGATATGCGAAATTGCAGCCTGGACAGAAGACGAAGCACACCCATTTGCCTGTGCTCGTTCTGGCTGTAATAATGGGTCTATTGCTCCAACGACAGGAAGTGCGTCATTGTCCGGCTCCTGAAGCATAGCTTCCATATCTTTAATCGCCTGTGCAAGCTCGGCCTTACAAAAGCGTGACATCGGTGAAAAGTCCTTCGCGTGGTGCTCGTTCCGGCGTGTGCAAGACAAGAAAAACGGGTTGCTATGAGCGTGTTTTTCTCGCCGGGCCTGGAGAGCTGCAATCTCAGCCTGGGTTGCACCAGGTCGATCTTCGGTGAGATCTTTCACTTGTTCAAAACATTCCGCACATGCTTCTCTGCCGCATAATCGGCACATCCAACTACTGGAGAAAATCGAGGTCATACAGGTATCTGTATATAAAATAATCAGAGACACAAAGAACAAAAGGTCGTGGTACTGACCACAAGTGGCGCGCACTTCGCTTTCTCGGGTCCTTCGGATAATCTCGGGGAAGTTCAAGTGTTGCAGCTCCTGACGGAGCGTCGGGAGAAGAGCATGAGCTATCGTCCTCTAATTGCTCAAATGGTCAGACTTGATGTTCTGTCAAAACTCAGAACGGAGTATTTCTCACTTTCGTTCGCCGTATATGCGTGAGAGTCAGTGGGACATTCCAGCTCACAGGGAAACTCATGCTCGGTGCATCAGGTCGCTGATTCTCAACGAAGCTGACGCCAACAATATTTCTCTGATTGTCTTTCAAGAAAAATCGTATGCCTTGGAATCGGCATGTATCACCAGCCCAGCGGCGTGTGCATGACACACAGCGTGGGAACTGTTCAGATCTATATCGATTCGACATGCACCGAGCGAATTGTAATTCGGGGTGCAGCTGAGCGTCGGCATTTTGTCCATGATCGCCCGTCACAATGCGCATGGGAGCTTTTAAGTGTCAAAAACTGTTTGACGTGAAGGGAAGTAGCGGCTTACCCTCTGCTGTTTTCTCTTTGCCCTTGTCGGTAGGAGGAGACGCGTAAGAAACAGTCGGCATCAACTGGGCTACAAGGTAGTTAGCAACCATAATTCCAGTCGTACCTCAACTAACCATTTTGAGCTGCAATTTGGGCAGCTTCGCTGCGCTTCTTAGCGTTGTAACCCCGCTTCGATGAACCTGGGTATACCATCAGCCACCAGGCAAAAGTGACACGGGATTGGATAGCGTACCGTTTCCTTCCGTAGGCTTTGGTTTGGTTTTTGGCTTCTTAGCCTTCGGTGCTTGGTCCACGTCTTCGGTCGTGGGACGCTTTTGTGGAGGAAGTGCAGGTGCATGGTACAGGAATATTCCTGGATGCATGGGCGCCATCTCATAAATTGGCTGCCCCGGCATGGGAGCCGTGAAACGGGCTGCTATACGAACAGAAGCTCTTTCAGCATGCTGCAAGGCTTAGGATCGGTACAAATTGAGAAACGAGACTAGAAATCACGAGGAATGTGATAGTTACATGATGCAGGGTGTCCTGGTGGTAGTTGTTGAGGATGAAAACCTTGCGAAGGGTGATTGAACTGAGCTAAATATGATGTCAGTGGCGCGGTCATATTGGTCAAGTGACGCGAGCTAACTGTTCGCTGGATAGTCGCCCGATAAGGCTGACGTAGACAAAGGACTTGAATGAGGATTCAGGTGCATCTCGCATGCTTACTTACCTGTCCGCTCATCTGAATACATCGGCGCAACCACAGGAGATCCATAAGAAGGATTGGGCATCTCTGCTTGAGATGGCCAAGGATTCGTTGGTATTGCGTAGTTTCCAGTCTCATCCATCCTTGATCTCCCCTGACGAGGAACTATGTCGCCGTTGGGTTCAGTATGCATATGAGGATGGGTTGGCAATGGGTATGGACGAGGACCTCCATTGTCAATTCTACGTTTAGGTACGGACTGGTCGTCGCTGGGCTCCCAGCTAGCTGCTCGGAGATGGAAAGAAGAAGCAGACTCTATTGATTGATTATAGTTGCCCTGGGGTTGGTGCGAAGGATGTTGGTACTGAGAAACAGTGACGGGCGATGGAAGATGAGTAGCATGAGAGTAGACTGAGGATTCGGATGATGGATTTAGAAGCTGGCTGATGGAAGTTCTCTTGTGGGAGTCGTGCATGGTGTTCATCGTTGCGGTCAACGACGAGTAAGCAAGAAAAACGAAACCAAGACGGAACTTTGGTGTAAAGAAATGAGGTGTTGGGAGACACCACCCAAATCCTCTCAAAGTCGACCACGCGGAGTACGAAAGAAACCTCCGGTACGGAGAATGCCGAAAATGGTATGTTTAGGCTGATTTCTAACGTTGACCGCAGGATATTCCAGGGCCGAGAAGCCGAACTGTTAGACTTGCCTACTTACATCTTTAAATTAGCGCTGGTTTGCACAAATTTTACGCCAAATCTGACAGAAAATTAGTATCTTGAGGTGTACCGTGTACCTGAGCGTCGATGTCTACATATAGCAATCTCATCTCATCTTCCGCGAACCTCTCGCGGTGCTCGCCCCTGACACCAATCTGACCAACCCTTTACTCACAATGCACTGCGACAAACCTTGATGAATTTTGTAAAAAGGCATGTTGCCAAGCCCACACGGCACACCTTCACACAATTCCCGCAACATGTCAAATTCAGGGATCTTCCGAATCACTCTAATGCCCATGGTGAGAAGATCATTTCTGCTTGCTAGCTACCAATGTCCATCCAGACAAATCGATGTGTCATACCCCGTACTATAACGGTAACGTGTCAGTGACTGAAAGGTATGATATGTTGTTAAAGTCGAAAGATAAATGCCCAAAAGCCCCATAAAACCCCAAGATAAAGAAAGGATACATGCTTACGAACGGTGATCAACAACGAACGAAAAAAAAATATATCAAAAGGTATACGAATCTTAAAAATATTTGCGAAAAAACGCGGCGACCTTCAGATACAATGGTAAGACCATAGGCGTGGCCAGCCTCGCAAAACTTCCAAAGGTCGCCCAACACAGTCATTGAGGAGATACCGGGGCATCTTGGAATTCAGAAGTATTAGTTGACGTTTCACTCGCAGTCGCATAAGATGTTTCCGACGAGCTTTCATGGTATTCCTCACCATCTTCACAATTATGATAAGTGAAATCCAGCGGCATTCGAGGTGGGAAAAAAATACCTGTATTCGTGTGTGCGTCCTTGAGAGTAGTAGATTCCGTGACCGCATCATCCGCGTCATCATTATGAGCGGCTGTATCAGATAAAATAATTAATGTCGATTTTTTAAGTGTTTCGCAGCACGCGCACCAGGGGGTGAAGCGGGTTTCTCTCCTGAAATCGCTGATCTAAACGAAAGACGGGTAAAAATAGAAGATTGAGCTTACCAGATCGCTCGAAGGAATCAGAAGATTCAGAAGAAGGGGATGATCCGGGGGAATCATTCTCGGGCAAGTCATTTGCCGGTTTCGAGGGTGGCTGGTCTCCTTTCGGGTCCGCAAGTTTGGCAGTACGCTCGGAATCAGGTTCAACAGGAGGATTGCCTTTGTCCTCTCTAGCGTTCGATGATGATCTGCTTGGAGAGCCGATGGGAGTCATGCGGCCCTCGGGAACGTACAGCCGTCGAGCCACAAGTTGGGCTTGAGCCGTCTGCTCCGTCGATATACTTTTCACCACCTCCGGCCGTAGGTCAGCCCACATCTGCAGGGCCTTGATCGACCCCCATTCAATGATCTTGTTGTTTAGCCACTCCAAAGACACCGGTTTAGTCAGGAAATCATTGCAACCTGCTGCAAGGGCTGCCACTCGGTCGCTCTGAAGGGATGAGGCCGTGAGAGCTACGATAATAACGGCAGAACGATAGGGCGAAGCTGAAGTACGAGATTCTGCTCCGTCCGAAGTAGTGTCAGATAACGGTGTTCCGGGAGTGTAGCCTGAAGAAGCTATCAAACTCTCCAATCTTCTGATCTCTTTTGTCGCTTGTATGCCATCCATGACAGGCATTTGGATGTCCATCTGTGATAACGCATCAGCTTGATGAGACCACTACACGAGGGAACATCATACCAGGATCAAGTGGAAACTGCCATTGTGCCACTTCTGCACCGCTTCTTCTCCGTTCTTAGCCACGTCAAATTTGATCTTTTTCTTCTTCATGAAAGTTGATAGAATAGTCTGATTGATTGGATTATCTGGTCCGACGAATTAGTGGGACATACGAGGAAATTTGAAGTCCGTACCATCAACTATGAGTACACTGATCGGAGGTATGATGCTTGAGTCAGGTTGGCCCTTGCCTGCCTTCCCCAATGCCGTGGGGGGTGTCGAAGGTTTCGCATCATAAGTTGTCCGTCTTACCGATCTTCGCAAGAGCGCACTCGGTTGCGGGTCCCCCGCTGTTGGAGAACCTGAAGGAGAAGAAGCTTTCCTTAGATCGACAGAGCTTGTCTTGCGCGATGGGGGTGATAGCGGTGATGAGGGGGCATGTTCATCTGCCTGTGGAGAAATTGCTCGTTTTCCCTTTCCTTTGGGAGTAGTAGAGATTGGCGTAAAACCTTCGATAGGGGACGATGCTAGCCGAGGGGGAGAGGCATTTCCCAAAACATTGCAATGCAACGCCGCAAATGATAGCGGTGATTGATTTTGCTTCTTCTGTTCGCCGTCTGATAAACGGCGGGGACTGGACCCGCGAAGCCGATCAGGATGTGGCAATAGAAACTGCGCCTTCTCCCGGTCTACTGCAATGGGTGACGGTGCGACAGGCTTCGTTGATTTGGCACGCGGTTGGAAGATGATGCCTGCCGGCTGACCGTCGGGGCTTGAGATAACCAGGCCAGAGGATGGGGTCTGGCCGAGCCTTACAGGGCTCTGAGTTTCAGGGAAGTACTCCATGTGATCCGCAAGACCGAGGGGTGACGGCGGGTGTTGATGGTGCTCGCTTACATTGTCCCTCGCGGATCGGCTAGACCGGTCGGAGTTGGACCGCGTTGAATTCGGTGGGCGAGAAGAAGGGGATTTCGGGCTGGGCTGAGGTAAATTGAAGAACGGAGAACTGTGCAAACCAGGGCTCAGCGGCGAGGTAGCAATTGGGACAAAGAAGGGATCAACGATGGGCTTCGTAACAGCGGTGTGGAGCGCAGTGAGGAACCTGCGTGGACCCGCAGGCTTTGGAATAATCATGACTTCCGGTGGACATACTGCGTAGGAGTGGGAAGCGAGATCACATTGTATGATTTCCTTGACTGACTTGTAATTGGATAGGCTGGTGAAGTGAACGACTACTATGGGGGAAGGTAGCGACGAAGTCTGTGATCCAATGCCTAGAGTACGGGCCACCTGTGGTGACGACTTTGGGCGGTGGTGAGCAGCTAGGGACGGTCGTTTCCGAGAGTGAATGTTGAGAGGCATTGGCTGCTCTGCTCTATACTTGCGCAACCTCTCCCGGAGGACGGAGACATCATCATCAATCATTACAAACGACAACGATGGAGCTGAGCGATTATTGCCGTTCGTAGATGGGGCTCGAGGCTCCCGGCCTGAAGGGGCTGGGACTTCATTGGCGCCTGGATTGCTATCCAAATCAGCCTCTGACGATATGTGGCTGACATCCAACCCCCAAGCGGTGAGATAGCTCGTCAAGTGGTGTGCAAAGGAGCTTGTGGTGCTTGCATACAATGTAACTTTCTTTCCGCGCAACGTTTCGGCGAATTGAGCAAGCTCTTCGAGAGACGGCTCCGTTCCTAGCCGGACCCCACTGAGAAGCGCGTTCGATTGTTCGGATAATGCAGATGATTTGGCATTAATGGCATCTGGCGAACCGCGCTGAAGTTGAACTTTGACTTCGTACGTCCTTTTTGACGCTATATCGTCAGAAACCTCGGATGAAAGCGACGCGCCGCATCGAAGAAGTAGCCTTCGGAACAGCATTGAATCAAAGTTCGGCTCTCGGCGCTCTGAAATTCCGGAAGGGTTCAAGTTGGTAGGCGTCGTGACGTCCATTGGCACATCCGGTGAGTGAAAACGGTGATGGATTTCGAATGTGCAGTGCAAGGATCCATCGTCATCTGTGGGGACGGGCGAAGAAACACCACTGGCTGTCGAACTTGGCGTCTCTGTGGAAGGTGACATAAATCCTGACGAAGCGATATTAAGACCCAAGTCAATGGAGTCACCACGGCGTGCGGTATCGATAATTTGACGGACGGCCTGTACAATGTGAGACTGAGATTGATACAGTAACGAGCACACTCACATGCGTCAGCACATTAGATATTCCACATTCTACCCCTTTGACCGCGACATGCCTCATCCCTACGTCGCTATGAAATAAAACCAGATCTACACCAACTTCAGCAGCCCTCCCACTCGACGCGTCTCCAACTCCTTGCAGCATCTCCCCAATATCGAAGTCAGTAGCGGCAGTGAAAGGTGGTCCAGGCAAAATCAATCTGGTTGTCGCAGTAGAATTACTAGAAGCACGAGCAGGCATGCGGGACATGTCAGCACATAAATCTGACATATTGGCAGAAAGATAATTGAGGTTCTTCATGGTCGTGAAAACAGCAGACATGCAAGCGGTGGGGACCGAGAGAGAGCAGGCAGCAAATTGCTCCTTCGCAGGGTCGAGGAGTTGTGTGGGCGAGACCTGTAACAGCGTCTGAACGACCATCTGGACAGAGTCTGCAAGCTCTAATGAAAGCTCATGGAACGGAGAGTGTTCAGCGTTGGGATCTGTGGGGAGGGGTTGGCTAGGTATTTCGGGAGTAGTAGATGTGGTCCTGCGGGGATTTTTTAGATGCTCTAGCTGTGATGGCAAAGGCATGGTGGTTGCACGAGAAAGCCGTGGTATACTAGGGTTCTCATCGTGGTGTGGAGCGAGTTGCTGAGGTCGGAAGCGATGGCTCAGTGAAGCGTCAAATTCGTCAGAAAACTCGGCCTGCGATTGCTTCTCTCCCGACGGGAAAAACTCTTTGTCCGAAAAATCAGATTCCCCGTCAGATGAACTGAAGGTAGCTTGACGCTCTGTAGCTTGGACAAGAGGTGGAAGTACAGGAGGCGAATTCGGCTCTGCAGGCCACGTCATGGCAAACTTGCTGGGACCGACGGCCTCTGGCGCCATTACTCCTTCTTCATTGACAAGAACGGATACCGGGAGACGATGAGCAAGAGGTTGTTTGGCCCCACTCATTGATGATCACGGCTGCCGTGGAGTCAGAAGTTGTGCGGCGGCAACGCCCGACGTATAGTCCAAGTTTCAGACAGGATTGTGTAGAAAGGAAACAGAAATGGACGGTTTGCAAGAGAAGGCAGAATAGGTCAGGGACAGGAAAGGGCCAGGAGGAGATTTCTGTTATACTGACCGCAACACTCGTCCTTTTTGAGCGGCACCCTTTTTTAGCTTTCCGCGATCTAAATGTGCCATGCTCATCGAGTGCGGTATACCTAAGCTCGTCTCCACTGAACCAATAAAAGATATGACAATCGATATCTTTGAGATGTCTGCGGAAATAAACCACCAACATGCGACATAATCACCAAAATATATTGCGAGGCGTAAAGAAGTTATATCACGTATGTATTGAGACCACATTAGTAGGTCAACTCAATGTCTCCTTCAGCAACCGAGTCCATGTCGTGGTAGCTGACCTTCTTGCCCCCAGCAGCCCTGGGATCTTCCTTCGCATCGGGTGGCGGAGGGGGCGGTGGACCTGAGCTCGTGGCTCCTCCTCGGCGACCTTTCCTACCAATATCCGCCGCAGGCTGGCCGAGGTCCATGGTGACTTGTGGCTTAGCAGGAAGTCCAGCATTGGCGGGAATTGTAAGCTCCATAGGCTGCTCCAGATTGGGGGCATAGCCGCTAATACGATCACTGAGCCTGCGAGCAGTGGTTGCTTCATCCCTTCGGGGCGCCGGAGGAGCAGGAAATAGCCCCGGGCCGAATTGATATCCGTAGTGATCCCAGTGACCGTTGTTTCCAAAGGTTGGTGGAGGAAACGGAGTAGGATAAGCAAAATAAGGGTTCGGACGCCCAAAGTCGGGAGGCGGCGGGTATACCATTGCAGATCCTTGAATGCCGAACGCTTGGGGAGGAGGCTGGCTGTTCCCGGTGATAGGAGGTGGGTGGGTGAACGGCTGAATTCTATGTGGATCAAGCGCGAAGTTATTGAAGTAAGGGACCTGAAAATCCGGCGACCGTGAGATGCCGAAAGTAGATGATATGAAACACATGCGTACCTCATCGAGCTGTTTCACGAGTTCAGGGTGCTTGTTTGCGACATGCTTCTCCACAAACGAGGTGGCCTTGAATAGCTTCTGGCAAGTTTTGCACCGGAACCTGCCCTCATCTTCCTGCTTGATGTATTGCTCAACTGCTTTGCTCAGCTCCCTGCATCGAGAATGACATTTCCAGTAGTCGGAGATCAAAGGAGACACGCACTCGTCGTAACTCTTGCCACCATATTCACGCGGGTCCAGGTCATTGCGATTGATCAGCAGCGCAATCTTGCTGTCAAACCACTCCAGCCAGCGCTCATCTGCTCAACATGATCAACAAAGCGGACTTGAAAAATTGCCAAGAGCTTACCATTGCGCTTCCAGTCTCTGGTTTCGGTTGGCTTAACAGGTAAAGGTGCATCACTTTCTTTCTCATCATCCCTTTCCTTTTTTTCTTTCTCAGCCTTTACCTCCTCAAGCAGTGACTTGGACAGAGGCTTCCTCACGTGCTGCAAGCACTTACGCTGCAATTCTTCAAGGTGATCGGTAACAACAGCGCAGTAGTAGCATGCGTGAAACGCTGCCCGAAGGTAGGCAAGATACAAGTCCAGGGAAATAACCGCCTAGAAGAAGCGCCGAAAGAGCTGATGTTAGCGACCATTGAGTAGCGCATCACATCACATACTTTCTTCGCCTCCATCACCTTTTCATCGACTACTCCCTGTTCGCGAAGGTCTGCCATAATCTTCTCTATCCTCCGTTCTATAGCCTCAGATCCAGATTCTTTTGGCTCCGAATCGTCCTCGTGGTCTGCATGTGCATCACTCATCACAGCATCCACGGGTTTTGCATCTCCGTTGGTGGCCGAAGACTCATGCACTGATGGATTAAACTGCCGAAGTGCCGTAGCTTCTTCCTCTAAAATAGTGGCCAAGAGCTTTGCGTTCGCAAGATCTTTCTCAATGCGGTCCGGCTTGCTGGCGACTTCTGGGACATAGCGGATTCTGTTTACAAAGGGCTTAACAGTGTGAGCAACATGAAGCTTGAAGCCTTCAATCTAAAGGATCGCATAAACGAAAGCCGTGCGGTACAGAACGCAGAGATCGTCACCTTTTTATCAGTCAACTCAGTCATAACCACTGTCATATCAGCATCGTCACAGAACCTGATCCACCCAGCACGGTAGTAGTTGCGCTTCTGGAGAGGGTCGCCGAGCGCTAGATACATGTATCCTGGGACCTTACTACATGCCTATGAAGGACTATAAGCTCATATAATCACATAGAACAACCACACTTACCTCTTCCAGCTTCACGCGACCAATGTCAGGCGGAATAGTGCGGATCATGACCTGGTTGCCCTCCGGGGCCACGGCAATCTCTTCGCCACGATTATTGCGCTTGTTGTCATTTACAGTTTTCCCGTTGGCCTCAGCGCGACTGGGCTCCTGTTCACCAGCGTCATCCTCAGCGTCGAGGTTGAACTGCATGTCATCATCGCCACCAGTCTTCGCATCCTCACCAGCCTCAACCGTCTCCTTAACAGGAGAAGCCGTATCTGTTTCAGGCTCGCTCAAGTCAGGATCAAACTTGCCCGACTCGAGGTCTAGCAGAAACGTGTTTAATCGCCCTCTCCAACCTTCCTTTCGAACACGACGGCGTAAATCAACCATCTCCGCAGCTGGATCATACTTCTCTGCAAACCACGGGGACTTCCTATGGTGATCAAACATGGTCTGCAACTACATACATAACAAAAGACGTTCAGCTGCTGCTTCACAAAACTCATGACGGCAAAGGACATAGTATGCCACAAAGTACACACACGACGCTTGAGAGATTGACGGCGACTAACCTGACTTGCGACGAATTCCTTCTTGTATTTCTCCCAACGAGCACGAATGCCATTGCGAGGCTTGGAACCATCACCGGCTTCTTGCTCCGCTGCCTTGTCGGCGTTATCCTCTTCAGTAGCTTGTTGAGGGAAGACGAATCTAAACCATTCAGCATACTGCTTCAGGGTTGCTGGATGGTCGAGGGTACGCGGGTCAACGGGTGCTCGGCGAGGAGGATACGAGGGCGCAAATTGAGGTCTGGGAGGGGACCTATAGCTGTACGTGCGCGAATGTGGATCTAGATAGAGGTCAGAGATGTGAAAACAAGTTGACACAGCAAAAACACCATAGTCATCGCCATAACGCGGGCGTGGATCATATCGCTCCCTTTCCCTGTCGTAAGGTGAAACGGACCTGCGACGTTTTCTGCCTGTACAAATTGAGTATTATATCAACATACTGTGATGAAACGAAGTGAGACAAAAAAAAATCGTACTTTCGTCCGGTGGTGGACTGCGGCTTCGGCGACGAGTAAATTCATATGCAGCTCTATCTCGGTCGTACTCGACCCATGCCCTCTCCCTATCCCTCTCATGTGTATCCCAGCCACCTCTGTACTGGTCTGGAGGATAGCCAGTGTCTGGATATGGTGGTCGAGGATGACCGCCACGAGGTGGGGACCGAGAACGCGAGCGACGAGCTGGAGGGTAAGCAGGAGCAGGCCAGGAAGACATTATAATATCTTAAGAAGTAAGAACTGAGAGAGAAATCAGAGACGATATTCCACGGCAAGTGAGAATAGGATGGGGGATTTTTGAGGAGATAGAGCCGAGCATGATTGAGAAGGACAGACCTCTTGGGATCGCGAGACTGTGAGTTTTTGAGACCAACCGACGCCAGTTGTTCAACTCAAACCTTTGTCGACAATGTCGCGATGCAAGTCGTTGCTTCCGTCAAACCGTGTTCACTTCCTCCGCATTCACGCGCCGATTAAATTTATCCCGTGCCGCCGGCCAATGGCCCGTGCACAAAATCACTGAACACGTTGACCAACTAAAAGATGCTACCTAAAACGCTATCAAGCTGTGTATCATCCATAGCCTTCGATCTTTTCCGAGGTTCCTCTTCTCTATCCTCAGTGGGGCGCTTCAGCTCAAGCGGGCCTAAACCCTTTTCCTTTCTCCTTTCATTACGTTTGTCCAATACTCGTGCCAGTTCGACATTCCTAAGATAGTCACGTTGTTCCGTCTTTGACTGCGCAAGCTCGACGCGCAGCTTCGCAGTATGAATAGCAGCTTCGTGTGCTGTGGTTGCAATGAGTACTCCGCGTGTACATACGTGAAGGAGGAACACACCTATTTGTTCAGTCAACATGTTCCACTTAAATTTGGGGAGGTACTTCATAGTCCACACGTCGTCTCGCCAACGGGTGCCCTTCTTGCCGCCGATCGGCTGCGCATTCAGCATCTCAGCTACAGATCTAGCAACCTTCTTTTCCTTGAATTCAACCCAGCCTTCAGTGAAATGCGGCTTCTTGGTGGACGTGTACTTTCGCCGGAGGTACGCACGTTTGGCGTCTTAGCCAAAGTCCAGTCAACGAGCAGTGGCATGGTGTAAAGTTGACACACCTTCTTGCTGGAGATACACTCTCCCCACTTCACCATGGGCACTCATCAGATGGCGTACTTTGGCAGGACGCATGCCAGGAGGTATTCGTGAGATGTAGATTACGCCAGTGCGAGCTTGCGCAGCATTAAACTTTGCGAGTGCCTCAGGCGTCAAAGGTTGGACTACCTTCGGTCCAGCGAATCCCTCAGGATCCATTCCCTGGCTCATTCCGTGATCTTCCTCGTCTACATCTGCCGAGCTTTCATCTGAACCATGATCTGGGTCGTGATGATGTTCATCATGCTCAACAGACGAACTAGGATGTAGCTTGGAGGAGGAAGCAATATCTTCTTCGCTAAAGGCAAACCGGGGATCTGTGGATGGTTTGGATTTTTTCATTTTCACCGTAGGGGGTGGCCGGAAATTGTTGGTCTCTACGTAGGCAGACCTAATAGAAGGAATATAGTTGTTCCTTCTGTATGGAAATTGTGTACTTAGTTGAAGCCTTTAGACCGTGACAACAACCGTCAACAACAACAGCCTAGTTCTATAGTAGCACTACGTTGAAACGTTCAACGTTGACAATGTTAATGTCCGCCGTTGGTGTTCTGTTCACAGTTCTGTATCATCGCGATCAAGTGTTGACAACTTTTCTTTCGGATCCCCCATGGTCATTGATGGCATCATAGCCATGATCCCTGTGCCATTTCAGGCTCAGCAAGGAATGGCATATAGCGGTTCATCATGATGCATTCATGAATCATGAATCTATGAAAGGCACGTAATGCACAGCACTCATATATTACGTCTAGGATGCTTTGGAGTCGTCCACTCGCCCTGTGTTGCCCTTGCAGGCTGCATGCGTAATTAATGATTGCGGAAAGGACCGCGCCTAGTATAATGGATCGCCGGACATCTTCAACCCTTCTTCTGTTGTATAGTGCCTCATCATAATGGGTACTACTCCTAAAGCACAGCAAATGTAAGTGGTCCACGTATAGATCGATCTTGTATCCTGAAGGAGACTGAATACTTCAGCTTGTTGTACATTTACACCATTCTGGCGGGAAACAGTATTAGGGCTTTTATCTTTGGTCCCAGAACGATGAGATGATATTCTAGGTATCCTGATATACGGCCATATGGCGACCCTACCAGAAGAAATTGCTTCTATTTGGTGGCGTCCAAAAGCACTCTCTGCAATGTTATTCCGCTATATCGCTCTGCACGGCAATGTCTGTGGCCTAGTGACGGATTCCCTTCCTGTTTCAGATGAGGTTCTATGATTTCGTTATGCATGTACTCAACTGGCAAGCTCACAACTTATCTCTGTGGAGTTCTACTCTATTTCTTGAATATTCGTCGTATGCTCGAGTTGGGTGTTCGAAACATACGCTAATCAGACAACTGCTCCTTTTTCTTCAAGAATTTACTGTCGGTTGTGAGTAGAGGTCTGTTGCAGGAAATTCATGTACTGAGATCTTCAGTCTCATTGATTTCTTCGCACTCACGCTCTTTACGGCCGTAGCAGGCGCTTGCTCAATTGGATGATACTCATTTGCCTTGCTCTTGCAGGAGGAACGTCTGTACGTGTCCGCATAGAATCTCGAACTCTGTACTGTCTGCTGATCATTTTAGGCGGGAAGTTTTGGACGTTTTGAAAGTGATGTCACATCTTGCCAGGAGTTGGCTGCTATGGAACCTATACATCAGATACGTACATCCTCTTCGTCGTTTTATGCACCTGCTCAAAAGTCATTACAGAGCCGTCCGTCGGTGAATTCTAAGTCACATTTGCATGTAACTTGATGTCATGACCTTATCCAAATGCAGGTCTTGGGCTGACATGGGTGGCTGTTTCTGTATTCAAATTTCTCATCTTCCTCCTCAGTGTACAGGACTTGCAAACCTAGAGGTTCACTGTGATTATCTCTGGTCACCAGGAGAAATGTCATTGATATATTTCACGATGGTAAATTATTCGTCGTATCGGTATTGTAAACGCTGAATCACCCGAGCGCATGTGCGATGTATTTCGGGCGAGCTTCCTGGTTAAAATCATGATTCGAGTGAATTTGATCTGCTTTCCTTCAGAACGGTGGCACTGATCAATATACCGAACATCCTGACGTACTTGTGGAGTCGCAAAGCGCTCACAGCTTGAACAGTTTGGTTCAGCGATCAACGCAAACCTGTATTCGGGTTGACCATTCCCTGACCATTGACAAGGTTGCCTCCATAGGCTGTCTGAGCACATTTACTATCTCGATAAACGTCCAATATGATTTCTCGGGTGATCTCCCGCCTGAGGCGGCAACCACAGCCTCGTTGTCCTTACCACCAAGGTCAACGTGCAGTTCGCGATTTCCTCTCATCATTGGTAGGCTGGTATTGGATTCTATTTCTGGATACCAAGGCGCGGATATTCTTGTAACTTGTTGGACTCGGAAGTGGAAAGCTATTTTGTTGAATGCAGCAGTTGTGACAGGACGACGCTATGCTGGCGACTATGCCTGCTTGATATATGTAGCAAGCTCATCGAACGTCATTTCTGGGCGTCCCCTATGTAGTTAGTATGTTCATCGTGTTAATTATTGAAGGCGACGCAAATTGACCTCTTTCGGGAGCTCGTTCTGTATCTATCAGCTCACTCTCAGTAACATCGTCATCGACAACCCCAAGCACTAGAGCTAATTCCCCCCGAAACAATCATAGTCTCTCCAGTCGCGCTGTCTCTCGAATATGAAGGCTGTACCTCGTAGAGACCCCTCCATTGTATTCATATTGTTCAGTCACGTCGGTGTGTATGATGGCGACAAATGTGAGGAGCAAGTATATGAGGGGAGCGTGTTTTTTTTACAAGAGGTGCCACGTTCAACACATTTGTGTAGCATGTTACGTACTTATGTTCTGTCGCGTATATAGGCCCTAGGGATTCTTATCCACCTTCAAGTTACGGTCTGAAGTCCCTATACATGTACAGTTGACAATGGGCATGTATGACTACATCCAGCGCTGAGGCGCTGCGATCAATGAAAATCGCGACTCTGGCAACGGATGGTAGATACTAGAGTAGGGCCATTGGAAGCTCTGAGTGGACTCAAATACTATTAATGCTGGAAGGCCGAGGTGGAGGAATAATATTGTGTTGCGCTGGGAATTTAAACCCTGAAATGATTGGTACATGCGATGACATCGATGATAGGTGTAGCTCTATCAGAGTTCGATGATTCACGTGACCATCGCGCAATTGGCACCACAGTTCTGTATCAGCGTATAGGCCGCCACTAATAATAGCAAGCCTTACTTACCGCAAACTCAAACTTCTAGTGCCGTGGGCCCGAGGCCTGAGCTACTATGTATGTAGTACTTACGCCAGAAGTTCGAACTTCGCCCACAAGGCTGAGCGCTGAGTAACATTCATGGAGCAGCACCGAGCTTACTCATCTGATACATGTACAGCCATGATTATGGGTTGGTAAAATACTAGACTCGAAAGTTGCTCGAAAGCATCGCTATCCGAATCTACCCAGTTCGCCAATCCCAATATGCCTCTAGTCTCAAATAATCCCGCTTGGTTGTCGTACCTGGATTGGTGTCGAGTTCTCAATTATTTTATAGGTTCGTGGAGAGCAAGTTGGATGATGTTGGGGACATCTCACTGTCTTTGACTGTGGTTTTGCAGTTGCGGCCTCTACTGCGGTGGTATACGATTGGGGTGAGCGAGATAATTCTACCGAGGGAATCATTGATATTGATCTGTATTTAAGTACTGACATTTGCACAAGAGGTAACTTGATGTCATCAATGGCGCAGCCATCTAAGTAACTAATAATGTTTCAACAGTTTGAACTGGTTTGGGTAAGCAAATTCCTACACACAGAAGCGATAATGGAGTTGATTCGGGGCAGAGGCGACGTTGGTCGCTCGTGACTGTTCTTTATATTTGTGTACGTGGCTTGTGAATGATATAAGTGCAGTACTTGCCAAGTTGTGCTAACTTCACATTAATGGATGCTAGGTGCGCTACCTTGGAATACTATATTCTATGTATGTTTGCGGGGCTATTCACATAGACACTGCACTCTGCTAATAAGCACAATCAGCGTCTACATACTGGGTATGTTACTGTATCCTCAAATTCGTTCGTTTCTTTTGACTGGTGGCGTATAGGGAATCTCCCAGTCTCGATGACAGATTTGGTGGGTATTCTGCACTGATACCTGCCATTCACATTCAACTACTTACTGCGCTCCTACATAGGAGTGAGTGATATACTTATTCTTAGTCGGCTCATTCTACATAACCACTGCAACAGCTGTGAGTTCATTTGAATCATCGAGTCCACCAATGCGCATCAGTAACTGGGTCTTTTTAGGCGCCATCTTTTACTTTATAATGGCATGGACGCCTGTCGTTGTCAATGCCATGTTGGGCAGTGAGCGGCTTAGCTGCGATACCTTGATGATATTGACTTGACTGAAATATCATGCAAGTCATCATGATGACTCGGATACAGGCGATGTATCGTCGATCCAAAACGATTTCCATCTTTCTCGTTGTAGTCTTGCTGGCTTCCACGATCGCCTCCGCGGTTATGACGGGAATGGGAAACATCCATGTTTCAGGGGGTAAGCTTTAACTATGTATGACAGCCATGTGAGGCTCATGGACGAATACCAGAGGAGCTCATCCTTTTTGGCATTCATACATGTTCCGTCCTCAATGACACAAACGACATACATCTGAATGGCGAGGTTGTGATACCCACCGTTGTATGGGAGATCCTAGCCTTGTGTCTTGCGGTCTGGATCGTTGTACTACGCTTCTGTGAACTGCGACGATCACAGACAGGATCACCCATTGGAGACAGTTTCACGATGTTAATAAAAAGCCACGTGCTGTACTTTGTAGCGTGAGTTGGTGATTTGTTGTTATTATCTTGTTTCACTGAAGTTCCGCGTGTGTTAGCTTTGCTGCTGTGTCTTGCTTCCAACTCGGCTCACTGTCTGTAACGATGACGGTGCGTTGACCTGTGGCTGAGATCCGCATCTGACCAATCCTCATCATTTCTGCAGAACTCCATATCCACGGGAACTGCTGTTTATCATGGCATTCTCCAAATTGCCCAGTTCATGCAGATGTTTGTGCTGGGACCACGTCTTATACTTAGCGTTCGAGAATATCACGCTAAGCTCGTGATGACCAGCTCTTACGAGGAAACTGGTATGACTACGCTTAGTTTCCGCGAGCGCGGACATGTATCAACCGATGGTAGTAGTGTGTAGCACAGTAAACTATCCAAGCGATCAAATCCAGGTGTTGTACAGCAATCCCTCATACCGTCCGTTCGGTGGTATGATATGACGACCCGCATCGTTGGCTTGTTGAGCTTGGTGAATCCTACCAATACTCATATTTACCCCAGTCATTTTTCAGTTGAAGTAAGACGGTGTCAGACACGGTCTGTAGGGTTCATGCAAGGGACGGTTGCAAGCTTGTAGATTCGACACAGGTGTGAACTCTACGACGAATGCAGTACAAGCTGTTTTTACACAAAAAACATAACTGCGACAAACTTCCGCATTGGCGTATTCCACAAAATCGACCCTTGGTCTGAGTTATACAGTGGGGGCTCAGGTTTCGCAGATGAATAGGATATCCGAGTCGTGCTAGCTTCATCCATTACTGTGGGTCCTGTAAACACAATATCAGCACACTGTTCGTATTCCTTGTAATTAAAGCCACACGATTCGTCGCATCATCCATAGTAAGAGGTGTTCCAGATAACAAGTCCAGTCGTCGGATGATCCACCTCCCTGGAGGCTCTACATTACGTCTGGAAATGTAAACCGTCGAGCTCAACGCACCTTCTACCCTGTCCTGACTTCGTCCGCATCAATCCACCCAAGTTCATCCGACTTTGAAAGAAGGCCGGCCATTGCTCGTCTTCGTCGCGTCTGCTTTCTTTCACGACATCTATGCCTCCGTTTCCAGTGGGAATATCCCTCCTCTTCCGCCTTATGAAACGGAGGATATACTGAGCATGGATGGAGTGTCATAGAACACCCGCAGCTCTTTTCAACCACCAGGAGGCGAGTCAAAAAGTGAAAAATGCGCATATATGCGATCGACGTACATCGAGAGGCTCTCCAGCTGGACGGTGCTTGCTTGCAGAGGAGCGTATATCACCGCGGTCGGGTTTCAGTGTATATTCAAGCCAGTACCATTCCTCGAATTCGGCATCTAGCCACGGCGGCTGCGCACCTTGGGGTAAGTCGAAGGTGATGTCCGCTATAAGATTGTCGAAGCACTTGTTGCCAGACAAACAGTAAGTCAGGAATTGGCGTGATATGAGAATTATTATATAGCTCACTCGCGGACGCTCCAGCATTTGTCCTTCCTTGATAGAACGTCTGTCCGCGGCATGCTCAGGTTCTAGGGATGGTGTCGGAGTCTTGCGAGAAATATGCAAAGAGAACGAAGGGTTGAACTGGGAGTTGGCGATCTCGAGTGACGTGGAATGCAGGATGCCAACTGAAGAATCCGGAGTGAGTGGAGGAGTATTGCTTGAAACCGCAGAAGGACACGATGAAATAGGTGATCCGGAACAGAATTGATTTTGGGGCGTGATATTGTCAGGGGAGACAGAAGAAACTCTCAAATGTTCACTGCATTTCGTATGAGCTACAAAGTCGGTCGAACAGCTATCCATCTGGAACATAATTTTCATCCCGGTCAGGTCTTCGTCGTGCGCGTGTATATCGTCGTCAACATCTTCCGCGTGGACTGATAGACAACCCTCGTGACTCGAGAGTCGGTCGCGAACAATGCCAAGGGCGGGTCGTGTAAAGCTGTTCTTTATGTTGGTCAACCAAGAGTCAGAGTTGGACGCATGTCTGGTATGACGCCGTTGATGATATAGACCCGCTTCCAAATCGCGCAAGGCATCGTCGTCGACATCGTAGTCCATGATAAGCACCGTCGTAACTGAATGTTACTCGTTCAAGTTGAATTCGACAAATCATAATAAATCAATTGCGTACGTTCCCGTGCATCACAGTGGCGCTGCACAAGTTGGAATCCTGATGAGATCCGCCGAACATCACTTGGCCGTGAAATTGCCATTAGAAAAATAACTGACTTTGATAGTTCTAGTAAGCCCGTTTGAACATGTTTAGCATTCGATATGCAGTGTCCAGATGGAAGCTGCGACTGCGCACCACTTCACAGAAATATGCCACAGAACACGAGCGCTGCGGCAACAGAATAAATTATACGGAAATCGACACGCAATGTAGGAGAATATTTTACACCAGTGGGAACTGCTACAAAATATGCAATGAGCGGTCATAGTTCCAGGAAAGGATGAATCGTGAATCGTCCTTAGTAGGGAATCCGAGGCGGGAGAAGCAAATTTGCGTACCACATACAGAAGGAATTAGTCCTTCTCATTCAAGAAAGCGTCCAGCTCATCATCAAGATCTTGATGCGTCTTTTGTGTGCGTGGGATTCTCCTCCCTCGACCCCTCGCTCTACGCCAATCTTCTTCAGTGTCAATTTGCCGGTCAGCCAGTCGGTCTGCAAGCTGACCATTTGCGCGGCGCGGCAACGGTGCAGCAATGCGATTTTTAAGGTCTGAGGAGGAACTGTGCGCAGAAGGCGTGTGCTCCGCAGTTTTGCGTAGAGCGCCCATATTGTCGGAACGCATTTTGGACGGTTTACCAGCTTCAAGAAACGCATCAAGATCATCGTCCGCCTGGCTCAATACTGTTGGATCATCTCTCCTTCTTTTCTTCTGCGACGTTTCCCCTCCCTCACCCTCTTTTCCGGCGGTTTCTCCATATTTCTTATAGAACTTGCTCTCCTTCTTTGCACCCTTCTTCTTCACATCATCGTCCTTAGCCCAACGCATGCGTATGACACCTTTCAGCCCTTGACCTTTACCCAGGCTCTTGGATATTCGCTCTTCTGGCGGCCATAGAGTGATTGGAATGGGTTTTGCCGTGATGAAGCCGTCTGCATCCATATCCTCTGTAGCAGATTTTTGTAGGTACCGATGTGCGGTACGTGCAGAGGCGGTTGATTCGTAAACAAGGATGCAGCTATTGTCGTTGAGCCATTCTAGGCCCATAGGGTGTGTGTCAAAATGGGTGGCGTATGCAAAGATGCGGGCAGTGGGCAGGTGGGAAATGGGAGTACCAGTGAGTAACAAAGCATTTGCTCTCAAAGTCATAGCGGTATCTTATGAATGGCACCTAGTGAGTCGCATGCCAAACACGAAAGTTAAACCCGTGTTTACCTTCTTCCATATCAACGTCGTCGTCGTCGTCATCCTCCTCTGTGCGCTTGCGCTTCAGGATCAAGCGGAGAGAGGCTCCCGTATCAGGCACGTTTTCCGAAAGCTGAAATTGGCATACTATTAGCGCACCTTGGCAATTCTTGCCTGGGCAGTGTCAGAGAGAAGGTACACTTTGGTGTTCCCTATGCGGTTGAGCAATGTAGCTCGCTCTGGGTCATTGGATGGATGAGTGGGTAGTTGTGATTCATAGGGAACAGTTTCATCATATGACAATGTAGTAAGGTCTGGCGCAGAGACCCCGTCAGGAAAGTTGTCCATGGCGTTTAGAATAAAGCTGCTCTGACTAGATACAAGGACCACGCACCTATTACCAAATTGGGTAATTTTTCGACCGATGGTGCCCAGCAGTGTCAGGACTTCCCACTTACCGCGACAGCTTCAAGCAATTCATTTTGCTTGCAACAATGGCAGCCGCCTCGGAGGAGCAACCCATCGTCAACAAAAACAAAAGGCATCGCAAAGATAAACGTAAGTTTTAAAGGTCTTTCTTAAAAATTCGTGAAGGCAACTCTGCATTTCAGCATGGGACACCGATGACATCGACCAGTGAGCATTACTTGCATGTCAGTTAAAATAAAACCGCTGATCACAATACCTCCTGTCCAGTGTAAGCACCATAACTGATATGCATTGTCAATACGTGCTCAGCTCTACCCCAGTGGAAGATAGACCCATTCCAACCAGCTGACAACAAAGGCGGCGTATTTACTGAGGAATCCTCATTCGCCACGCTTTTTCCAAAGTACAGGGAGAAGTATCTCAGGGAGGTTTGGAGCGCAGTGACTAAAATTCTGGATCCGCATGTGAGTGGTCGCATCAATTTACGCCATCTCACCCTGTTGACTTAGCACCCAGGGCATTGCCTGCACATTGGATTTGGTTCACGGGTCCATGTCAGTTCGAACGACACGGAAAACATTCGACCCATACATTATACTCAAAGCAAGAGATATTATCAAACTGCTCGCAAGAGGAGTTGCAATTACTCAGGCTCAGAAGGTATTACAGGACGATGTCGCATGCGATATCATCAAAATTGGCAGTCTAGTTCGTAATAAGGAACGGTTCGTGAAACGGAGGCAACGAATTATTGGACCGGATGGGAGTACGCTGAAGGTGATGATCTCTTACCTTCGACCTTTTGCATGTCGCTGACTTCTTGCAGGCCATTGAGCTATTGACCCAGTGCTACGTTCTTGTACAAGGAAGCACTGTCAGTGTCATGGGTCCGTACAAGTCACTAAAGGAAGTTCGACGAATAGTACTCGATTGCATGAAAAATATCCATCCCATTTATCGCATCAAGGTATGTCGACTTACCAAATTCCTTCCACAACTCTATTGAAGCATTCGCACAGGAACTCATGATAAGAAGGGAACTTGCAAAAGATCCCAAGTTGGCAACAGAGTCCTGGGACCGGTTCCTACCGAAGTTCAGGAAACAACACTTGAAGACTTCTGAGAAGACAAGCAAGAAGAACGAGAAAATCGCAGCCAAGGAGGAAGCACGCAAGACTGCAGGTCTTGATGCTTCGAGTTCTACCAAAAAGGACAAACTGGCAAAGAAAGTGTACACGCCCTTCCCACCGCCGCAGCAGCCACGAAAGGTAATTTACTCTGCCGGTGTCTGTTGAGTAGTGCTGACGTTATGACCAGGTTGACCTTCAACTTGAATCCGGAGAATATTTCCTTAAGCCTCACGAGCGGGAGGCCCGGGAAGTCCAACAAAGAAAACAGAAAGTGCGTGTTTACTTTTGCAGTTCGCAGCAAATCTCATTTTATCTGCAGCAAGCTGAGGCCACCCTTAAACGACGAGCAGAACGGGCAGAGGTATATGTCGCTCCTCAAGAAGAGGCAGCCCCCACAGTTGAAGAGAAGCGAAAGCGACGGCATACAGAAGTGGATGGCGAGGATGGGACAACGAGGTCGAAAAAGAAGAAAAAGAAGGACGATGCTGCAGAAGATACCTAGGTGTAGTAGACACAATTGTTCGTGCGCCCTCTGTTCAACAAAGCTTGTTTTCTGCATGAGGTGTAATGATTCAGAGCATAGATGTTGCACACATGTCCAACAGTCGACGATGCGTTTCGCGCGGGCGTTTCGCGTTCTGCGAAAACTTGGTGTCTGCGAATCAGGGATATGTGATTTTTTTGCAGCAGCCAATAGTAAGAGGTTGCATTACGCCCTGAATGCAGGATAGTCAGATCTCAACGACAGTAGGTACTCACAGGGTCCCTATCCGTGACCTCATTCCCCGCAACCGCGAATGTTCGGGATTTTCAGTGAGTACCTCGCCGGCGAGGAGCATCCTCCGAATGATCGAGTCAAATTCATGGATTTGCTTTGGCAGACGGCAGAACATGGCGTAACGTTGCCACACATTGTGACTATCCGAACTACCACATATGGTGCATATGAAAGATTGACTCGGAGTACCTTTAAGCGCAACTTCGTCAAATCTTCGTCCATCTGCTTCCAAAGTTGCGCCTTTCTCTTCGGCTCAATCAAGGCACACAACTCGTCCCTTAGGCAACTCAAGTGTGAAACTGGCCGTTACAGGAAAACACGTATTCCTCGCCGTTTACGTGTTTCAAAATGTCCTCGACGACGTCACGGTCACGTTTCTTCGCGAGCATGTCATTGACTCCCTCGGGATCGGAAAGGTGGTCAGTCCAGTTCTTTGGGACCTTGATTATCTCCCGCATTCAGCAAGTCAGTCAAGTTATTCACACCTTCTGCGAGGTCACACCTCAGGGGCAAAATCTTTCTATCCATGCAAGGGAGGTCAACGACGAAATATTGTCATACAATAGGCCACACGCCCCAACCGAGCGGAGCGTTGAGCTCATGGAGTGATTAGGCTTGACAGTGGAATCTGTGAGTCAGTTCGGAGTTAATATTGTCGTACGATAGGTGGTACATACTGGGTTTTCCTAAGAGAGAGGGGAACAAAATACCTTGCACGCGTTTTTATTGAAATTGTCACATAATCCGAACCGATCTCTGATTTCGAGCCGCTGTTTTCAAAATATCGAACACGAACTCGCTGATCGAGACCGCTTTTGCATGATGGACTTATCTCGTGTTGTCCTTATTGTTCATTTAGATGATCGACGTTGCGGGCATGAGTAGGATGGCCAACCAGAATCCAGACGCGCCATGCTTTCCTCTATGAATGTTTCTTTCAACGACCTGCCTTTGTTATTAGTTGTTGCCACCTCACCGCCGCATTGCAATCATGGTTACCCCTCCGTGCAACCAGTCATTTCTCGTACAACCTGTAAAATATAACCGCGAACACTCCAAGAGCTCTGGGATTTCTAAGGAGGATATCAAGTTTACCGACAAGGTGCATGAGAGGGCCACAACGAAGAGTGCTTTCAGCTGGTACCAAAGCCAGAATTGCAATTTGGCGATGCTTCATCATCTTAAAGAAACCCGGGAGGCGACGCAATCATAAACTGCAATGAATTGGGCGGTCCATTACAGGAAGGGGGTAAGTACGGTAGACAGACAGGATCTTCATCTCACGAGCGCGTTGCCCCTGCGCAATGTGTCAGTTGAGAGTTACGCGACGTCATCATTGCACATACCTATTGACCATGGCTTGTTTGTGCGCCAGCTCCTTGTCAGTGAGGGCTTTGCTATCTCCATTAACAACAGCAATGATCTCTCGGGCTAAACGCTCCTCCAACGTCTTCCCACTTTTGTTTTTGCTAGCGGCCAATACAGCATGAACACCCGCCCTTATGCGCTGTTTTTCTGTAAGTGCGGCAGGTCGAACAACGTTCTTTCCTGCGCGTTTGTGTGATATGCACTTGACTGCGGGGGAAGCAGTGATGAGAGCATGGCGCAGGATAGGTAGCGGTGGTGCGCGAGTGAGAGCATGAATATAGAGGAGAGTACGTGAAACGACGCGCTCTGCCCTTGCACGCTTTCCGTGGTGCTGCAGCGAAGACGCGAGGAAATGAAGGAGGGGGTCAGTTGCTGGCGGAATGAGCATTTGTGAGGCGTCTGGAGTTGAAGTTGGGGACGGGGGCGTGGGCGGAGATAATATATCGGATAGCGATGAAGAAGTCTTCAGGTCGAGGCCCAATGGTGAGCTAATTAGAGAGTCGAGCAACTCTGCACTCTGGGCGAGCGTGCGTTCATCGGTTGTAGAACTATTAGCACGGCGAGCAAGGACCGGGAGCGCATGTCTCAACGCAACAAAAGATGGAGCTATCCGTTGAGGACATGACAGAAAAAAATGCCTTGACGCGCTGAACGTTGCTGGGCGCATGGTCGTGAACGGTCACGAAGAGGCTTATTACTCGACAGTAAAGAATCTTGCATGTCAAACAAATAGCAGCAAACCGACGCTTCCGACGTTCTTGACACTACTTTTCATGCCCATTCTCGAAAGTGGGCTTCGCAGACAAAATGTCTTACTTCGAGCGCTGAGGGATGTGCATCTTACTGGTAAGTCTTTTCTCTTCTTTGTCGCTTGGCACCAACCAAAAATGTCGTCAGCGCATAAGACGTTCCGAGCACATACGGGAACGCGCACATTTACAGTTCTCGGTTTCGAGAGCTCAGCAGATGATACCTGTGCAGCTGTCGTGACGTCCTCACGTCAGATACTCTCAAATGTTGTTGTGAAGCAGCACGATCTGTGAGAGCCCATGACTCCCTTCTATGTACAGTGTATGTTTGAACCCAAATCAATCAGCCACGAAGGTTTCGGCGGCATTCATCCATCTGTAGCTATTGAAGCGCACCAGCGTAACATGGTGAATGCGTTTGTTCTTTGAAGTCACTTGTTCTTAAGTCTTCAGCCGGGTGCCGTCAGAATGGCTCTTGAACAAGCAAATATTAGCATTCACGACGTCGACGGTATTGCGTTTACGAGAGGTCCAGGTGTGTAGGTATTCCCTCTAATTTGCAGTAAGCGTTCCTATAAACCGTCTGTAGGAATTGGAGGCTGCCTTAGCGTAGGCTCGAATGCCGCAAAGTCGCTCGCCGCCGCCCTCGGCAAGCCTCTTGTCGGTGTTCACCACATGGTTCGTTCACGCATGTTCTTTTTTTCAAGCGCTACACTCACTCATCTACTTTCAGCAAGCTCACGCTTTGACTCCTCTCCTCACGACTCCAACTGCTGATCTCCCGCAATTTCCTTTCCTGACACTGCTCATCTCTGGAGGGCATACACTTCTACTTCTAGCTTCATCCCTTACCTCGTTCCAGATCCTCGCAACAACAGCAGATGCAAGTATTGGACGTGCATTTGATAAGGTAGCTCGAGGGCTTGGCTTATCCTGGGGGACCAGAGGTCCTGGTGCAGCACTTGAGGAATTCTGCCGCATGAACAACGAAGAGTTGGGACCCTTACCCAACATTAAACCGTTCTCCGTGCCGATGCCGGGAAAACTTGCCTTTTCCTTCGCATCCCTACAGTCTTCAGTTGACCGCTACATTTCCCTTGCGGAAGAACCTCTATCCGCTTCACATAAAATTGCCTTGGCTCGTGCATTTCAGACAGCCGCAGCCCGCCAACTCTGCGCCAAGCTTACGTTGAGCCTTCAAAAACTCGAGCTGAAGGGCGTGAAAGTTAGGGACGTGGTCGTTAGCGGCGGCGTCGCCAGCAATGTCTTTTTACGCGAAAGGTGAGTTGTTCACGTTCGACTTTCTCTCTTGCACTTAGCTTTCGATAGTCTCCGAGAAACGCTGGATGGGTACAACTCTGATGAGCGTATATTGCTCCATTTCCCCCCGCCGGAACTATGCACAGGTCAGTGCTTCAATATGTCCTTTGATTCACTGAATTTGAAATTCGAAACAGACAACGCAGCGATGATAGCATGGGCATCGATGCATCGGTTCCTCGCTGGTGACTATGATGACTACACGGTAGACCTTCGTGCCAAGTGGAGCATTGAGAATATCAAGTGAGGAGTATAGGTGTGGCTTGTCGTATGTCATTACTCCAATATCACCTTACTCGCGCAAGGACTGTCGTCAATCGAGTACTAAATTTGATATATTCGATGTATATAAGAGTCCGCCTTCCCGTGTTCACTGTTAGCAATATGAAGTCGCTAGTGATCGAGATAAAACATTCCATTGTCATGAGGGCATTATTGGGCAGTGTCACGGTGTATAAGGCCACCTGGATCCACAAGTGAAACTGTGGACGCTTACGTCAGCACTGCTTCAGCGGTCCGATATCTATGTACTAAAGTCTTTCCGTTCGCCTTAGCCAAACCTCAACACACGATGGCGACTGCAGATACCCAATGGATGCCTACCACAGGTAGACACCAAGTAACAATGGGAACTTCATTAAGGCGTGCTCTCAGGGCCCGCAAGGGCGTGGCTCAACCCAAGCGCTCTAATATCCCTGACAAGGACTTCTATTCCTTCAGATGTAAGAATCTTTCCACTGTCAGTTTCTGAGCGCGCTGAAAGCATGCGGCAGACAATTTCAAGCCAGAGTCAATAGAACCCAGCAGGTCTGGAACGGTCGAAGTCAAACGCGGGAAGGACTCGACCAGCGTTATTCTAGAGCGCCCTAGCACACAGGTATGGCGCTTGTGCTATGTTCAGCTTTCTAAATCTCCGGTTGATGATCTTGTTAGGCAGGCGAGAACCATCTCTTCAAGGGATCTGAACAGCCTGTAAAGGAGTATGATTGTGTCCTAATTTATGATGAGGAACTGGGCGTGAGTATTCGTCTTCTTGCATTTTGGATCCATCTTTTGACACCGCTTCAGACATTCACTCTCGAAAAGGTAGAATGCTTCATGGGCTTTACGTACGACAAGAAAGTCTCCTCTTCCAGCTCAAGCTTTGCCCGCAAGTCTCGTAAGTACTTTACCTCCGTTTCTGCCAGGTATTGTTATTCATACTCTATGACTTCCAGCCTCTGCGATTTCTCCTCCCTCAGGACAGCTCAAAGACACGAATGATCTAGAGAAAGAACTGGAACGTGATTTATTAGGGCTCTCAGACGCAGATGGTGAGGCTGTGGATGACTTCGATGAAATTCTGGCGAAGGTCACAGCGGAGAAGCAAGAAGAGGAAGAGGAAGAAGAGGGCGAGGAGATTGAAATACCTCCCCGCAAAGCCCCCTCACCACCTCCGAAACCTAAAGCCTCCCGCCCTGCCGCTCTACCACTGAAAAAGCACGAGTCTGAGCCGAAGCCCAGACCCAAACCTAAGGAAGTGCCGAAGGCGAAGAGAGAACTCAACCTGTATGGAGAAGATTCCGACTTGGAAGAAGTTCTTGACTTTGGCGTCCCCGCTCGCGCTTCGAAACGTCCGAAGCCGTCTGTCACAACAGGACTAGCCTTGCCAGGGACATCATCCTCCTTCCTACCCCCCGCTCCTCCCACCAAGCCTGCGGCAGAATCGGACTCTGAAGAAGACTGGGATGAAGTCACCCACAATGAACCAGTGGAGGAAGAGATAGATCTTGACGCCTTTGGGGCGGAGATGGAAGCAGAACTTGAAGAGTCTGACGAGGATATATTGGCGACAGCAATGTCCCCGGATCTCGAACCAGTCACAAATGTCTCTGGACGACCCATGTCGCTAAATCAATTCGCTGGCGGTCAACTTAGTGCGGATGAAGACGAGACATCATCCAGTGAGGATAGTGACGAAGATTAATCTTTATTTGCTATCGTTGTACTCTATCAATACTCCATTGGCCAGCCAGCTCGCTTCTGATGTACTTTAGATATATGTGCAATATAATTCGATCCAGCGTCTCAAACCCCGTATCAGTTCCCAACCTTTATCCCGAACCTTAAGTTGACGTCGCACTCGAGATAATACCACTAGCTTCAGCAGGCGAGATGGTTTTGGTCACAACCATCCAGTAATTGGTGGTTGTGGGAATCGTAGACGTCGTGTTTGGACTGACGGCACCACTCGCGGCCGACGAAGTCGGAGTAACTGGAGTCAAAGTGATAGTTGTTGGCGCCGCAAAAGATGTTGTAGCGTTTGAACTGCCATTTTGAGCTACAGTAGAGTTTAGACCAGGTCGCGCTGCAATGGCCAGCGCATCTTGTTGATTATCAACGAATATCATCGTTGGACCAGCGACGATGGTGCCAGTCGCGGCATCGCGGATGTTATTCGCGAGGGGCTGACTGCTGTTGGTCACGAATGCAAACATAGGACCAGTGACGTTCGGCGGGACGCTGCATTCAGCTAGGGGCTGCGAGATGGCTACAGACAAGCCGCCGGCGAGGAATTGACAGGACAATTTCTGGCGTAAAGTAAGTCGTTGTACAACAAACCAACGGATATAAACAGACCTCTATCGGAATAGTTCCGTTCAGTGCGGCGGAGGTAAAGTTCAACTTCGCTCCTGCTTGAACTGGACCAGAGCTATTCAGCTGGAGAGGAACATTTGCTAAACAAACGTGTTTAAGACGAACGATAGGAGAATAAAATTACGTAAAAGCATACCTGGAATTCCAAGGTTACACCCGGAAATTAATCCCCCTGTCAATGCGAGAATCTCAGATGGATTCAAGGCAACATCAAACGCTTGAGGAATCGCAGTGGCCCCTGACAGCAAATTAAGAATAGTTTGGTGGCGTGCCTCAACCGTCATGATGGTAGCGGCCGCGGTGGAGAGAACCGTGTCGTTGATCAAGGTCAGGGCACCAAGGTAGGCGCTTACACCAACATTTTCTACAAGTCTCGCTGCTGCTACCATAGTGGTTACGTCGGTGAGCAAGGGAGAAACGTTGAATGTGCAGCCTGATATCGTCTGGCCGCCCAACGCATTAATAGCCGTCTAAGCGGTGTCAACATTCAACGTCCATACTCAAAGATAACATATAATTTAACGCACCTGTAATGTGGTCGCGTGTGTGGACTCATCTGCAGCGATGGCCTGAAACTGCTGCAAGGGGATCTGTGCAGAAGCGAAGCCAGCTGCTATAAAATCTGACTGATTGAACTTTTGAAGGGCCTGCGAATAAAATGTGGACTCCAGCTGCTCCAGAACGTTGGCGAACTCTGTTCTATCGTGAGCACTTGATTTGAAATAATTGAAAACACTCACGAAGAGCCACTAAGGTAGGAGAACTCGTAGACCGTGCTACTGGAAGTGCCGCTGCTGGAGCTAGCAGCTGAAGGAAGGCGAGGCCAGCGCCACAAAGCGAGTACAGTGAAGTGAAAGCCATAGGCCGAAACGAAAAAAAAAATTGCACGAAAAGACGCGAGAATATATATAAAGGAAAGGAAAGGATTGGGTGCACCCGTGCAACCCAGATGAAGTACTACAGGGGATCCTGAATAGCGCAATAATCCATGAGTTATGTCCATTCGGGTCTACCGTACGCTAGACATACCTCAAGGGAAAGCCCACGAATGATGAACGGAAGTTGCAGGAGAGGTGGGCAACTGATCGCGCGATGCATTTTGTTTTATCTCGAGCCCTGGCGATCGGCTGTGTTACAATACACTGATTTTGCAGACAGGGGCCCTTTGACAGCTGTGTTGTTCAGTGTCGCCGCCATAGTTACGCATGACCGTAGATGACCGTCGCATGATTGTAGCTCTTCAATTTGAAATTGAATTTATCGCAACCAAGACAAATCCAGACAAATCCAGTACAAATCCTCGCCACTTCCTTCTCGATACTAAAATAGCGACGCTCGACTATTAGGCAGCTATGTACATCGGCTGTGTGTATGTGTGATGCTTTAGATGGCCTGATTAGCGAGCCATCTAGAAACCAAAGCCTGCGCTTCTGCAGGTTTGTCATGAGGGACGTGTGAAAGAGTCAGACGAAGGTCAAAGCCGGAGCAACGAAGGACTTATCATATGGCCAGCACCCAGTACAGTGGCAAATGTCAGAGGACCAGCGTTCTTGGTTTCACCCGCCTTCTCTCCGTTGACGTACCATGACCTCCAGCTTTCTTTCACGTATGCAGAACCACCCGTCCAATCTAACTTATCCACCCATAGCTTGTTTGCAATCCAGTTGCACTGCCAGTCATAAGTACCGGCATAAATCAACACTCTTATATCCCTTTCCAGGAGGGCTGTGACGTAGTCTTGGGTATGGTGTGCCCACTTATCAAGGTGGGAGAAGAAGTTGCCCCCGACAACGCTAGAGCAGAGAGCAAATTTACCGGGGCTCTCAGCACCAAGCATCTTCCGCGTCTCTGGTGCATCAAGGAAATCTCGGATGATGGCGTCTTCTGCGTAGCACAGCTCTTGGTCCTCGCATGTCTTAAAAAAGTGAGCATGACATATCATGCTACTTAGAGGATCCACCAACCATTGAGATGTCGTACACATTCCGACCTTGCATACAAAAGCAATTCAGCAGTGATTCCCGGCGAGTTTTGGTTCGACTGACCACTTGCCCAATATGCAGTGCTAATCTGCGCGTCGCAGAAAGCAACGGCGGCCCCGCAATTCATGTGATCAAATTGGTCAATGCACCCATCACGCATGAAAGCTTGACACCGAGGTAACTGTGAGATATGTCATCAGAAAACGAAGGGATGGCGGCAAGAATAAATACCCACCGCTGACTTCATGCGCACACACGAGCTGATTTGTTGAAATGGTATTTCTAGGGCAGCAGTGCCACATTCAATCTCATAACGCCCTTGGTACAACCTACAACTCATGAGAGCTGTCGAAACTACAGTAAAGAGTAAATCGCTCACGTAGAGATATCAGTGATACCATTCCCGATCAGGATGCTTTGAAGGTTGATGGTCGGTCGTCCCTCTGCCTTTGCAATTTGATTCTGGTCATAAATTTCGCTGGCAAAGACAGGAAGATACCGCCCCTTGAAGCAAACGTTATCGGAATCATGCAAGATCATGTAACCTGTTACCTACGCCATAAGATTCACCAGCAAGGTGCAACGGTCTGCCCTCAAATTGTTTAAAAACCTCGAAGAAGATTGTGATGAACGCATGCACGTTCTTAGCAGCATCCTCCGTTGTCTCAACCGTTTCACCGAAGTCGGCGTATGAGTAGCCTACGCCAACTCTACGTCCACCAGATCAATAAACGTATGTGATGTGATACATTTACCTACGGTTGATCCAGGAAGAAAATATTGGCCTCTTGATTCCACGAGTATGGGTTCCATTTCGTACCATTTTGAGACGATCCGCTGGCGTCGATGCTACATGGCCCTAGCGTTCAAACTGTTTGGATGAATCATGTCATGTAGAGCAATGCTCGCACCATGTTCAAATAACAAGCCAATCCCGGACGAACACCCGGGACCTGTGAGTTGTAACAGAGGAAAGAAAGGATTTAGCGACATGACTCGGATAAACCACACCTCCATTGATCCACATCATCACATCATCTAAAGAATACCATTCAAATCAATATGCAGAAGGGGATGCCCAAACAACAGCTATCACCAGTTTCTGGGTTTCTGCGACTTTCAAAGAAGTAGAAGAACAAGTGCTTTGCTCCTTCATCGACATCAAGATAACCGGTGAACATACTAAACGAACATTTGAGCTAATCCCTTCCACTCGTATCTCGTCCCCAACTCGAAGCACTCACGAAACAGTGGGGTCGCAAAAGCGTGACTTCTTGATGCGAACAGCATGGTGAGGGAATTGAGCATGAGACAATGTTGTGAAAGAGTCCTCGGATGTAACAGAGGCCAGACTCTCTAGCACGATAGGAAGGGCATTGGGAATTGTTTCACCGTGAAATTGCTTATCATCCGTGAAAGTCACCTGCTTGCGCGCGCCAATGCCGGCAGCTAGTGCAAGTAGAGCCACTAATGTCAAGAGCCTGATAAGCATATCTGATCGATGTCTTGAGTGCAACGAAGACCCAAGGTATAGTCTCCCCTAGCCAGACCAATCGAAGGAAGATAGCTTCGTATTAAAAAGGCCCAAGGGAATTGGACAAGTCGCATGTGACGCTGTGTGACACCATGTGACAATTCTGTCACCCCATCCCTAATGTGGTTCGGCAAATGCCGGTGAGTGCAAGATACACTTTTTCTTATTTAGTTCTGCAGCAAAGATTTGCGATTGGTTTTCTGCTTATTCGACTCTTCCAGAATGCTGGTGTTGTACGAGACAGCAATGGGCTATTGCCTGTTCAAACTGTCTGACTCGGCCAAGCTCGAGTCAGCAGATCTGTACAAAAGTTTTGAAACCCCAGAGAAGGCGACCAAATTGTACGTTGGCGATGTTCGTATGCTGGACACTACTAATACTGGCTTGATGGACAAGGCTAAAGCTGAAGGCGCTTCATCGTTTTACGTCGACGGCCACCGCAGTAGAGGATCTGACTGCCGTGCAGGAGGGTAAACTTGGGAAGGGTCTGAAGAAATTCTTGACCGAACAGGTCGTAGAGAAAGCAAAGGGGAAAGAAACCTTGGTGGTGGTGGACCCAAAATTAGGTGCGTTGCATCATCTGTACCAATTTTATACGTGCATCTTAAATTTGTGACAAGCCCACTCCATCTCAAAAAAACTGAGCATCCAAGTCACTGCTCCCTCACCAGAAGACCATAGTGACTTGTGGAGGGGTATCCGAAGTCAAATTGCCGCATTACTTGACGGTCTTGACCCAAAAGATCTTGCTACCATGAGCTTAGGTCTCAGTCATTCGCTCTCGCGGTGAGTTCATGGAGTCGGATTGTGATAGGCAACGTATACGACATATTCCCGCAGATTTAAACTCAAGTTCTCTCCAAATAAAGTCGACACAATGATCGTGCAAGCTATTGCCCTTCTGGATGATCTTGACAAAGAAATCAATATATATTCCATGCGAGTGAAGGTAAGAGAGCTTATCCAATCTTAACAACTGAAGTCTCACTTGGCGTCGAGGAATGGTACGGATGGCATTTTCCCGAGATGGGAAAGATTATTGTTGACAACCTTGCCTATGCTAAGGTTGTACGAACAATGGGTAAGTTTGGTGTACTTCCTCGACCAACCATTCAGTACTGATGATTTTTTGGATCCAGGCTTCCGCACGAATGCTGCTACAACACAGTTTGAAACTGTACTGCCAGAAGACCTTGAAGCCGTCCTAAAAGCTGCTGCTGAAATATCCATGGGAACTGAAATATCTGACACCGATATACAGCATATACACGCACTATGTGACCAAGTCATATCCATTTCTGCGTATCGTGCACAACTTGCAGAGTACCTGCGGAACCGCATGAACGCAGTGGCACCAAACCTTACTGCACTAGTCGGCGACCTTGTTGGAGCACGACTTATATCACACGCCGGAAGTTTGTTGAGTCTAGCGAAGCACCCAGCTAGTACGGTGCAAATTCTCGGAGCAGAAAAGGCTCTCTTCCGTGCCCTTAAGACTAAGCACGATACCCCGAAATATGGACTCATCTATCATGTGAGTTCCTGATCATTCTTGTTTGGAAATCCAACCCGCTCACATTGCATAGGCCTCCCTCATTGGCCAAGCACCCCCCAAACTGAAGGGCAAGGTAAATTGCTGCTCTAAGAACTAAAACGGTTCGTTAGGCTGACATAATGCCCTTTGAGATGGCTCGTATGGTTGCTACAAAAGCCGCACTTTCGATCCGTGTTGACGCGTTAACGGACGCTGATGGTAAATCAGAAGAAACCGCTCCTTCAATAGGGCTTGAAAACCGGGCAAAGTTGGAGTCTCGCCTACGTGCACTGGAACACCAAAACGATATGTCTGGTGTACGACGATTTACAGACAAAAATCAACAACCGCAACGCTTCGAGATGAAGGGTCAGACGACGACATATAATATGGCTGCGGACGCTGTAGACTTGGTTCCAGCACAACGTGACCCTATGGAGATAGCGGTGCAAGCTGTTCTTGATGTGAAGGAGGAGAAGAGGAAGGTGAAGGAGGAAAAACATGGGAAAAAGAAAGCCGAAAAGGAGAAGAAGGCGAAGGAGTCGGACGATGACCAAATGGATGTCGAGGAGGAGAAGCCAACCAAGGATAAGAAGCGGAAGAGAAGAGAAAGCGAGGTCAATGGTTCTGAAGCTCTCAAGGTAAGCAAATGCATGCTACTCCCACCCCCGCAACTCAACCAAAGAACCACAGGAGGATGGAGAAACGGAAGCAGAACGCAAAGCTAGGAAGAAGGCACGCAAAGCAGAAAAGGCTGCGGCAGCTGCAGCTGCAGCAGCTCCTGAAGCGACCGTTGACCCGCCAAAGAAGAAGAAAAAGAAGTCGGAGGTGTAGGCTGGCAAAATGACATGAGAGTTGTAATCTGTTGTTGTTTCTACCTTCATGTGTGCTTCATGTTACCGCCATCTTACAATATTTTGGATTTCCATTTGAATGAGACGCTCGTCATATCCTGCGACAACCTACAGTGTTAACGAAATGCATAGTATGATCTAGTCCAGATGTTCTGGTTCGAGACTGTCAATATATGATCGATGTAATATTTCTGAATTATAAGTAACCAATCAGACCGAGGAACGTCTCACGCACGTCTTTCTCGGATGTCTCCTCCTTCGTCGGACTCGCGGCCAGTTATTGTTGTGACAGGTGCAAACAGGTGTGGTGAAGCAATCTATTCATACTTCTCTACTGAAACACTCCACAGCGGCGTTGGTTTAGGAATTTGCCAGCGTTTGCTCGTCCAGTTGATATCTAAATCCCCAACAGATGCTCAACCTCATTACGGTTTCCATGTCCAACAAAAGATAGACAACGACGTTTCTTTCAATGGGTTGACTTTAATCCTTGCTTGTCGGAGTAGACAACGAGGAGAGGCTGCTCGCGACAAGTTATACCGGTTGGTCGACGAACAAGTTCGTCGCCTTGAAATACTTCCAGGCTACGATGGACACGCGGAGACCTTTAGGAAACATCTAACCATTGTGGTTCATACCGTAGACTTGTCGCACATTCAAACGGTGTTCCGATTCGCTGACGAAATCACCAAAACGTGAGGATATTTGGTGTAGGCCTGATGCAGATAGTTGACCGCACTCTAGGTACCCATATGTCTCGCATCTCATCTGCAATGCAGGAGTCGCTTCTTTCGTTAGCATCAACTGGTTTTTAGCTATCAAGCAACTCGCCACGGACTGGGTCGAGGCAGTGACAGCTCCTATATACTATACGCAAGAAGTTGGACAACTCAGTCAAGATGGGTTAGGGTGGGTATGGCAGTGCAATGTCTTTGGACACTATGTCCTGGTACGTGTAGCTGACCTCGAACTGATCTATATGCTGATTTGCTCCAGTTTCGAGCCCTGGAATCTCACCTAGCAAAGTACAAAGTATCTACAGGCGCCCGCGTAATTTGGATGACATCCCACGAATCAAGCCCAACCTTTTATGATCCTGCTGACTGGCAGTTGATCAAATCTGCGCATTCATACGAAAGCTCGAAATTTCAGATGGATTTGATCGCCCATCAGCTGGACCAGGTGTCACTGCAAACATCTAACGAGTTGCCCACGCGACACCTGATAGTACTACCTGGTGTAGCTGGCACAAACATCGCCAGCGCACTTTTGGGTACTTTCTCATCAATGTGCATGTTCTTGTCTTTCTATCTCGTGAGTTACGCATTGATGTAGCTAATCCGTTCCTGATAATTCCAAACGTCTCAGGCTCGTTTTCTTGGATCTCCATACCACCTCATCAGCGCATTCAAGGCATCCATCTCTGCAGTACATCTCTGCTTAGTGCCGTTGGCTTTCCTTCCCACTGTTAGCTCCGCAGAGTTAGACGATTCAGACCCGACAGCTCCGGTTGAAGTGGGCATCCGTTATGTCTCAGAATGTGACAGATGGGGCAGGGAGCGTGTTGGTACGATGAAGCTGACGCGCTCCCAAGAGCAGAAAAAACAATGCGACGACCTCTTGGACAATTGCGACCGTCTTTTCACAGCATTTTGCGAAGCCGAGGGACGCACCGTAGGATCCTAATGAGCATATCTGTGGTCAGTAATCATACCCTACCTCTTCGATGTCTCTATATATTAAGCACACATTACCACTGAATATCGTCCCGCCCCACATCGAGCAGCTGGCTGGCGGATAACGTTGAACAGTAGCTGGTAGATCTATTGTATCAACATCATGTCATACCGTGAGGACACCTCATGCCAGCCTTGGTATCGTCTTGCCTCTTCGATATTCTTCTTAGTTCTTGCCATCATGGCTTCTTGCCGCACCGTTCCGCTCGAAGGGGATTACTTGTTACCTACATAATTTTGTAATGCCCTGCCCTGCACCGACTCGTCGCCAGGAAAGGAAATCACCCTGAACGCGTGTTACTGGCATGTCCACTTCACATCCACTTGTTTTTCTGCACTCTTATCCATCGATACCTGCTCTGCATGCCTACCTGGACAATCATTTCGCCGCAACAGAAACCGGCAACCATTGCTTCGCGCGATAAAAACAATGGCCATCCGATGCGCGCAAACGTATACCGGGTCATGAAATCCTTTTCCACACACTACGATATAAGGGTCTTATAAGACTATATCTGCGGCTCGCCAGTTCTCTGATGATGTTGGACCCATCAACCAAACAGAGTTCCACAGTTGATGAAGTAAAACACATCGCCACTCTCGGATACGTAGTCTCGCAAGAAAAGCCAGCTCTCCCCGACATATTAAGCATTTTCTTCCATTTGTGTCTTTCCACACAGACTGATACGCGCTTTCTGCTGTGTTTCGTGGTATGCAGATCAAAGACAAGGTGCAAAACATGTGCATTTCCTTCCCCTACGAGCTTACTCCAGTCCGATGGACATATGTGGGTGAGTTCGTCAGTTCGTTCTCAGGAGGTCCGCCACCAAGTGGAACCCAGCATCGGAGTATAGTTTTGGACGTAGGATATGGAAACAGATGCAAGTGGAAGTAAGCGTTGATTTGTTTAGGTGCGAATTGACTGCGATAGAAATACCATCAGGCAGGTGGCACAGCCACTCCCAGTAAACCACGAGGTTCTGTGCGACTCAGATGCTCTATATACGCCTCCTGTCTTATCCACTGCAACAGCTGTAAAGTTGGATCGTGCGCGTCACGTAAATAATCTTCCGAACACCCCCTCGCACTGTGTGTCAACCATCCGAACATGGTGTTATGTTTTCCATGGAGCTAGACAAGTGTCCCGGGTGCAAATCGTGGTGCTGCACCATAGATATGTCCTCGTGTAGAGGACATCCCGTTAGCATCCCGGCGATTCCTCACCCCCCCTACAGTAAAGTGATTCTGGATGTGGATGTGGATTTGCTCATTGCCTGCGCCCAATCCACTCGCGTCCACCTTCCCAAGCGTGGTTCCTGCATGGCATGCAAGCTACCGGGCTGGCGAAGATGCCAAGGCCGCTGCTGTTTCTGGTCAGACAATGCTGTGATCTGCCCAGAGTGCACGAGCGGTGGTATGACGTGTGTGCCAGAAAGAAAGTGTGGGCATGCGACATTCACGCGAAGCATGACAGAGGCATCTTCATCCCCTGTCTGCGCTGCGGCAGGCCGTTCCGCACCTCTTACTCCTATATTTATTAATGCAAGCGGTGTTGCCGTGCGACTCTCTGCTACGACTGCGCTGAAGAAGGGTCAAATGCGGACGACTGTGTCGAAGAAATGTCGTATGAAGAATGCGGATGACAGGAACCTGGAGACAATGTTTGCTAAATTCGCCGCGACATGCGATGGCTGTGGGGAGATCACTGCGCGTCAATTCAACCTTCGTGGTTTTCATGCCCAGGGCCTTGCGATAAAGGCCCGTAGAAAAATGCAGCCCCACCAACTTTGGGTAACACAAAGTGCTAGTGTTTCTGGCCAAGGAGAGATGAGCTTCGAGGCAGCAGGGGGGAGCCTCGAGTCTTCATTTTGATGGAGACGAAATCTCCACGCCTTCTAGTATAGTTAAACTCTGTTATAGTCATGAATCATGATAGAATTGCACGTCACAATATTAATGACTATGAAGCCGTCCCTTGTATTCCATAGTTACATGATCCAGCGCATTAAGTAGTGCGTAGTATTCATTAGGCGGATATGTATGTCACCACTGCGCACTCAAGCATGTGAAGGTGCTTCTACTGTAATTTCTTGTGTCGAACGGAACAATGGGATAGTTCGTATGTTATCCGGTGCGGGACCCATAGCGTCCATTTTCTTGCGGGCACGGTCAGTCTAGACAAAAATGAGTGCCTGTTAACCGTTGCATAGACCTAAACTCACTATGACGGAGCTCGCCATGCCCCTCTCCAGACCCTCCAGCAGTGTACACGCCTTGCAAAGATCATTACTGGACATGTACCCACATCTTTTGCATGTTTCTGTGGGCAAATCAGCATGACGACGATGTGAAAATGACATCACTGACGCTGGACCTTCTGAGTCGCCTTGATTTCTTCCTTGACTTCAAATGCCTCACCAGAGTGAATGATATCTATGATAGCGCTGGGTCTAGCAGCTTCTAAATCTTTCAAAAATGTGCGTGCATGTCCTCGGTAGGCGTCGGGTGAATATATACACTCTGTTGAAAAATAATCTAGTTTTTTAAAGTAGGCGTACCTGCAAAATCAAGCCAGTCAGAAAGAATCCATCCCTGTCGCAGTACTCACATGACAATTTCCTTCTCATATGCGTACTTAAAGGGCTTGGATCGTTTGATTGTATCCTCTCCCTGGGTACAAATTGAAGTACACCGTCCAAGTCGAGCGATGTCGCCACGCATAACTGAATAATGGTCAATGTATTTTCACAGACATCAATCTGGACGTACTGTTCATGAGGACAGTCTCCGCGATGTCATCTGCGTTGTGTCCAGTGACGATATGATCAACATTCAAGGTAGTTGCGCCCCTGTCGAGCGCCTGCCTGCGAAAGACGCCGCAAAAGGTACAGTTGTTCTTCTTTCCTATTTGTGCAACTATGGCATCCATGGTCCAGCCATAGAGTTCATCATATGAGAGTATCTTCAGTGGCATGTCATATTGCTGCTGATTCCGTTTAACTGTCTGCATAAAGTTTAGTCAATGTGTTAGATCCTCTCGTGTAGCGCAATAATAGCGTACTTCTAGGGAGTCATCTCTATAACCTGTGATCCCTTCATCAATGGACAAGAGAAATAAATCGAGGCCGTAATTGTACCGGTCATTCAGGGTCTTCATGACGTACGCAAGGACAGTCGAATCTGCCACGACAGCAATGAAAGGCCAGATCAGTTGACAACAGTAATCTTACCTTTCCCGCCTGAAGCACCGATTGCCACTCGATCGCCTGACTTGAAGAGCTTTGTTTCTGTGATTGTATGATGGACTTCTGTCTCAAAAACGAAGAAGAAGCAGTTCTTGCAAATCTGCTGCCCTGTTTTAGGGCGTTTCAGAATTGCCTTAGCGTCACGACATAGAGAGCATGAAGTTGGTGCCATGTATTACAGGTCTTGTCCAAGTGTTGTCGTAGTGCTAGACGTCAGACTAAGGTGACTATGAATCATCGGAGAAACCTGGGGTCCAAATCCGGCCCGAATTTCGGGGTCCTTCCTATGCTTATTTTTCGACACTCGAATTATTTGTCTTTCTTAAGTTCTCCGAGCTATCGTCCTTGTCGACATGCCGAAGGAAAATAGGAAACGAGGGAAGAAGCATAAGAAAACGCAGGAACATAGCCAACCTTCCCGCGACACAAATTACGACTCCCAAAATTCCGAGCATCACAATCGGCCGTCATGGATAGTCCCTACACAAGAATCGGAAGAGGCCCATCCAGAGGCACCATTCGGTTATGTAGACCCCGACATAAAGGCATATTTCAGAACTGTCGATGACCAAATTCGAACTTGGCAGCAGGAGAGACCTTATGAGGAGGACCAAACCCCAGACCTCGATCCGAATGAAGGTTTGGAATAGCAGCTACGATACGGAAAGTGTCTAACAACACTTGTATCTAGCAAGGCGGATATTCCTGGTTGCCGCACTTACTGAAATGTCTGGAAAAGAGAAACAACTGGCGACCGATCCAGATTGTTCTGTTATTCTGGAGCGCATGGCCCACTCCATGGATGACTTTGTTCGAAGGGTGCTTTTGGATAGTTTGAGCGGCTCGTGAGTAGGGACAGTTCTTTGTAGTTTGCGCTATCCAAATGTTCAGTAATTTGTAGATACGAGGCGCTCATTAAACATCGTTTTGCTTCGCATGTCTGTCAAACACTGTTCATAGTAGCAGGAGACACCAGTCTTGCGAGAAGTAAGCGTATCTTACTAATGCGTGAATATTCCTGATTTCTTGCAAGACCAAGGGCATATATCCGTCTGTTGCCGATTCCAAAGACAAGGGTGAGCTGCGGACTCTGACACGCCTCATCTTAGACATATGCGAGGTTTGTAGCATTCTCTTAGCAGTCTTGCGCCACAATAACCTCTGCAACAGGAACTTACACCGGCCTTCACGACCCTTGTAATGGACCCTTATGCCTCACATGTTCTCCGTGCTCTGCTACTCTTGTTATCGCCTTCAAGTTCTTCTACAAGTCATAAAGCAGAGTCAAACGTGCGGTCGAAGAAGAGCAGCGCGTGGAAGGCCCGTCAGGGTACCATGAAGTCTGTATTTGCTGAAAATAAGAGCCATGAGCATGTCGATTCAACTCGATCGGTGCCGAAGGAATTCCACGATGCTGCTGCGAGGTTTATACGCACCTTGAAGAGCGAACTCAGCGACAACGAGGTCCGAGCATTGGCTGCTAATAAAGTGGCCAGTCCATTACTTCAGGTGCACGACGCCCAAACGCCCAACCTGATGCAAACTGATGCAAACTGATCGACTTCGCAGCTTATCCTTGAGGTTGAAGCCGATCATGGTGAAGCTTTATTGCCCTGACTCTCTCATGGATCGCGTCTTGGTTGGAATTATTACACTTTGTCGTGAGTTCCCGGTCACAATCTATCAGGTATCTCGATCAGGTATTGAATAGTGCCAGACGAAAACTGCGATGAAGAACCGGAAGCATCTGACTACCTTGTCACGCTTCTTCGAGACCCGACTTCCTCTCATTTGCTGGAAACAATGGTTTCCCGTTGCCCTGATCCTGCGTTTACGATCCTCTGGACGACTTACTTCCAGGGGAAGCTTGCGAGGCTGGCTACACATCCCGTAGCTAACTTCGTGGTAGCTAAAGCTGCAGAGAGGTTAAATCCAGCGCAGTTGGAAGCTGCTCTTGATGAGCTTAATACCTCGTGGAATAAGGTCATTGGTATGTTATATTCACCCACCTGGCTTACTCATTCTTAATATTTTACATGAACATAGGAACGGCACGAACTGGGGTGTTACGTGCCATGATCGATAGAGCATGCACTCTTCGCGTCCACGAAAATGATATCTGCCAGGTATGGTATAACTACTCTTTAAATATTGCTGGATTAAGGCAATTTTGATAGGCTGTGTGTGATGCGTTTGAGCTAGTTGAACCAAGAGATCGCAATCGCCTCGTGTCTTGTGTATTAGTTCTAAAGCCTCTTCGGGTGACTGTTTTTTTTAAATCACATAATGACATTGAACTCATAGACATTTCAAAGGAATACATGGCAACAGGGTCTACAAAACACGGCTCGGAAGATCCGCAGAAGAACTCGAAAAAAGGAAATATGGATACTTCAAAGGAACCGAAAGTCCAGGGTGCTTTGATACTGCAAAGTTTGCTTCGACTCAGTGAGCCGCATTGTATGATTGTTACCGAGAGGTGGGTTAGGTCATGACGGTCGAGTATATCACATTGACGTCAGTGATTACAGCATCACGTCCCTCCCCACAGAAGATCTGATCTCGTTATCTCACAATCCGATAAGCTCTAGGGTTATAGACGTACTCTTTGAGTCGGAAACTGTGCCCTTTTAAAGTGAAGCGCGCTTTCGTCATGTCTCTCATCGGTCATTACCACACACTGGTTGATGACCGAATAGGAAGCAGAGTCGGCGATAGGTGTTGGGCTTTCGCCGATACATATCTAAGAGTATGTCATTGACTTCACCGTTGCACTCGACCTTACAAGAATTTTTTTCTGCAGGAGAAAATTGCGCGCTCTCTCATAGTGCACGAGCAATTTCTTGTAGCGTCTTATTTCGGAAAATTCTTCGCTCGAAACATCAACTTATATCTTCTACAACGACGACCAGAAGAGTGGAGAGAATTGCAATCACAGAGTAAATCAAGCTCTGGATCAATTTCATCCCCTTCCGTTGTTCCTTCAGCGCCCTCTGCGACAGTGCAGAGGCCCAGCTCTGAGGACGCCGAAGTCTCTCATCCATCCAAGGCATCCAAGAAACGACGAACCCGGCCTGAAGACGAGATCGACGCCGTTTTCAACACGAGTTTGGGAGTAAAAATCAAGCGAACTGCCGTCAGTGCAACCGGTGGCTCTGACAAATTAGTCGCTGCAAAAATCAATGGATCAAGGTCTACAGGATATTCTAGGAGCAATCCGAGCAGTTCCAAGTGACGATAGTGGCCGTGGGAAGAGGCAGAGGAAATATTGAATGTAGCTCTATTCCAAACCGCTTGCTCTTTCCCGTCATTACCGTTCGGATCTCTGTATTTCATTCTGGAAAGAAAATAAATCGATAGCGATCCCGTACCTGTCCTCGGGAATCGGGACGTTCCCTACGTTGTTCGTCTAACTTGCATTCTTCAAACTATTTTATGTGTAATCACCAAGAGGGTCGCAAGGTGGAGTCACACGGTCGTGTATCGACCCTCGTCAATACCTCATTTTGAGGCAGTTGCGGCAATTCTCACAGCGCCGTGACGGTCGATCATTGTCAAACACGTATGTACATGTGGTGGCAGTCAAATATATAGGGCAATACACGCTATGATCATCAAACCGCAAAGCGGCTCATCTTCTGCATTCTTTTGACGCGGTTGCTCACCTCCGTCTGCAACTCGGTGCGAAGTCTTTGTCCGCGTGCGGTCAATTCATTTTGGGCTGAGGCGGCTAGCACCTGGTCGATAAGAGTATACGGGAGCCAGGTGACACTAGCGGTTTTCTGGGGTGCACGCGAGAGCGCAGTGTTGGCCTAAAAAGACAGCTTGAGGAAATGAGGGTGAGACAAGGGGGAAAACGGACCTTGCGCAAGAGCGAGAGTGTGTGCTCTAGTGCGCTCTCGATGATGTCGTAGCGGAGACTCGTTCTTATGAGATATTCGTGATGGTTTTCCTGCACATCAATTAGCATAATCATCCATGATTCGTGAGTCCGTCAAAGGCGGCACGTACTTCTAACGAGTGGACCAACCAGGGAGGCGGAGGCGAAGACCTATCGGACGACAGAATTGTCTCAAGAGCAGTCTTACTGTACTTGTAGTCCGTCTCTGCGCTATCGTGGCGCTCAAGAGTGACACGGAGGTACCGCCACCCACGGTCGGCAGGGCTGCCAGGCCAGGAAGAGACGTTGTCAGTGAGTAGCCAATCCGATGTGTCTTCTTGACTGCGTTTTTTAGTTAGTCGCACGATTTATAGGAGTGGGATGGGAAGGGTCAACTCACAGTACAGTATCTGGGTTGCGGGATAGTCGCAAACACTGGCTTGTTAAGGTCGTAAATAATTCACTCATGTCAACATCGAGGCTCTGAGCAGTAGCCATTGCCATGTCAAACTGGTTTGCTTGGCCCAACCGGAGCACGATTGATACCGGTGAAAGCAGGACATCTGATGGGGTAAAGTGCTTACGTGAGTGTGACGAAGACTAATGTCTAATTTATCGACTAGCCTGCAGCAGACAACAACGCGGGATCTCTTCGGATCAACCATAGTCGGGCAGAAAGCAGCGTGTAGTCGTACTTAATGTTGCTGAGATTGACAATCTCGGAATCTTGTTTATCCCCAGTAAATGTTGAATCGGGAATATTTTTCGAAAGCCTCCGTCGCTTGTGAGACTGGTCGCAAATGTCAATAAAAAGCGTGCACAAAAAACAGCAAATAATTTTGGCGACTTACCTCAGCATCGATCAATGCGCTCGACGGAGCTTGCGTTACAATCCAAGCACACTTAGTAGTCAAGAGAGAAAGAGAATTTATAGCAAGCAAGTACGCCTCAAGTTGCTCTTCCATCAGGGCGATAACGTCAGTTGACTGAGCGGCGTTCTCCTGTAATTTACGTGCACGCTGATACATGGTTCGCGCAGCTGGATCAAGGGTTCAAGAAGTGATGCGAAGTTAGACGGTCGAAAACTTACCGTTGCGATGGTCCCCCCTGCGCGTATACCACGTGTAGAGTATTCTGGAGTAGAATGGACGTGCTCGAGGGTCCGTGTTGCGCGCTTTGAACGCTAATGCATCTTCAATCTCAGCCGAAAAAGTAGCAAAATTGAATGTCATCAATTGCTCGATTGCGCTTTCCTCGCACATCCGATAAACCAACTGGGAAATGCATTCCCTTTTCCTGTGACTATTGTGAGTAAATATCGGAGGTTTAATCTTAAGACATACACGCTATCGTATAGTGTCGCAATAATTGCTGAGTATGCATCTTCATAGAAGCCGAGATCTATATATCCTCGAATGAGTCCGAACCACAATTCAGATGTGTCAACGTCCCGGGGTGCAACAGACAGCGCAAGCCGAATGAAGGACACTTCTTGTTGGGTCAAGCCATTTGACTTGAAGATGGCAGATGCATGAATGTAAAAAGTGAATTCAGAATCGAAGAGAACGGCTCCAGGCAAAATGGAGGCCAGCGTTTCCGCATCTTCCAAAGAGAGCCCACTATCGTGACCTAGGGGTACAATGAGCAGGAAAGGGTTGATCTAAGGGAACACCCTCACCAAAGCTTCCAGCAACTTTTTCCATCAGTTGGGCAGCATCTTCAGCACGACCAGTATTAATGTGCAAACATGCAGCAATGAATACCACGCCTGGTGTGCGCGGTAGCCATGCAAGCATGTCGCGAGCGACTTCGTAGTATCCCAAAAGGCGGAGACGTTCACAGAAGAGTGCTTCGAACTGCGTCACCCGAGCAGGGGAAGTAGACTGAAGCATGCCGGTCGCGTCCAAAAAACGATGGGCTGCCCCCGGTAGTTCAGTTGTCTCACCGGACTGAGCTGCGAGGCGGTGAAGTAGCGGAAAGGTTGGGATAAAGCGAGCGTGATTTCTAGACACATGCATATTGCTCATTCGAGCAATGACATCGTCGGTGGTTAATAACTCGTCCGATGTGTCTTGCTCACCGCCCGTATCCGCCGCAGGTTGGCGTGCTACAGATCGTATCATCGCCAACCCTCGGAACACGGCGAAGACTTCTTCTACCAGCGAAGGATCCCATTCCTGCAGGTCATTGGCGAGGAAGAACAACAAGGTGACCAGTACAATGCAGATATCGTAACGGGCATGTACCGTTGTCGCGATGTACGATGCAGATAACGCGGTCGTCCAATCAGATCGACTGCTTGGAAGCAACAGCTCGACTTCATCTTCTTCCCGCTTTACTTCTTGTTCAAAGCCTGCGACGAGATCTAGGATTATCCGGACGGCAGCATCAAGGTCTTCTATGCCTTGCAATCTTGCGATAATGCTGGCTTCTGATGGCTCGTCAAGCGTAGCCTTAAAGTTGAAGCGCTGCGCTTGGTCTTGAATAATATCCACGATGGAAAATGCGATCTCTTGATGGAGAATATCAACAATCCTGGTCTCCAAATTTTGAAGCGCCTCGTGCCCTATTTTGTCACAAAGCGTCCAGAGTATGTCCAAGACGGCAAAATGAGGCTCCACTGGGAGGGAGTCCGAAAGGTACCGGTGTACGGTTAGTGGCAGGTCTTCCTTCACGTAGACACCCACGCGTTCTCGTTCGATCACGATCACTTCATCTCTGCTCTTCCCTTTACCCAATCCCAGAGGCCAACGCGCGCTGCGCTCAACTTCACGGCAACGTGCAACGAACCCCTCCCAGTCTCTTTTGAGTGCATTCCAATACTGATCATGCTGGAGTGCCCCTGTCTGCGGATCCCGCATTAAGGTCACAGTACAGCCGACTACCACAGCAATATTTTCTGCAATGGTGGAGTGAGAGGACGTGAGTTGAGGGGGTGGATGAGGTCCTGAGACAGAGAGGCACGCATCTGTGTACTGCTCTATAGCAGTTCGCAGAGTAAGTGGAGAGAATACGCCAGGTCTCAAGACGGCCGCCATGAATTTGTCGGTCAACGAGCCGGGGGAGTGAAGGAGCTCGTCAAGATACGTAGGGGTCAAGTCCGTCTCTTCTCCATATGTGGCAGTCTCCCAAATTGCATAATCAGAACCACCTGACGCTGCTATATTTAACCTCGTTCTCTCCGTCATTGAGGACCCTTGACGTTCCCATAATGTGTACAGGCAGTCATCATTGATTATGAAATCTTGAAGGTGACAATAAACGCTGGCAGCGGAACATTCGATGGTCTGAACCTCGCGCATTTGGTCGGAATTGGTGGCAACGAGCTGGAAATAGCCGCCAGACTGTGGATATGAAGGAGTTGGCGTAAACGCAACGGCGTACGTAGTTTCATCGTCGCCCCCGTTTCCAAATATCCGAAGGAGATTGCGTGGCTCAGCCCCAAGAAGTTCAGATTTGATGCCGTTGGAGACCACATATGAGTCGCCAGACGACGCCTTGCCTGACAAAGACAGAGCTTTGGACGCAACACAGCCACCCTTTGCTGTCCAGAGGCGTAATGTGCGATCCCGTGAGAGCGTCCATATATGACCCAGCTCGGTGGGCTGCGGCCTACTAGCGACAGAGAGAATCTCTGACCCTGCAGTGCTCGAGGACTGTAAACTAGGCAAATATGCAGTGAGTGTTCCCAAAAACGAACTTGGCGAGTAAACGTGCTCCGCCCAAAGATCTACACGGCAGGATGATGTCAAAGACTACCTAACGGACGTTAAAAGTACATACCATGGAAGTTGTCATCTCCGATATGCTCAGCTTCTATGCGGATAAGAGAGCCATTTGTCAACCCAATCGCCACGCATAGTAAACCCTGCACTTGCACCACGCCATAAAACGATTCTGACACGTTTTTGATTAGATATTCTCGACTCCACTGCTTGGGCAATGGATCGTGCCACAATCGTGTCGAGTTGACGGTGGGTAGAACTAAACGGAACAACGAGCCGCTAGATGTTACTGCCAGTATGTGTAGCTCCTTCTCGCCCCATGCAAAAATAGCAGGAGCAGGCAAGACTGCAGAGGGGAAGACAAATCGAATCGGGGGAACATCAGTGGAGAGAGAGACGAGTTCCAATATGAGACCACCGTGAATGACACGCAGAAGGATTGTTCCTGTATGAGGAGTATGAAATATGGATGAATAAGATGCGTGTTCCGAGGACGAATCCGTGTCGGTATTTGGTGGGGGGAGTGGCAAGTTTCGACGTTCAGTCTGAAGGACTAAGGATACGGCATTAGAGGAAGGATAAAGGGTCGAGAGCTGAGCAGCAACAAGGATGTTACCGCTGTTCATCCTTCCAGAATTGAAAGTAGCCAGACTGTCCACAATTGAGCAGATAAGACAGAGCAACAATTGACTTGTACTAGGTCACGGTCGATTCCTACTGGAAAACAATAGACGCTCAGAAATCTAAACCTAGTTACCTTTTCCGGCTAACAAGCGCCTACAGCATCACTAACAGCATCACCCCGACTCAGTTCCTGCAAACTGGGCTAATGTCGTATGGCACTCGCATGGCAGTTTCTTGCTTTTTTTTCGTAGTTAGACATCACGAAGGGCATGCCAGATCGAGAGATCTACACGCTAAGTTACTTATCAATATTAATGTTCAAGCTTGCAAGTCCCATGGAGTTTGGACTGTATCGGTATACGTATCGATTTGGTATGTAGTGTATACAGTATATACACAGAAGATCTTATACATTGTTTGTGCTGCGCGCGCCCACCAGCATGATCTATTACTACCACGCGGACATGAATTTGACGAGTCATGAAGTTAATCTCTCATTCGATCGAATGGGTCCCAAACTTGAAGGGTACATTCACCGATTCACTGAAGCGCATTCCTTACAGCACATGTCGCTGCGGACAGTGCTGGTGTATAGCTACTCCCCTAAGATTCAATATATTCTCGCATCTCGCCTTATCTTAGCCTCGATTGAAACAGCACGCCGTGTCAAAACGCCACATGTACTAGTAGCACTGAACTCATGGTGGATCCGATCGCGAACACGCGCTCGTGTGTATGCCGGTCATTAACGATTCGTCTCAATCAGGTTTGCGTATCGCGCCGTTGAAGTCTTCACTGGCATGTAATTGGCGAACCCCAAAAATTTGTGCTTGCACTGGAAGTATTGGTGGACTCACAGGCGCAATTCAGAAGAGCTCGGCGGGAGCCAGTCCAGCAGCCTCGCAGCATTACTGGAGTGGCACTTCAGTGAAATCGCCATCTCCCTAGAAAAAAAACGCACCATTTGAAAATAGGGCGCGAAAACTGTCGCGCCACAGTCGGACAATGTACATGCTCTAGACCCAGTGGTCAAGGTCACTACAACGTTGAACCCTGGGGGTACGGATCAGAAGATTTGGGAAATGAATGGAAAAAAAACCTTTTCTGAAGCTAGGGGCCTAGATCTGAGCCTCCTCGTCACGAGATTTTTTGAGGCGACGGTTGGACAGCCTTGACCGTTAAGCAATACGGCGTGTAGACAAGGGGTATGAACGTGGATCGAAGTCTTGTGCTGGCGGTACCTGTACACTTATTTGTATAATGTGTAAGATCCCGTGCATCCAATCTCTAAAATCCTCCGCTTTCAAACTGACCATACTTAGTACAGTCGACGACTCGTGCGCCGGATTTACGGAGCCGCCAGGTTGGACGCACCCAGCAACACGTGAAACACCTGCAGCGAAATGAAAAAATGAGATCTCTTGGAATAGTTTATCAGTCTGGCGAGGTTTATCTGCTTATCAGTTTGTCGAGTTTGGTCGCGACTCACTGCGCAAGCCGAGTTCAGATAAGATCGACCTCCGGCCGCGGCTGCGACAGTACCGAGCCGAAGTGAGCGCGTAGAGCAAGCAAGTGCTTAAAGGACCAAGAAATTAGCGCACGCCACAGACAAACACGCGCCTTATGATCGACCCCAAAACTGTCAGAAACAGCCTCGCGCGACCTAAAGGCATGTACTGATAATACCTGAATTTTATGTCAACTTTTGCGATTCTTATGTCCTTGACAACTTCAAGAGCGACATGGTGGAGGATAAGCTTTAGTATCACACCAGAACTTCCCCATTTATCGAGACCACCCATCATGATATACTACTTAGTATGGCTTTATATGTTGTGTTGCTTCCCGCACCCACTGTCACTAACCAAGATCATCGGCAGGCTAAAAACGACTGAATAGCCTGAGTCAAGGGTAGATCGGGTGGACTAGCCCATCATCGAATGGCAAATCCAATTCAACTTGACGCGACTCATCTACTTCCCGGTGCCGTCCAATTTCAATCATGACCTTGTTTCTATTGACCGTCCTCGTGCCTGCACTAATACTGTTGTAGTTTGGGCGTGATGGCTGTTTGTTATAGTTCACAGATCTCGGCGCCCTGGCCTCATGTCCCCCAGGTAAGAACTTATAAAGAAGCCACTCATACCTCTTCTCCTTAAAGTGCTCGACTGCACCACTGAGACTTGAGGTCCACACTAAGACTTGAGGTCTACAACCCCTTCCGCTTAGATCTTACTTTATCTCCAGCTTCTCTGGTCAGACTTCGAAAACCAAACACACTTTTGTTGCATTCGTCTCCTCCTGGTGACCTGTCATGGACCAGCTAGTATCATTTGAAGCTCTCCTTTTTCCTTCTGACGGTCGCAATCCGCATATGGTGGCTTTGATGACAAGTCCCATGTCGGTACCCGACCCCCACGCTCCGTACAGCACCCTCCCTGCTCGGATGCCCCATCCTGAAGTCTACATGGACTACATCGCCGAGGGTCTCGGTCCCCGAGCCTGGCATTATCATGTAAGCACAGTCGCACCTCACTTTCTGCTGCCGATCTGACGTTGCTCATAGCTCGTCGAGGCACTCGACGGTATGAACAAAAAGTTCGCTAATCCATACGTCATCTTTTACCCAACCGTCTCTCGTGACGGAATGCCCTTCCCTATCAATAAGTGCATTAGAGAGATCCAGGGACGATCTTTCAGAGAGGCAACCGCGTGGCGCGGAAATATCATCATCGCCAAGTATCGCGAGAGCCCTTTCTCGTCTATGGTGAATGGGTCAATTGCTGATTTTCCAATCTTGAGGAATTATTTTATGACGCACGTCGCACCTCAGGTAAGCACGCGAGTGATTCTTTGTCGAAGACATCGTGCTAATCATTCCCGTTAGTCTTAGGAAGGGTGCTTAGATGTATGCGCCTACTGGCCCGAAGATGCTTCTGTGATACGGACTGCTACTCCATGAAGAAACCCTATGCAAATATGGGAACACTATATTAATCACACATGCTATTCGTGCTTACTACCTTTATAATGGACATCAATAGCTCTGCTTGTAAACTATAATTCCTCGCGGATTGATCTCGCCTTCGAATGCGGACTCGGATCAGCATCCCCCGTTGTCGGATGACTTTTCTGCTCTTTCTTTGGATCACAATGCTCAGGTATTGAACTCTCAGGATCAATTGGGTGGTGCAGGACTTTGCCGACTTTATAGTATGTTTTGTGTTCAGCAAAGAACTTCTTCCAATGTTCGACACCCTGCATGTGTATTAACAGATGAGTTCTGTGACACGGAAAAAACCGGTAAGGCTGGTATCACTGACCCTGAGCTCGTTTTCGGACAGACCTCGCAGGTCATGCGTTCGGTGAGTGGCAAAGCATCCTGTACCAAATGACCTAGCTGCGTCCACTCCGACCCTGCAAAGACTTAATGAGGAAATCTGGGAAGCATGGTATATACCCACATATGGTGGTAAGGACCTCCTGGACCGTACGTTCCAGGATTACTCGAGACATCAAATACGTCACCATCAACCTGCACGAGAGTGATTAGGTGCGTGTGATCACTTAAAACTATTGACCATACCGCCAGATACAGGGGTTTTGCTGGGTCACTACCATCAAATGTTGCCAAATATGTTTCTGAGAAGAGTCGCCCACTATTCTCCTAGAAATTGAACAGAGTCAGAGACGCTGATGAAGAATTGGATATCTAGACGAACTGGCCAATATGTCTTCAATCGTGCCCACTTTCCCTCGTATTCCCAGAGGAAGCTGCCAGTGAAGAACTTGCCCGCGATCACAACAATGAGAATCAAGTATACAATGAACTTCAGCAGCCCAAGGAACCCCACTTCGTGCTCGGCAGTAGGATCTTCCTCTTCAGGACCGACTTCTTCTCCTTTGGCAAGTTTCTCTTCGCGTTCGCGTTTTCTTTGGAGCCATGCTTGGTGTTCCTGTTCCTGCTTTTCTCTATATTGCTTGTGGCTACAAATGATAAGTTGCTGTCTGCAAGCAGGTGAGAACCACGTACGCTAAGAAGGGCTGATTGGCGGTTTTCTTGGTCACCTTTCTGGTAGGGTCTGATGGGTCCTCCACCAAATTGTCCTCTGCTGGTGGCTTAGGAGCATCACCTTCAGGGTTCATGATCCAAGACATTTTTGTTGACGACTTCGCAGATGAGAATCCTGTCAAACGCGTTGGACGTTAGTACGAAGTTCGTCACCGGAAGCAATAGTATCAGCATGTTTGCACTTATGTTGATGATTAGTAGGTCCGATTCAGGGCCCAACTCCAACGCCTATCACTATTGGAGGCCTAAACGCTCAGTGCTAAGCCCTCGGATGCGTCAAGGATCGTTACATTGATTGATTTCTCAATACAATCGTCCGTCTTTAATAATGAACAGCTGTAAACCGAAATGAAACCGCTCGACAAGTTGCTGCCAAAGATCATGCGAAAGATCTTCCAATCAATCTCCAGAGCGAGCTCAAGTACATACATGCAACAAGTAACATACGACTCCTGGATATACGACAGGAAGCCATGAAATTAAGTGCTACCTACATAACAAGGCAGTAGGTAAGTGTAGGGTATTAAGTAGACTGTACACCGCGAAGGGACTGGATGTAGAGAAGATACCGTCGTAATGCGATGAGATGGGAAGGCTCGACAGGATTGGGGAATAGTGTTAAAGCATGACAAGCCGGCCCAGGATACTATACTGGATGATGCCAAAGAGATAAAAAAACAATTACGGTGATGAAGAAAGTATGAACGATAACCCCCCGGGTTTGGAATCAAATGCAATAGAAGAAGAAAACAACATGAATGGTGAGCATACTGCGGTCAGCCGGGATGATGAATGTACGATGTCGTGCAAGGCCTCCGTCAGCACGTCATAATTAGAGCAGCAATGAATAAGTTCATGCAAAGCGAAATGGCGAGAACATCCGCTCATGAGACCTGTGGCGACCCTGGCATGTCTCTGCGGTGTTGCCGGTGTTCCCGCTCACTGCCTTTCAAAGACACCGTGATGTATGCTCCACCGATCTCCTCAGAACCGAGGACCAGGAGGAGCAGGAGGACTGGTGAGGAAATGGACGTCATCACCTGGCGCATCTCCTTCTCCCAGCCACTGCCGTGCGTCCAGAAACCGCTGCGTTTTAATGAACTGCAGACACATTGATAACATAAGAATGAGTAAATCTTGGCAGTAAAAAGAAGCATACCTTGGGCAGCGAGTCCATAGCCATCAGCCGAAGAACGTGCGTTTGAATGCGTGTGTAAAGCTTGATCAGAACCTGCAGTTGCGTTGCGTTAAAAGAGGTAGCTTGACTGGCATCCACTTGTCCGTCGAACGATTTGCCGTGCAGCCCGTTCATGACTTCACCGAGATAATTAGCGAGATCGAGACGGAGACCGTGATCGATGTTGAGCTCGTTCTGACTTGATGGTGCGAGGTACTTGTTGTAAATTTGGAAAGCGGTCTGAATTAAAGCCTCATGATGTCTCTCCATGGCGGCTTGTCCAGGAGTTCCTTTGCTCCCCGACCGAGCAGGAGCTGCAGCTTGTGCACTGGAAGTCGTATTGAATTTGCGCTTGAAATCCTCGACATCCATCCAAAACGCCAGATTCTCTTCACAGAAGTTCGCCTTCAGGAAATCACGGAAGAGAGCGCGATAAGATGGCTCTTCCAGGATATATTTGAGACGATCGGTACTGCTCTTGACATTGCCCTTCTTCTCCGCAGCCTCGTAACTGGAATTAAGCTTCTCCGCCATGGATATACGACGATGAATTTTAGCATCAGCTGCTTCAATTCCCGTCTTCGGAGTTCCATCGATGGAGTCATTCTCTAGCGACGGGCGTTCGGTAAGATGCAGGTTCACCGTCGAGCTCTGAGGAGATGAACTGGCTTCATCCCACTGAGCGAGCCGCTTGCCTTCATCTGTGATTCTATAGATAGCCTTAGCTGTACACCGGAACTCTCCGTGTTGCTGGAACAAACGAGACGATAAGGACATCTGTGAATGAATGAATCACTGATAGGTACTTACGCTGACTGGGGAATTCCCGCCTGGGGTAGAACCACGGACGGTGAAGATGATGGCAGAGTCGTTGTTTTTCCTTTTATCGCTGACCAATGTGATGAGGCCGAAGCGAACAAACTGGGCAGCCATCTCTGCCGCTTCTTCTCTTCCAACCACGGAGGTGAAGTCGCAAAGCCATTCAAGAGCACTCACTGCAGCAAAACAGTGCTTGTGCATGACTGTAGGCTTTCCCCAATAAAGGTTGAGCGCGCTCTTGCACGTCCATGAGTGGTACGCCCTTAGATCGCTCGTGGTACTCTTGAAAAACGTCTGGAGGATTGGCCGAGAGCTGAGTGGGGTAGTTGGGCTGACGACCAACGAATCGACGGAAGAGTGCAGTTATGACTGATTGTGTAACGATGATCTCGTCGTCAGCTGACCGACGCTCTAAATGTAAGAGCTTGATGCATATGGGTTGAGAGGCGAATACAGGTTGAAGATGGTCGGAATTCATGCCATTCTTGGATATGAATCGCTCTAGAACATGGAGACCCTTGGGCGTGAGGACGTAAGTACCACGATCTTTGAAGAGGTTGCTGCCAAGATCGGCGGCGTTTTCGATCAAGCGAGCGTCCATGAAGTGTTGGCACATGGCCTTCGCCATATCACGGGTCATTGAGAATGTCGTGGTGGTCGTAGTCGTCACTATTCGTGATTTATCTCTGGGATCCGGCCCACGATTTGATTGAGAGAACTTGAGAGACGCCAAGTTCGCAGCAGCCTCGTCCCTATTAAAAGAGTATGAGACGAATGTGCGTGAATCATTAGGAATGAAGCACGAACGTAGAGAATGAATTGGGGAAAGTGCGAAAATATTGCTTGTGCGTGGTGAGATTAAGAGATACGATGAGTGTTGCGAAAAGGTCAAGGGTATCCTTTAGGATAGAAACGAGTTAGTTATTAGTATCATTAAAAAGATATAGTGCGCATGCTCACCTTGAGAAAAGGCCTCCCCCGTTTTGTCGTCTTCATCATATGAGACGAACTTGCTTGAGCAGACTGCTCTGCCTGATCTACGGAGGTCATTTGATAGGACAAAAAGGAGGCTAAAATCAAGGAGTATAGAGATGAAGAAAGTACAGAATTAAAGGACGGACGCGGCAAGAAATACGGAGGAGGGAAGAATAAGAAGGAAGATGTTGATGGCAGCGAGGCAGGGCGTAAAGAGGAAAGAGGCTCGGTAATCGTGAGTAAACTTCGGGTGGCTATAATAATATTTATTGTCACATTTTGTCACAATAATTTGGACATAATTCGGCCGCCTTCTCTTTTTGTGACCTTTCCTCCCACAGCGAATTTGCTAGACACCACAAAGCCAGTACATATTTTGTCCCTTAACGTGTCTGATAGACTTGCAACGTAGGTACCCCAAGTCGAGATTAAAATTCTCAGAGCCTTCACTTGCCATCCGTTAAGTACGCTTCTGTAGAGTGCCGAGACTTAGCCCAGGCTGCCCAGCTTCAAGCGCTTTTCGCTTTGCACAGCTTGAAGCATTTCCGCTTTTGCGTGAGACTCTTTTTTTTTTGGCAGGTGCTGGACTGGCGGGTCAACTACAAACGTCGGCACACTGCCCCGAGACGTGCCTGCGGCAATCATGCAGCATGTTTTCATGACAGAATGATCCGTCACTGTACCCCTCCGAGCCTCTCGCAACCGAGCCCTTCTTCGCTATGTAACTAATACTCTTGGCTTTCGCATCACCGCGAGTGGCGGCCTGTGCTAACGGATCCATTTCGCCACTAGATGGCATTCTATTCTCCCCAAGTACGTTCTCTGCTCCAGAAGTTCTGCGCCTTCTACTAATCAGCCGACAATCCTTTTTGTTGTCGTCGGCGCCGCTTCAGCGCTAGCATTCATTCATGTTGCCACTTTAGCACTGCCTATTGGTCATATTTACGGAATGTTGCCGTCACACAAACCGACCCTGTCTTCTTGGAAACAGTCAGCAGTCCCGAAAACATACTTTATTATCCTGAGAAGGCACCCTCCTCTCTTTCCGTAACATGGTGACTGACTCGACTTCAATTCCTCGACCCCCTATCGACCATTATATTATCTACAGTCAGAATTACGCGTTGCTTGATCATATATTTGCAGCAAAATTCGAACCTTCAAATCTGGTCGGTTGTACTAGTTTAAATCAGGCTGCATGCGGGTACCCCGAGGGAATCATTAGATTTATCCTTGCTCCCTCATCGCATGACGAGTCTGCTTTGCACGGCGTTATGGCCGTGCTCCGTTCTTCTTCGGTTAGTGTTACAACCACCTCAGACTGCATTTCGTGGGAAATTTACTGACAATGACAGGGACAAGGACCTACAACTTGGGACCTGGACGTAAGTAGCTTTGACAGGTTGAGCAGATTTCATGATGGCATAATCGCATGATGGCATAATCGCATGATGGCATACGCCATACAATAGTATCATGCTGTTTGGTCACATATCAGGCGTCTCTGCTCAAACATCCTGTTTCCATGTATATGGACCACTGGATAGCATTCGAAGCACTCGGACCCTCAGCCTCAGCAGGAGTCTAATGCCGAAGGCTGGTAAGAAGCACTCGAACAGAGCACCATGGGTGATCACCGGGTTCACTCACTATGTGGAGTTATACTGCTAAGGACACCGCCACACAGCTAGAACTTAGCGATATCCCCAAGGTAATAGTTATGTGAATCATAGAGACGGGACGGCTGTCATCCTTCATCCTAGTCTCGAACCAGTCTCGGTTCCCAATTTGGGATGTCAGTAGAGGCTGGTTCGAGACTACTGTCATCCTTCTATTTGATTTGCCCCAGGAGAGACTAACTCGTGTGCAAAGTTGTACAGGGTCGTATTACGAGCAGCGCATTGCTTACGAGCATATGTCTGATCTGAGCAACATGTTCTTTCAGGTCAGCGGGATACCCCAAGGGACAAAGCTTCAATTGTGAGTGGTTATGTGATGGTTTTATCCCTTCACTTAAACTATTACAGAGTGAGCCTGTGGGTCGCGCCCACAGAAATTTGTAGTTCAACGCCTAGCTAATCAAGTGACGATACTCCATCTGCGTCGTAGGTACGAAGTGGGCGAAAACCCCAAACTGCAGTTTCCCTTTTACTGGGTCTATTCTTGATTCATCAACTTGTACATCCAACTGTGCCTAGTTGCCAAATGGCGAAATCGACGACTTATTAACTGAACCACTTCTCGTGGAACGTTCACAAAGGACAAGTTCGCAACGATGCCGTTCGGCCTAGTTGCCGATATTGTGATGAGAATGCTGACGAAGAAGGATCCACTCGAGTCATCCAACCGCCGGCAAACGACGGCGCGGACCTCATCAGACCTCGTCAAGCTGAAGAAGAACTGCGGAAATCAATTGGAAATGATGCAGACAGCCTGCCGCAGTACCTTCGTTCTGTTCAGTCGCGGATCGGCGATCGGTATCAAAGGCTATTCTCCAGCTGATTCGAATGACTGGGGTCTCGAGTTGTAAGTATAAATGTCTTACATTAGATGCAGAGCATATAGATGATCCGAAAATTTTCCACCAGCCGGTGATCGGTCATCGATGAGTAGATTCTTCTCCCTGTAATCTCAGTCTACATGTTCCAGGCTAATCGCACGTACGACTAGATCGGCTCTCTGAGTATCTGTATATTAAAGTACATTCACTCGATTCATCATGGAATAACGTAATGTCAAGAGAGTTCATTGGCATTTATGGGAAAAGTAGTCGGTACCGGGTGAATGTACCTTTCATAATTTCGAAAAAGTCAAACCCGTGCTAACTTGTACTGCTAGGGTAGAACACTGACTCTGTGGCTGTTAGTCTCTGTCACTGTCACGGCTCGAATTGTGTACGTAATTCGTATGTGATGATGTGGATCGGCGGACGTGTCTATTATTTATATGTACGTATCACACAGCATGTCAGCAACGTCCGTTGCGCAATTGACCCATCTCCGCGGCATAATAATTTGCAAACCGACGCCCATATTTTGAAGGGGCACGTTGGTTTGTCTTTCCCATTGTTCGTTGTCCGCTCACTCTGTTGCCAAGAGGTCGCTCTCAACCGTTGACGCGGATGCATCTAACAACTTCGGGTAGCCATAGGTAAAAGGTCACAATACCGTGCCCCTGTCAAAGTTTCTATTTTTTGATATATGTGCGACTATGTGCAATGAATTAATCCTGGATCATCATTATCCAAGTCAGTCTGCAATGGACTAGAACGATGGTTACGGTTGCCGATGGTTTCCGATGGGCCGCACGATCGAGGCCGCGTGACGATACATTGTACGATTCAGGGCGCTGCCGCCCAACTGCCGCCTCTCACAAATGCACGTGCTTACACGTGTCTTCAATAAACCCGGCGATCGAGAAAATGGACAGAGTCATAGGGAGTGGCATCTGTTCCGGTAGTCGAGTTCATGATAATCACTATTAGAGAGACGCAGCGTAACGGGACGGACCGGGATAGAGCAGATAGTTTCCGACTTACGCCGGGGTATATATGTGAGTATTGATGAGTAAGTGTTTCCCTACAGTCACACAAGTCTAATTGGTCGATCGAGCGTCAATTGAGCAACTGAAAACTCTATAGCGGAACCACTAAGCACTAAACTACTGAGTACGTTGCTCAGCTCTGCACGAACATGCATGTCGTATCTAAGTGCTCCAGCTTGACTCCAGCATTCGAATATTCATGACGATGAGTCAAAGTTGTATATATACATAATAATATAATAACTTTTATTGAGCAAGTGACTTAGTCATTGATCAACTTCATGAACTTCACGAACATCAATGTAAACGATCAGTTGATCAAGATATAACGCGTACTGACATTGATCGTAACCACTGATGGGCCTAGGATCCTGCAGGCATCAAGGCTCTACTCGAGCAACTGAGGTCGTCGCAGGCCTGGCAAGAGAGTATTGGCGTGGACACCGGCGGCATAGCAAAGAGTTCCCCGCCGCCGACTTCAACCACACCTCAGGTTACATCACCCCTGACGCAACCACCCGCTACCACAAGCTGATGCGTCTAATTCGTCCTCCTCGGTAGCCGATTTACTGTCCCAACTTAACTCATCTGAATGGCTAATTCCATCGAGGCCATCACAACCTTCACCATCGCATTTTACTACGCAACAGACATCCCTGCAACTTTCACAAACACCAGCGAGCCAATCCACCCCTCAGCCTTCAGAGAATTCGGTCCATGAGGCAGTTGCAGGAACCAGGGCCTCCACGCGCGGGCAAGACCTTCGCATGATGTCGTTCCAGCAAGCCTTGCCGCATCTGACACAACTGGCAGAAAGTGCAAACTTTGTTGCTGCCGTAGCGCGCGTATGTCCATCGTGCAGCCTGCACGCGCGCGGTACCTGAGGCCTGATCCCTGACTTTAGGTACGAGAAGAACAGAAGGATTTGGAAAGACAATTGTGGGAAGAACGGCTCGCTATACATAAGAAACACGAGAATAAAGTCAAGGTTGCACAGACAAAGTTCGTACACATTCCCAGTGACACATTCTCGTCAATTATTAATGACGTTCCTCGCAGAGCCGGGTTGATTGGCGCAGGAATATCGCGACACGAGGCGGATGTAAGTGCAACCAACGCCGCGTTTCCATTCTAACTCACATGCCAGATGCTGAACGATGCATTTCGGAAAGAGCTGCAAAAGTTTGACGCGGAACGCGTGCTTTTCGCATGGGACAGTCTCTTGCAGAAGCAGCAATCTACGCTGGAAGCCCTCGGAGTACCAGCTATGTTCCCTACTGATTTGCGGGCTGATAGAGAGGTGAGTATCGAAGCAGCGACCGAAAGACGGACCAATCTTACCGCCGCGTTACTAGAAACAACAGAAAGTAATCCAAGTCTTGGAAGGTATAGTGGGGTGATGAAGAATTGTGAATATTTCTGTTCAATGTGTCTTGTCTTGCCATTTACGGATCCTTTTAAGTTTTGAGTCTTCGAGAGTCGGGACCTGCAAGTGCCTTCGACCAGCTTCGACCCCAGCCTCATCCCAAAACGGAGGTTGCGTGCGAACATCGAGAGCTGATTGCCTCTGATTGCATGCCCATCGAACAATGATCTGGCACGATCCGTCCCAGTAATGAAGAACATGGTATTAGTTATATCGGCGAGCTCAAATTACATGCACAAGATGGCATACCCGAGTTGTTTACTTCCAGGAGACGAGGACGTGAGAGGAACTGAAACTCTGAGAGGCAACCTGAGTCGATTCCGATTGCTTACATTCCGGCATGACGTATGCAGTGACGAATCTCACTTATCCTACGCAACACTGGCAACATGAGGAGCAGAACTCCTCGGATATTCTCGCATCGACACATGACTAATTTTGACCGAGAAAACTGAGACTGATAAAACAAACCTGACCCCAGGCTTGGGAGAAGCCAGATAGGCTCTCGGACCTTGGTACATACTTAATATCTTGAGGCACTAAATTTTAGGCTGGATGGGCCACGGCAAGAGTGGCACGATCCGCGGACGTTTTGAATATTGCCAAGCTCAATTTGGACCTGCCGCGACATTCCGTGAAGGTTGTATGGTGCACCTACGTAGCTCCGAGTCCTAACGTCAATCAGAGTTCTTGGAAGACTAGGAGTACGGGATAATGTTGGCCATGAGACGCGATCCTTTAGTATGAGAGTAAAGAAGAAGACTGTCATTTATCTATGAAAACAGCAAACAACAACGCACTAAAATTGGAGCGGCAGAGATGATCATACTGATGGGCTAGGCAGACTTGAGACAGGAGCCCTAGAGGAGGCTCATATGCTTTTAATTGACGTTTAGAAGGCAGCGTCGATCATGGATATGATATTGATTCTATGTATGTACAAGTTTGCTCCGCAAATTTTGGTTCCTACTTTTTACAATCATTGATCATCTAACTACTCGGCTAAAACGAAGAAATTTGATCACAGCATGAACACTTAGGTAGCAACTCAATGCGGTTGAACCCTTTTTCATTTATACTTAAGACAGTTTTTGTGGATGCCCTGAACTTGCCGTCGGTACATTTTTTGCTCTGCTCTCCCGTATGCCCTACATCGACATCCCATCCAGAGACGACTACGTTTCCATATGGTACATCACAAACTCCGAATACGGGAACGTGGGCAGCTTTGACCCGGAGCGGCCTACCTGCATCCTCCTCCATCCTTTATTTTTGGACTCGAGCTGGCTCATAAGACACTTCGATGATCCCAGGCTGTCCCAGGATTATAACTTGATAGCCTTTGATCAGCGGACTTGCGGACGGTCGCGGTGTAGACCCAGCCAATGGCACGACAGCTACGTTGACGCAGCCGATCTTGCTATGGTCTGTCAGGTGTGATTCGTTCATCGGAGTTCATGGCCTGGTTTCTGACATTCTACGTCTTTGTTCGAAGGCACTGCTCTTGCCTCCTGCACACATATTGGCATTCGAGGGAATCTCTGTCAATGCCGCTCTCAGACTTACTGCACTGTATGTTCCGTGTACTGCTTGATAAATAGCAGCTGACTGTCGGTCAAGGTGGCCCGAACAAGTCCTCAGTCTAACGTTATGTGACGTCCCCCCTCCCACAGAGTTTGTACTTTTTCGGTATTTATTCGACTGTCTTTTAATAACTGTTCTCAGACTTCAATGGGTCTTCCATGCTTACGACGAGCTCCTTCAGTTGTGGTGTTACGCGCCTGACCTTGATTCATTCGAACATGCGGGCAACGAAGTGGTGACTTTCATGACTGGGGAGGTAAGTCACGGATCATAGCATGCCAGTTGTTGGTCAACTGACGAAGCCATATGCAGAGCGACAATCTAGACCTTCAAGATGACGTACGTCAGTTCTGACCAGTTGTCCCACAATGCTAATTGGATCCGTCTATAACAGTTAATAGCCTACTGGGAAAAATACACACCTCCGACGAAACGTTTGCAGATAGTGGAGCTTGTCAATATTATGATGAACGTGAGCGCTATACGGGCGTCCATTTGCGTTCTCAACTCACCTGTAATGTAAGCGCACACTTTTGAAGCCCGAAGAACTTGCTAGTATCACTTGCCCTGTTCTTATTATCCAGGTATTCATTGCTACAATTTGGTTTGAGAATGATCAAAGTGTTGATGTATATCCACAGGGAGAATCAAGTACGACAGCTCCACTAAAATACGCAGAGAAACTTAAACAGCATTTAATCAACGCCAAAGATGGACCTCGGTTGTACGTTGTCAAGGGTAGGCGTGCTGTAATCACACATAGCGACCTGCCTTACGACTTTTGCAGGTGCTAAAGCTTGCCTGAACATCCACCCTGGCAGCGCCTCGATAGTGAACCGGGTCTTCTCGGGGTTTCTTGCACAGCAGCCTCATTCACGGTCCGATCTTCTTCCTGCAAGGATGTCCATACGGGAACGGTCGGAGATCGCTCTATCGAAGCTTGCTGACCTTGTCGGCGACCCATCCATTGCTCATAGGGATCCTCGTTCCTCCCTCTCGTTTTCATGCGTCAAACCCGATGTCGCGAAAAGTCAGATGGAAAATCTACTGTTTTACGCGAAGGACTTGGATCAAGCATACTGTCCACTTGGGAGAGATGGTCGACCGATGCGGAAGTCAGTCGACTCACCGAGTTCGTTTCCCAATTTCATTTCGCTAACATTTACTCCAAGGTACTCTGAACGGAAGAAGGAGGCTCACTGGTTCCAAGGAGATAAGCATGGCAATAGTTACATCGGTATGTTCGCGTGCTCTATATATTTACCCTACCGTTTTTCATGTGACCACAGACACTTCCGAGCTCAAAGCCGCTCGCAACTTCAAGTACAAAATTTCGAACTCTAAATCTTCAAACTCTCCGGAGCGTCCAGTGGCAGGATCTTTAACTACGAACAAAGACAGCCTAGTCACAGACGAGGTGGCACAGGATGGTCGCATGCGGCGAACGACCTACAGTGCTAGTTCGGTCGACAAGCACGTTATCAAAGGAACGATGCAGAAGGTGGTAACACAAAGTGCTCATCTGCCAAAGGGAATAATAACGAAGGCTATGTTACCATCATGACTCGGTGATCATGATATCTTGATGATATCTGTACAAAATATTCACTCATATTTGTCTTTTACCAAAGCTATTTCTACAGAACGCATACGACGTTTGGATCCTTCACAGCTACTGATATGTTTTGGAACATGTATAAATACTGATCTCAAAGTTCACAGTATGCTACTACATATGTTCAAGTAATTGGCAATACGTATAATTTGCGTTGACTAGAATCGAACAACAATACTCGGAATAAGATTGAGCATACATCCATCTCAAATGCTCCCTTCTGACATCTTGGCCTTGTAGTATCGGACCATTTCCTCCAAGCCCATCCGCACTGTCCAACGGGGCTGCCATCCTAGGCTATTCTTCGCCCTAGTCGTGTCAGGGCGTCTCTTCTGAGGATCGTCAGTTGGGATTGGCTTGTAAACAATCTGCTACGCGGCGCTCGGGTTTGACACCATCTTCTTCTTGGCACTTTCTCTACGATCTCTCGGAACAAGTTCCGCGAATTCACCAATGGTGAATTCATCGCCGTTGCCGAATGTTGACTGGGCGCGACTCATCGGAGTTCATGAGGGCAATTAGGCCGTCAACTAAGTCGTGGATGTATTGGAAGGAACGAGTCTGCTTGCCGTCACCGTAGACGGTCATATCCTCGCCGCGCAGCGCTTGGACGATGAAATTGGACACCACGCGACCATCGTGAGGGTTCACTGTGGTATCAACCTAGATCAGCATTTGTGTTTCCTTAGAAGCATGACGAGAACAAACTTCGGGGACCTAGGGGTACGCATTAGGTAACAGAAACGGCAATAGAGTGCAAGACGAACCGTAAGTATTGAAGATACGCGCGACCCGAACTTCCACGCCATCTTGATTATGATAACCGTACGTGAGTGTTTCTGCAACACGTTTACCCTCATCATAGCAAGCACGAGGTCCTATCGGATTGACGTGACCCCAACTAGAAATAAATAAGCAACACAATCGAACCCAGAAGATCACGACTTACTAATCTTCCGGTTGAGGATGGACTTCAGGGTCACCGTATACCTCTAGAGCGGAATGAGCAAAGAAGACGACCAATACTGATAGCAACCATACCAGATGTACTGCTGATAAGAAACCTAGCCTTTGTACGCTTGGCCAAGCCAAGCATATTTAGAGTGCCCATAAACGAAGTTTTGATGGTTTTCACTGCATTGAACTGATAATGCGGAGGAGATGCGGGACAAGCAAGATGGTATATTTCTGGGGTTGATGGGCCATCAGCCAGGAAGCGAATAGCGCAAAAGACCGAAAGGCTTACGATCGCACTCGATCATGAAGGGCTCGACAACATCGTGGCGAACCAATTCAAAGTTTGGGTGACCAACCCAGTGACTCACGGTAGTCTTTGAGCCAGTGAAGAAGTTATCCAGGACGGTAACATCATGGCCCAAGAGCATGAGACGATCGACGAGATGCGAACCCACAAAACCAGCACCACCGGTGACAAGAACGCGCTTTCTCGATGAGGGAGGTAAAAGCTTGACTGGGGGGAACCGGGAAAGTGTTGTGTACGAGATCGCCTGCGTGTCTGGATGGAAGATTGACCTGGACTGATAGGCATTGACGCCTTGAGTCAAAGACACGTGTCCTTCTTCTTCTTTGGCGTCTAGCTCCTGGACCTGGGACTCAGAAGCTGTGACCACATAGTGTGATCGAAGATAAAGTGATCGGAGGACATCAATAGACACTTCGCTGTCGAACCCAAAGCGCTGGAAACCAACGCTTTTGATTTCTTGGCCATTCTTATCCAGTGTCTGGATCTATGAGCAGAGAAACGCATGAGTGCACAGAACGACGAGAAAAAGATGGTAATTACAAGTCGTTCAGATAAGACGTTTGCCATATTGCACGTGGAGGTGAAATGAAGAGGAGTTCTTTAGCAAGTGGCGTAACGAAAAAATGGGGCTCACAACTTTAACCGACTCCGAAGACAAGGGCATCCTGGGAGATACCTAGTGCGCTATAGTGCGGCGTGCCTTAAGAAATTAGTGGTCAGATTTTGGAGTGCGCTGTCACTGCGGAAACGATATTTAACCCGAGAATCTTAATCCGGGAAGGCTTTGGCGTGCAACGGTGACCCAATGCCGAACGTACCTAAAACTTATACCAGACTCACACTCGACTAGGACAACTTTGGGCGCCGGAGAGCTACTGGAAGCTTGTCAGGACGCGGTGCTGGTTCACGTCAGGAGCAGGTACCAGGTCAGAGTCAGACGTCAAGGCTTCAACAACTGGGAGATCGAAATCAATGACTTACCCCATAATTAGGTAATAATCAATATCCAGAAGAAAATAACTTCAAATGCTTCCGAGAAAATCTTACAGTCTATCATGCCTCGAGTACAGAAATCAGTGAAGCAAAGGCATGACCCTCTCTACACGCAGCTAGATGTCGATGATACACAAGCGAAATATGGTCGCGTATCACAACCGGGGAAACGCACGAAGCGGCAACAATCCTCGGGTGATGAAGAGAGCACAGAGGTATGTACTCGCCAATCATGTATGTTAAATAACTGATCGCAGAACGCTCAGGTAGTTCTTGACCCAAAGACGTCGAGGAGAATCTTCGAGCTCGCTAGAGATCAACAAGACGAAGTTGATATGCCCGAGGATGAGGATGAGCCTCGACATGAAGATGAACGCGAGAACTTCAAGCCCAGAGTACAAATCATGGACGGTCATGATGAGGAGAGCGACGATGATGACATGAGTGATAATGGTGACGTAGAAGATATGTTTGTCAGTGCATTCTGATATGCTCGGCTTGCTTTCTCATCACCCCCTAGCAATTGGATTCTGGAGATATCCAAGCGTTGGATACACTACTACCATCTAATTCTGGTGAACGTCGAACGTTAGCAGATATCATTTTTGCTAAATTGGAGAGTGGGGAGACCAATGGTGTCAATGTCATGCAAAAGGTGCAGCAGGGTACGGATTAGATCTTGGTCGGTTGGGCTGTTATCTCATGTTTCCTAGATCAAGAACACCCTGATCCAGCACTCGGTCTCGATCCTAGATTGGTAGAATCTTATTCAAAGTATGCATATTCTCGCTTACGCAATGGTGTTCACTGAATCGCTGTCTTTCTTGCAGACTCGCGATCTTCTTGCACGGGTATAAGTCGGGGCCACTACCAAAATTCTTCAAAGTTATTCCCTCGCTCCCAGCATGGGCAAGAGTATTAGCGCTCACTCGTCCTGAAAATTGGAGCCCCCACGCATGTAGAGCAGCAACACGAATTTTCGTGTCCACGATGAAGCCTGCTCAGGCTCAATTATTTCTTTCCGTCGTTCTCTTGGATGCAATACGGGAGGATATACAAAGCAATAAAAAGCTCAATGTGCAATATTATGAATGCCTGAAGCGTGCATTATTCAAACCCGCGGCATTTTTCAAGGGTATTGTATTTCCGATGTTGGAGGTGGGTTATCGCAAATACATCTTTCACCAAGCTTATTTGGCCCTACTACATACTAGAACGGCTGTAGCCTCAGGGAGGCCGCTATCATTGCTTCTGTCGTTGCCAAGAAAAAAGTGCCTGTCTTGCATTCAGCAGCAGCTCTACTTCGAATAGCAAACATGGATTATACAGGTAAAATACCATTCTTCGCTATCTGCATGGTAACTTATTACTCTCAGGGCCAAATTCTCTGTTTATTCGCGTCCTGATTGATAAAAAGTACCAACTTCCATACAAAGTTGTTGATGCCCTGGTGTTCCATTTCATTCGTCTTTCCAACACTTACAAGGCTCGTGGACGTGGTGACGCCCAAACACTCCCTGTGCTATGGCATCAAAGTCTGTTAGCTTTCTGCCAGAGGTCAGGATTTTGCATTTTGCATCAGTACCCCATCTCAATTCGGCTTTCTAGATACTCGCCAGATCTCACCCCTGACCAAAAAGACGCTCTGCTGGACGTTATTCGCGTTAACCCGCATTTACAGATTGGCGCTGAAGTGAGAAGAGAGCTGGTTAACTCAGTAGCTCGAGGAGAACCTCGACCAGATGTCGCTCAAGACGTAGACATGTCATGAAATACCATCAATGCTGTGTCTGCTTTCGCCTTTTTATTTTATTCATTCATTCTTTGACGGTAAGTGGTCTGACGAGACGGCCAGGCTGTGATCTTCGAAGGGCAATCTTCGTTACCTGGACGCTTAAATCAGCGCTATGACCCCGTACGGACGGGGTGCGCCTTCCGCTGGTTTCCTTCATGATTTTCAGCAAACGCCGTTCTTCATCGCCAATTGTTGTGATCCCAGGTGATCCCCCCATTGTTGTGCAGAACCGAACATCGCACTCGCGATGTGCGCGACGTTGACAGGTGTGCTCTCAACCGTCACCATTTTCAGCATCATGTGGCACGTCCCTTTCTGGCATTCTTCGCTACATACCTGGGCTAGCTACCTTATCGCACACATGCAATTCAACATGTGAATTAGCCAGGGCTGTCCTTCATACACAGCTGGCCATCACCTTCTGGAAAGTCATATCCTTTCATCGGCCTTGGGTATCGGATCCCCCCTGTTCTCCGACCAATCAAAATCTACCAATTTGAATCCGTCCCCTGTATTAGTGTTACAAATATATCTATGGACGTAGTTCGCGCGGTGGAGAGAGAATATTTTTGTTTGATGTCGTCATGGGAAAGCGGAAGTTGGGGAAGGATATGTGAAGAATTGATCTGCAACAGCCAAATAAGTTTTGATCAGTAGAACGACAGTGATCCAATGAGCCATTAGCCTGGTATGCTGACACCTGACACTGTCAGTGTACCTAGCTAATGGCTTTCACTGAGCACTAACAAGGTTTTTCTGACCACGAACTACTTTCATTCCAAGGCTAAGTGGCACTGTGAAGGTGGAGAAATTACTGGCTAAGAGTCAATTGTCACGATGCAAGCTGGGAGGGTGTGGTCTAAATTGATGGACTTCCCGCCGACATCGGCCGCTGGAGATTAAATACTAAGTAGCACAAAGCAGTCGGGCAACTTGACGGCACGACTCGCCTTTAGAGCCCAAGACTCGGTGCACCAGGTCCCTCCTTTCGCTTTGAATAACCATAAGACTTCAAAGTTTCCTATGGGTTCAATGGTGTACTAACCCCCCTGAATACCGGTGTTGCATCGCTTTCGGAAGAGATTGCGCTATCGGCTCCAAAGCAATGGATCGTCACGCCGTGTAGTGTGATACGGCGGTCGTGACGGAACGACGACGGACGATGAACGATTTTCATCGGCTGACTACGCTACAAAGATAAGCCTCAAGTTTCTGTTTCAATAGAACTTACGGCTTGGACACCCTCACTCGGCCGCCGATCTGCGCGATGCGCACCAAATATCACTGTCGTATAAATGGGTTCCTATTGGACAGGGGCACAGCGAGCGCAGCGACTACCGGCTGACTAAGCTGCGGAAACGGCCGCAGAGACCCCGAATATTCCGAGCCCTAGTCCACTGTGTTTCATGCTTGAGAACGAACGTCAATACCATTGTATCATTATTTCTCGCCAGGTGCGTCCGTGGCACTCCATGACACAGTTGTTGGCAAAGGAGGAACGTCTGTCCGGTTCGAGTCATATTTCCCCTAGCGGTTGTGCAAAGCAATCGACACTCCGTTGGCCATCCTTTATTCTGTTGTCCTTTGTGATCTCCGTCACTCCTCAGGGCGCTAGGTAATGCTGTCTGTCTGCTCGACTTGAAGTTATGAGAAACCTTATTCTGTAAGTTCTACATACTATCAACTGTTTGACCTCCATGCATTTCTCAGCCATTTGTGATCGTGCCACTTCAGGGCTTGATGATCGAGATTCGACGATCAATGCCATCTTGCCGAGGCGCCACCTGTAGGTCTTTTCCGCTAGGTAATTCTGTCTGTCTGCCCGGCTTGAAGTTACGAGAAACCTTATTCTGTAAGTTCTACATATCAACTGTTTGATGTTCATGCATTTCTCAGCCAGCCATTTGTGGTAATGTCACTTCAGGGTTTGATCAATGCCATCTTACCGAGGCGCCACTTGAAGGTCCTCCCGATACCCTACGACTCTCGAAGATAGATGTTAGGACACAGCCTCGGTGTTCATCGTCAGATTTTAATTCAGAATTCAGATTCTGGTTGAACAATGAAGGTTCGTGAAGACGCATTGCTGTCATTTAATTCACAGTATCGCCTTCGGTCGAGGCGGCGGTGCTCAAATTGGTACGGCGTGGCCAACAACTGCGCTCACGAGAGCTGGTGCAAATGTGACATATTGCAAATGCTACATGCTGCCATTGATTAAATCCTGCTTTCTTCTGCCAACATAACCAACTTGGCGACAAAACTGGACTCTGTCTAGCCTTCACGCGTTTTGACGTATGCCTACATGCTGAAGGTGACTGACCGAATCGCAGTTGTCACAAAGTCGACAGCTAATTTCTGTGCCTGCAGCTTAATGTGTCGTAACTACGCCCTCGTTGGAGTGGTCCGTTCCGAGGCAGCCCGATTGCATCAGGTTATCGTCTTCACTGCGGATCTTGAAGGCTCGATCACTATTCTCTTAAACAGTTAAGCTTGTAGAAAGGAGTACTGGCTCTCACGCTGGATTCGCTTCTATATATCGTGCACCAAGTCTATGGCTTCGTGCATAGCATATCATTAATATCGCGCTTCGCCGTAGCCGCAGAATCCAAACTTTCATTTTCAACACACATTCGCGCAGCCTTACTGTGGGTCGTGGCAGGGAAATCCAAATGACCACTCGCTCAGTGGTGCTATGACGATCATCTTTGTGTCCTACAACTCAGCTTTAGCTGTCATCTCCTCTTTAATGACCGGTCAGTGGTGCTATTACGATCATCCTGGAGCTCAGCTTTCGTTGTCATCTCGTCTTTTAATGACCGGTCAACAGATACTTTCGGCAAAAGGCGCCTGCTGTTGTTTGCATAGCAAAAATCCCTCGCATTTACTGGGTGTTGCCTTCCTACTTCGGATGGTCTTCAGGCATGCAACATAGAGCACTCATCGTCCACCGCACCCGAATCAACCCTGATCCCTTGGAGCATGGGCCCACCTACACGATGTTCTGAAGAGATCATCCGGGACACAGCCGAAATGTCTGCTCTAGCATTCACAAAAGCTGTTATCGTTCTTCGAATACTTGTTGTGGCGTGCGGCACGCCTTAGCAAGAAGGATGATGGTGGATACCTGATGTTCTTCCAAGTGATCGATCTAACGCACTCATGACGGAATGATGTGGATTCTTCCAAGCTATCTTTCGATCACGTTCAGTTCAGTTTTACCGGCGGTGCAAGTGGGTCCTCGATCGAAGTGGGAGTCAATATGTTTACGGCCCAGAGTGTTTGCCATCATCATACAGTTTGGAACTCGAGTATCATCAATATTTCCTTTTTCTCGAATGTCGTTGCAAGAATTTTACATCAGGGCCCCATAAGTATGACCACATCCAAACGCTTGCCAATTTCCCGCGATATGACGTGAAGGAGTCATGTACCCGAACGCCCATGAGGACATAGGTGACCACACTCCATCCATCCACCATCTGTGAAGATGGTACCATATTTACGCAGGGCGTAGCGCTTCACCAACTTCGCAAAACGCTTGCCAATTCCGCGTGATATGACGTGAAGGAGGGATCGGAGTCATGTACCCGAACTGCCCATGAGGACATAGGTGACCACACTCCACCCCTCCACCATCTGTGAAGATGGACCGTATCTACTACGGGGCGTAGCGCCTCACCAACTTCGCAAAACGCTCGCCAATTCTGCGTGATATGACGTGAAGGAGAACGGAGTCATGTGCCCGGGCGCCCAGCTGTGAAGGTGGTTAGTGTTTATGCGGGACGAAGCGCCTCACCAACTTCGCAGCCCTCGGCTTGTTGAAGGAGAAGACACCAAATTTCGTTCGTGATGTACTTCAAGTTGTTGGTAGCCACGGTTACTCTCAGGCTTTACACCATCGATCCTAAAAATACAGCCACGAAAAGAAATTCAGAGACTCGTAAGGTACTTCAAGGTCAATACAAATAGCACTTGAAAAAAAATCTATCCATTAAACCTGACCTGATCCATGGACGCCGTGGCGGACGTCAAGAATAACTCTCGAGTCCATCATGAACTTCGATGGAGCTGGGCTGTAGAGACGTCGCTTCTGCTCCACCCCTTCCCGTGTAACGGGGAGTTGTTGGCGCAGAAGCTAGGCCTCCGGTTTACGGACGTGACTTGGGGGCACAGGCCATCTGGCAACGGAGCCGCTAGTAAGCCGAAATACATCAGTGGCTTACATGATTTGATCGAAAACATATACATGAGGAGAGGTCCAGCATCAGCAGCGCGAATGTTCCAGTCTCCAGGTCGAGACGCGAGACTGACCCAAATCCAAGACCCCGATCAATTACATCATTCCCATCAACTCTAGACAAACAGAAGCCGATAATTTCAACAAAAAGGAAAGACAGATTAACCTTCGGTTCAATCAGAAAGCTCCCACACTAGCTCCAGTCCAGTCCCGTCCCCAGTAAATATGGATCATACAACAAAGAGAAAAAGAGAACAGGCAAATATCTGAAAACTCAGAGACTACTCTTGTTCTCTTTTTCCCTGGGTTTTGTCAATGGATCTCCTGGCGGTAGGCATGAACATGATGATGACATATAGGCTACGCCACCATCCAGGGCTGTCGGAGCGCCAGCGTCGTTAGCGAGATAAGAGATTTGGAATGAGCTCATTTTGCTATCATTATCATATCCTCACCTAGGCTGCTTCGATGGGCCAGTGTTACACCATCCTCACCGACGGGAGATGCCAATCCATCATTACAACATCCCAAGTTCCTGAGGTCTGAGGCATAAGGAATGGTTCGACTGTCAGTGGCAGTACATCTTCCTCGTCATGCGTGATCGCATATACGTAAGTCTGCGGCCCCGATCGGTTCAAGTGGGAGGGCTGGTAAAAGACGAATGGGTCTAGAGTAAATACTTGGCAGAATAAAATGGGCGCTCACAGGGTGAGGAGGCGAAGAACGTCCTTCAGGCTTCTTGCGATGGTGCTCGTTCTAGTTCTAGTTCTAGTTCCAGTTCTCTTCCCAGCGACGAGTGCGACGGTCGGCACTTATCAAAGTTTCATACCAGTCTGTGGCGTTAGATAGAAGACGAGGGAGGGAAGAGGGACAACTTGGAGCCTGAGGGGGAAAGTCGGCTGACTCAGTCCGCTCTGTCACCTTCGCTTTAAGCCGCCAATTGACCGGTGACTACATATGTAATCAGTGACGGCGACTACATAGACGCGGGGGGTTAGTAACAAAATACCATATACATACCGCATAGTACCGTGGATGCAGAACGAGCGCACCGATTCCCCATCGCAAACTTGAAGACAAATCCATGATCGTAAAACGAGTGAGAAGTGATTCCCCACTCCAGAGACAAACCCAAAACAACGAGTGAGAAGCGCAGGAGGCTCAAGAAGCAGAAAAAAACACAATGCATGTTGATTATGATAGAAGCTCTTGCGAAGATAAGACTTCAAGTTTGAAATACCGGCGGCATCATGATGTATGTCGGATGGTGAACAAGTCTAGAAATCGAACAAACAGTACTAGTGAGGTGAAGATGGCGTTGCGCTTCCACTTCCGTTTCTCTCGGCGCACGTAGGGCTGGATAATGGGAAGAGATGCTACTAGAATTTGTCAAAAAGGCGATAACGATAGCGATAATGGACAGCTTGATGGTTGGGTATCACGGCGATGCCGCCACAGACGACGTGCAGATGTGGATTCAAGTTGCGCGTCGAGGCAACCACAACGAGGCTAGTATCATCGGCACATCGAGCCGGATGGAAGATGGAACGAACTTAGTTGTATAGGAGAAGCTGGCAGAAGAGAACATTCATCGCATGCCTGCTTAAACTCGAGAACGGTGACTGGTGGACGAGTTATATATCCTCCGTCAAGAACATCCGGAGTCTATTGGACAAGTCGAAATCAAGCCGCGGGACTAGGAGTGCGTGCAACAAACGGCGGTGGCGGAGCAGAAGAGGAATCTGGAATATCTAACAGTTCGGGCACGTGTACGACTTGCATGAGTGGAACTCACGCCGCATGAATTTCAACTTTCAAGTTGATTGAAGATGAATAGCGCTGCTGCAGATCTTGTCGTACACATGCCAAAATCTACCGTGAGAGCGCAAATCCTACGTGCACATTGTATGCGAGACCACAGATTATGTGTCTTGTTGAAAGACCGTAGATCCACCCATTCATATGCAGGATTTACGTCGTGTTGGTATGAGATCTGCGGTGTCATTCGAACAAGAAACAAATCATGTCAGATCCACAGAGAAATCTATGCGGAGCAAAGGGCACGTGTTCATTTCTGCGGCCCCCGATGCACTCGTGGATAGATAGACAATGAGACATCAGAACATGGAGGGGAAAGAGAACCAAAATGAAGATCTCGAAGTGCATGAGGACACACACTCAGGACCCTTCTCCCGGCGGCAGCTATTTGGGTCGCGGTAATCATTGTGATGAGGAGGATCCCGCCGGATGCAGAGCAAGATAGGAATTTTAGGAGCTGACAGTCGTGAGCGACTAGTCAGCAATCTTTTCCTGAAGCTCGGCTACATCACTGATAGTGAGTGAAGAGCATCACATGTGCCAAAGAAATCGGGCTGTGTGGGTCTGTGTGAAGGATTGTAGGAATCAGGCGCCAAGAGGGACGGGCGCCAAGATTGAAACGACGGGGCTGTAAATTTGAGGGATCGGAAAGTGTGATGGGTGACGCAGGCGGGGTCTTTGAAATGGTGATGTGGGGCTTGAGCTCGGTCACGATATGATGCGGGGAAATGTCCCATGGCGCAATGTGGGGAAACGAGTTTCGATGGCTATCGCGAATCCAAAGCAGACGGGTGAGTTATCCGGGAACCTGGGGACGAAGGAGAAAAAGAAAGGAAGTTCGGTATACATTTTTTTGTGTCGAATCACACCGCTGAAAGTGTCGGGAATACAAATGAGGTGCAGAATACGGTGACTGCGGATTAATTGAGACGAGAAAAATAGACCGAACTTGGATGTAGCAGACCGAGAACGAGGGAATAGGCATACGATCCTGACAAGGAGTATAAGGTGAAAATAAACTCAAAATGATGATCGGAAGTATTTTTGGGAGACAAGAGACGTTGGCTTTACTAGCACGAGGTTAGAGGTTGTTCTAGAGCACAACAAGGTGCGGTAGCGCAGGAGAAGCATCAAGTACTGCGGCTGCGTAGAGAAGTTACAGGGTCCAGCTGCCACACAGGGACCAGGAGGAACGGTGCCAAGCCCCCTTGTAAAGACGCTGAGAAGGGAGTAGTACCGATGACCTGGACGACGTAGGCACAGGGGGTACAAAGGTACGGTAAGTTTCAAGAAAAGAAGGGGATAACCTGGGCACCCACTTGATTGTTGTAGTACTACGTACATAGACACGGAGGAAGCAAGGACGGCGTCTGAATATGAGCCGATGTCGCGGAGGAGGTCAGGCAGAATCTCGATCTATGGCGGAGATAGGAGAGAATCTAGGAAAGGAGGTTACCTGGAAAGAGCCGGATTTGTCGGGGAGGTCCACGCGGAGAACACGGTGGTGAAAACGGGAATTGACGGCGGAAGCAAAGTGTTGGGAGGCCGGCGGAGTGTTTCAATTAGGAAATATTATTTTATTGAAATAGAAAAACTAAATTAGGAAATATGATCGGTTTTGGTAAGTGGCATGCGGGGTGTGCGTATTAGGGTTAGATTCCACATGAGTGAAAACTCGAGTGAAAACGACTTTCGTATTGATCCCACCTCCTCAAGAGAATGTCAGACGAACAGTCAACTCGTTCAAAGACGACGACAACTCAAAGAAACTCAAACGTACGATCTCGTACAAGTCCAGAACTTGATCAACGTCCACCAACAAAGAGAGCAAGAAAAGCTATAAACTGCGAACCTTGTAGAAATTCAAAACTCAAGTGTGATAGGTATGTTCAAAGGTTTAACTCAAGTGTTCGTTGATCTCAATAGTTTAGAAATCGACCATGCTCGAGTTGCGTTCTAAGAGGTAAGTTTAACTATTTGTTTGATTTTTTATACCCATGAAATATCTACAGGTACTATCGCACTATGCTACCAGGACGCTCGTGGTCATGAATCAGACCTAGTACGTCCAGATGACCAGTAAGCACATACAACTTATTGGTACACCACCTCATGTCACCCCCTAGAAACGCTTCCCGCGTCGACCCAATGCAAGAAATCACTCGCCTCAAACATAGCGTATCACTTCTTGAAACTTTTATCATTGCAAACCACCGCAATCTACCTTTCAAGCGCCCACTCGATCCTCCCCCCTCAGGTCCCCCAAGTCCACTCAAGAAAGAACCTCAAGAATCTGACTCCGTAGAACGTGATAATGCTCCTGGTTTACTCGGCTCCCAGGGTCATGGCGGATTCTACGCTGGTACTACCTCAGTCGTCACCCACCTCACAATGGTCAGTTTTATTTATCCGCCCCCTTTCTTTTCTCTTACCCCACAAAGAACGACACCCGCGCTTCAGACGACCCAATGGACAGACATCCCTCTCAGGAAGGCCTGGTCACAGATGAAATCGCCGCTTCAACTCATGAATACGACCGAGATCTCCTTGAGGTCCTACCAGCGCTTGACACAATTGACGCCCTCATAATCTACTACTTTGAATACTGTAATTGGATATACCGCCATGTCAACCAACTAGCATTCACATCCGCGTGGTCTCGTTTCAAGAGTGGCTCTTCTCCAGACAGAGTCATCCTCGCAACCGTTTGCATGATAATGGCCATCGCAGTACATTACTTGCCACATCGCGACCCTCTCATTGCACACCTCGCTGACAACCACGAGGAACTCGGAAGACGATTTTACGACGTCATGCGCACAGCACTCGATCGACATCGTGCAGAGTCCAGAACCTACTCCCTCGAACTTGTCGAATGTCTCCTCATCCGTTGTCACTATCTCACACTCAGCAAGACAGACAGCGAGGAAATTTGGGCCGTCCGTGGCGAATTAGTCAGCATGGGCCTCGCAATGGGCCTTCACCGTGACCCAACCAGGTGGAGAATGAACAAGGAGCTGGCAGAGAGAAAGCGTTGGGCCTGGTGGCACATCGTACTGCTCGAACGGTGCGTGCAACGTCCTTCTCACACATACATATCTAATTCTTCCCAGATGGCAAGCCTTCATGTTCGGAAGGCCACTTGCCGTTGCTTCCCATCACTTTGACACGCAGCTTCCCTCCATCTCCCCAGTCACTCCCACGAACCCTCCCCAACTACGCCTTTATGCACCAAACCTCGCCCTCTTCCGCCTCGCCTACGTCCTCGGCGACATCATGGACAGCGCCGTCTCGCTTCGCTCCGTACCATACGAAACGGTCTTGGCCCACGATAAAGCGCTCACCAACTGGATGGACACCTTGCCACAGGAGCTAGATCTAGACGAGTTTAGAATCGCACGCGCCCTCGCAAGCCCAGACACCGTCGTCCGAAGACTAGGCGTCCAAAGCGTCATCATCCGATCCAGCTACTACCACATCCGCTTCACTCTTCACCGACCCTACGCCTCCGCTCTCCTCTCCTCCCCCTCTGACAAAGACAAACACGACAAATCCGACAAAGACCCAAAGGACACAGCCAAATCCGAACGTCAAGCCAACAGCCTCAACATCGCAGTCGGCAGCGCCGACAAACTCATCACTCTCCTCGACCACTCCCGCCCAGACTTCCTCGCAAACGCGAGCCTCGCTGTACCAGGCCACATGTCATGGGGTCCTTTCCACGTATTCAGCGCAGCTATGTTCTTCTCCTTCCAACTCATCTCAAACCCAAACCAACCAGGCGCAGGGCTCTTTCGTGCGAATATCAAGAAAGCGCTCGGGACTCTCGATTTAAGTCGTGGACAAGCAGTCGCAGACCGTGCGCTCGATATCCTAGGCGCACTTCAACCCCTCTACGAAATCGGTTTCGCAGACATGGAAGAGAGCGAACGCGAAGGCGTCAAAGGACGTGTCTTAGGCCTCGTCAAAACCCTTGCATTCCCATATCACGACCAAGCACGCTCAAGTCGAGGCGGGACAGGCGATAGCCCCCAGGGCTACGGCGGCAGTCCAAGCGGTTACATTGGCAGCCCACCGGGTGGGTACGCAGCTGGGAGCCCTAATAATAGCGTGGCGGGATTTGGCGGAAGCCCGAATGCGAATGCACGGAGAAATAGCATTGATTACCCGCCTCATGGGCATACGGGTCAAGCGCGATATGTACCACCGAGTACGTCCCCGCCCTATCCGTACCCTGAGAATAGGGGGTATAGTGATGTGAGGGGGTCGTATGATGGGACGAGGGGGTATGCAGATGCTGCAACGAGGGGGACACCTGCTGCTGGTAGTAGTTCGACGACGACGTACCCGGATGCGCCGCCTCCAGCACCACCTGCACCCGCACGAAATCCGTATCCGCCTTCGGGGTCTGGGTCTGGATCTGGGAATCCGTACCCTGCACCACCACAAGCGTCAACGCAGACGCAAGGATACTCTGAATCAGCACGACCGTATCCAACTACGTCTGATGGGAAACACGGTCTTCAAGCGCCGTACTCCGATGCACGGCCTTATCCCGTGCATGCCGGCATGGGTGGGAGCGGGAGCGGGAGTGGATCGTACCCCTACACCTACCCAACCCCAGTAGAAGAAGAATCAATGTGGGGAGCATCACTAAGCCAAGCAGAATGGGCGCGGTTTCTAGATGTGATGCAGCGTCCTACAAACGAAAGGTAGGACGCCCAGTCCATCAGTCCATCACATTAGTGAGATGCCCCACAAACGCCTCGCCCTCGTCCCGCTACACACGATCGCGACGACGCCTACGCCTACGACAACATGTACGTTTTATCTCCCTTGTTTTTGGATTTAGATACCTCGCATTTTTGCATCGCACTTTTTTCAAAGTTAGCTATGAAATCGACGCTGCATTTCTAATTATCTCCTCATGCGCATCTACTATTACACATACGTATTGTTGTGTTTTTTTTTTTGAGTGGCGAATGCATGGTTCGTAATGGGTTGACTGTGTACGTTATTCACTCTCCCTTCGAAATTCGAACGACCCACCTTCCATCGAACGACCCCCACCCTACCTCTGAACGACAATACCTCACGGAAGCAACCCCCAACGAACGACCGTCTACGGACACCCACCCCCCATCCTCTCCCACCGAGCGACGACCCTGACACAACGTGTTCGACATACCCCTGACGTTGACGTTCTTTTCTTCATGTACGGCATATCTATGTACATAGTTGTTTTGTGTCCTGCTTTGTGCGTTTTTTCTTTGTATATTGCTTTTTGTGATTTGTTGTGTGTAACAATATGCATACGTGCGGTGTATCGATGAATTGAAGTTCTAGCTGAGGAAGGAAAAGTATAAGGTGGCGTGCAAGTCGAGGGAGTCTAGTATCGAAACGATAATGTCATTATGTTACGGCTATCCTCTATCTCTATCTCTGCAACGCGCCCGTCAAAAGGGTTTTCAAGGTGCTTCGTTCCATCTTCGACGGAAATGAATAAACTACTTAGTCCTCTCAGGAATTCAGGGAAGTGCTTACGAGGCAGCGTGCAAGTCGAAGTCTACCTAGTATCGAAACCATAACATTACGGCTATCCTCTACGATTCCTGCGAAAAGCCGGTTGAAATGGTTTTCAAGAAGGTTTCGTTTCATCTTCGACGGAAATGAATTGACAAGAGCGGACTCGGATTAGTATGGGGCAGTGTATTAGTTGAGCCGGTCGAAACCATAATTTTACGATCATCCTATAGATACGACTGCAAACTGCCGGTCAAAGTGAGGGAGACATGGTCTTTTGAGAAGGTTTCTTTCCATCTTCGATGAGTTTTGTGATTGGTTGCAAGTGTGAGTCTCCCCTCCGGCCTATAGCATCAGTGAACCGGTGAGTTCTTGCTAGCGATTATGTAGATTGCGGTGGTTTTACATGATCATATATATCACAATATCTGCGGCTCACCGGTTCTCTGATGTACGTTGCGTTCCTTTTATGTGCAAGACTCACTCGGAGGGGCTATCGAAAATGAGCATCATGACAGTTGGTCGCGTTATCTTATCGCGACCGAGCTTGGAGACTTTTTTTTTTCCAAAGGAAGCTTCGTTTCACTTCAATTCCTCAGAGGGGGGGAGGGCAAGGTAGGTATTTTATGTTTACGAAACCAGAGTCCAAATACCATGTAGCTTCGTACCAACTCGTGTAGCAAGGAAAATCTGAGTTCCATGTCAAGATGAATTTCTACATCCGAGTCCTGTATAAACACTGTCCGAGAAGATCCGTCCAACGCATACTTAAGGCCAAGACAAAAATGGCCGGAAAGCTGCCCGCTGCTGGTGTCGTATGACAGTGTACCGGGCTAGTACCTGTGACGCGCAGACAGCAGGAAAATTATAAACGTCTCGTTCGAAGGCGTGCGCTCCGTCAATGCAACACCAGCCCAGTTTGTATGACTTTCGCTCCTATATAGATCTGTTGACGCAGACAAATCAATATATGTCTTTTCAAAAGCGGGAGCTTCTCACGGGACAATTGCAGGGGAGTCGACACCGGAACCAGCATAAACGCAGTCCATTTTCACATCCGGCAGCGGATGATCGCTCGTTCCTGTTTAAAATACTCAATGTATTAATCATCGTCTTGACTATACAAGTACGTACCAGCATAACAATACGGGATTCCGTCTCCCTTGTGGCCCCACCACATCACCGGCGCCCATGCATCTTCACTAAATAAGTGGCGAGCGCTGTCCATCCAGCGCATGCTACAACGAGCCCCCAAAGAGAAATGATAACTTTCCGGATGCAAGGGTGAGCAAGCCACGCGGAAGGCTGTGACTCTAACATGCACTGGAAAGGAACCGGGATCAATCGACTGTGGTGGACCAGGGCGGCGGTTAAGTCGAAAGGTGAGGAGCTCCACGTCAATATTTTGACAGCTCGCATCCCTGATAATGCGATCACGACCTGCAGAAGAAGTGCGACGCCCAGGAATAGGAGAGGTAACCCTGCAATGGCAATATCCATGACAATATCCGTATCATCTTTTACAGTAAAATCATCATATAGGATAAGTGATGTTGAGGTGTAGGATATAATGAGGACAGCCATGATACCATTAAGCAGGGCGCCATTGGGGTTTCTCCATCCACAAGCTGCAGTCAGAAGGCGGAGATTGGTGTTGAAAGGAAGTCGAGACTCTGAGGCTAGCGCGGAGCGCAACGAGATGCCATGTACGAAGCCTGTGAACTCCGTGCATATCGTAACGAGTAAGTCGAGTATCAGTGTCAGTGCCTCTGCCGACAGCACTGTCCCATCACCGGTGCCACCGAGGAAACTCCCCGAGTTGCTATAATGGAAACCCCTGTAGTGATGCAACAGCAGCTGATGATACTCGAGAATGCCACTCCAACAAGGGCATAGCTACGACTTGTCATACCGCGGTCGTAAAATTGGTTCCAGTCCCAGCAGTGGACTTCGCGTTAAAAACCATCGAGTCAAAGTCATCATGGTGATTCGGGAGCGCATCGTAGGGAAGAAGACTGGATGGATGCCAATTTTGTTCTGTTGGGTTAGAAGAAGTTGCCATGAGGGGGGTGGAGAGGATAGTCACTAGATGGCCAACTTATCATGGACGCGGATTATATAAGTATGCAACATTTCGCCAAGATAACTACTTACAACTTTGGGGTCGCAATCACCGTGGGTGTGCATTGGGAGGTCACCTCATCTTTACGGTAACTCACATCGCGGCAACATTACTAGAAGGGCGTCAGTAATGATGGCGACAACGACCTGTGTGCTGTACACATACCTGTGAATGAGCTAGGTATCTGCTAGATGAGATGATACGGCCACTGGGATGCCTTTCGGGAACACCATAACTTGAAGAAGTCAATTCTGCTTGCAGATTTGCAGGTCCCAGGATCATCATATTAATGTGGCGGTAGGGCCCTGATTGTACTAGAATGATTGCGTAAAAACTAGACCATATATGCTGAGATGAGACTGATGGAAGGGAGTAACAAAATCATCGAGGGTGCTCGTGAGCGCTCCCTGTGGACTCCAGTGGGAATTAACAGCGTAACATAGTCTGCATTGGCGCTGGTGATAAGTATTAAGTACTGCCGGGAGATCATCAACATGACGCATACCTAGTAGATCCCCGCCAGCTACAGTGACTCAGCACTCGATGGCTGGTAAGCTACCCAGCTGTGTCACAGAGGCTCCGAGTCAGCCAGTGGGCGCTGAGTATTGTCTCACAGCTGGGCAGCTCGAACTTTCCCTGGGTCAACGTGTTGAGCTGGAGGTTTAGAATACTTAGTCAAAGACGAGTGACGAGTCCAGAGGTCGTGGAAGTATAAACAAGGGCTTGGCTATGTAGCTGGAGCACTCAAAAAAAAGTAATTCAAATACGGATACTAAGCGAGTCGCGAGTAGATCTCGACTAATTCACAGTTGGGGAGCTACTTCTCGTCAGCTTGAATGTTTTGAAAGGAGGCTTGGTTTCACCTCAGTTCCGAAGGGGAGGCAAGATATTGTAGCGCGCGCGGGGATGTTCGTGAAACCAGAGTCCAAATATATGCAGCTTCGTACCAACTTGTGTAGCAAGAGAAATCCGAGTCTCATGTCATGATAACAATGCGAAGAAGGTATATGGTATCCAGAAACATTGAAGACCTTGTTATACATCCGAGTCCTGTTTAAATACTATCCGAGTAGAGCGACCCACTGGCGGTGTTGGTCATAAGCTGCACGTAGCCAAAGCTGGATGCTACACGTGTAGTCGTCAGATTGTCTCAAGAACACTTTGATCAACAAGATAAGAGGACGCACAAAATTGATCATAAGCCGATATGCATGAACACGATGCGCTGGTCCAACGGCATGTCCGTGTCAGAAGCTAACGACTGGACTGCTCTGTGCAGCGCTCGGGCGGCTCTTTTCGAATCCATTCTGCTATCCCCACAAAAGTATTTGTAAAATGCCTCGACCAAGCGCCGCACAGTTGCATCATTGACCTTCCATAATGTCCCAATGACACTCTTCACCCCAACAAATTGTAAGCCAGCTGCCAGGTGTATCACTTCGTCAGGCGTTCCAAAGTCACCAACTGCGGTGTCACAGGCGGATAAGAATGCGAATTCATGCTGAGACAGATTTGTTTGTGTGATGTCGAGTAGTGAAAGGGGTTGGTCGCGCATGAGAAAGGCCGACTTAAACGGTTCGACGAAATTTTGCGTTCCGTGACACGCAAAATGGAGCCAGTGGTTATCTTGTAATGCGTCCATGACTCTCGATTTTGTTGATTCAACGCTCGTGACCTTGGTGAAAGCAACAATTGGGGGAGGGGGGAGGAGACTCCGCACCAATTCCAGCTCAGGCTCGACGGATTCCAAAACAAATGAAGCTTTCGGTGGATGATTCTGACCAATGGCAGCGAAAGACGCGGACGAGGATCTGTCGTAACTTCTGCGTGCCCGGATCAGCGCGGTAAGGGATGGAGTGTATGAAGAGATATATAGCTGCGAGAGGGACTTTCCGCCGCGCTTGTATTCCCCAGCAGCGTGCAACGGCAAAAAATTGAAGGCAGAAGTTGGGCACCACCATATTCGGGAACCTTGTCGTGCGAATCTACCCAGAATTTCAACCACAGGGCTGACTACATCGTCCCATAACTCCCGCAAAGCTTTGATCAGCACTGGCTGTGTCCCTTTGGGACCGACATCTTTGTCAACTGTCTCGCGGAGTGCATCCACCAATTGCAGGAGTCTCTCTAAATCGATAGAGAGTTGGATGCTAGTCGGAGGCTGCTCGTGCGGGATAACAATGGCATCACAAGATGATTCACTTGCAATGAGCATGATAATAGGCCCATCACGAGCTGCATCTTGAAGGTCGGAGATCAAAGGGGGAAGTAGGAAGCGACCGAAGCCCTCGAGCTTCCGGATGTCTTCCACAGTTTTATTCCAGTCCTCCACTAGACGTCTGTACCGGGCATCTTCTGCTTCTATGTCGACTCGTGGTGTCCCTTCACGTTCTGGAGGAGGTTTGTCGAGAAGGGAGCTGAGGTATCGGAATTTCTTCAACAGAGCCTGTGCATGATCTCCGCGTTCCTGGAGGCTGTCAATAGGCGTACGGAGTCGTGCCATCTGGGTCCAAATGAGAGTCCTGCCTTGTTCCAGCAGCTCTACAGCGCGACACACATCGCCACGATGAAGAGCACATGACGCAGCATTGACTGCGAGTGTGTGCGGGAAGCTCTTCGTGGTATGATGGCGAGATGACACCGAAGCTGTCGCAGATAGGTATGTGTCCAGAAGTCGCATAGAAGTTGCATAAGCTTCCAGTTCAGTGCCATGTGTATGTTGAGCAGCATGGTGAACCCATAATAGACTCGCTCGCAAGCGAGCTAGCAAACCGCCAGAGACAACATTTGCTGCTTCCTTGAGATGATACATGACAGCATTAAGACTGTTAGTAGTATCTTGGTCAGTGCCGTCAAGTCCTGATCCATGGAGCAACAGCGTCAGATAGTTCTTTGCTAGTGACAGATGGATGATTAAATGATGAGGATTGTGTTGTGCCGACAGAGCCAATGCATAGCGGAGGTTCTCTAGTGACTCGTTGAGGTCCTGGACATTGCCTCGGTGTTCGAAGCGGACGGAGAGGTAATTTGCAAGGTTACTCAATGACTTGGACCGATCTGGGTGACCGACCGGGCGCAAAGCCAGTGCTTCCCTGTGAAGGACAATAGCTTCATCCAAGTCTTGGTCATTGCCTCGGTGCTCGAAGCGAGAGGAGAGCACAGCAGCAAGGTTATGCAATGATGGGGACCTCATTGCATGACCGACCGGGAGCAATGCCAGCGCTTCCCTGTAAAGTGGGATAGCCTCATCCAAGTCTTCGTCATTGCCTTGGTGCTTGAAGCGGGCGAAGAGCTCATTTGCAAGACTGATCAATGATGTGGACCGATCTGTGTGACCGACCGGGAGCAATGCCAGCGCTTCCCTGTGAAGCGGGATAGCCTCATCCAAGTCTTCGTCGTTGCCTCGGTGCTCGAAGCGGGTGGAGAGTTGATTTGCAAGGTTATCCAATGACATGGACCGAGCTGTGTGACCGACCGGAAGCAATGCCAGCGCTTCCCTGTAAAGTCGGATAGTCTCATCCAAGTCTTCCTCAATGCCTCGGTGCTCAAAGTGGGTAGAGAGTTGATTTGCAAGGTTGATCAATGATATGGGCCGATCTGGGTGACCAACCGGAAGTAATGCCAGTGCTTCCCTGTGCAGTGGGATAGCCTCATCCAAATCTTCATCATTGCCTTGGTGCTTGAAGCGGGTAGAGAGTTTATTTGCAAGGTTCATAGATGATGTGGACCGATCTGGGTGGCTGACCGGGAGTAATGCCAACACTTCCCTGTGAAGCGGGATAGCTTCATGTAAGTCTTCGTCATTGCCTCGGTGCTCGAAGCGGGTGGAGAGTTGGTTTGCAAGGTTGCTCAATGACATGAACCGATCTGGGTGATCAACTGGGCGCAAAGCCAACGCTTCCCTGTGAAGCGGGATAGCCTCATCCAAGTCTTCGACATTGCCTCGGTGTTTGAATCTGGCAGAGAGCAAAATAGCAAGGTTATCCAATAACGCGGACCGATCTGGGTGACCGACCGGGAGTAAAGCCAGCGCTTCCCTGTGAAGCGGGATAGCTTCGTCCAAATCTTCATGATTCCCTCGATGCTCGAAGCGGTTGGAGAGTTGATTTGCAAGGTTATTCAATGACATGAACCGATCTGGGTGACCGACCGGGCGCAAAGCCAATGCTTCCCTGTGAAGTGGGATAGCCTCATCCAAGTCTTCGTCATTGCCTCTGTGCTTGAAGCGGGTGGAGAGCTCATTTGCAAGGTTATCCAATGACGCGGACCGAACTGGGTGACCGACTGGGAGTAACGCCAGTGCCTCCCTCTGAAGCGGGATAGCCTCATCCAAGTCTTCGTCATTGCCTCGGTGCTCGAAGCGGGTAGAGAGTTGAATTGCAAGGTTGATTAAAGATGTGGATCGATTTGGGTGACCGATCGGGCGCAAAGTCAGTCCTTCCCTGTGAAGCACAATAGCCTCGTCCAAGTCTTGGTCATTGCCTCGGTGCTCGAAGCGGGTGGAGAGTCCAGCGGCAAGGTTGTTTGATGCGCCGAGCCGATCCGCGTGACCAACCTGGAGCAATGCCAGCGCTTCTCTGTAAAGCAGAATGGCCTCGTCAAGGTCTTCACTATTGCCTTGACGCTCAAAGCGAGTGTGCAGCATTATACCCAGATTACCCAGAATTTTCCCTCGCTGATCATGTGCCGTGCTGTGGTATCTTAGCGCATCATAATGAAGAGATATGACTTCATCTAAGGCATGGGGGTCATCTCTCTGCAAACAAAGCTCTGCTCGATGAACAAGTTCATTCGGCGACAAGGGTACAATGGGCCGCTCCTGCCCACAATCATTTGCATCGATGCTTTCCTCTGGGGGCAGAGCAGATATCTCGATTCCAAGCTCAGCTGCTCTGTAAACCTGGCTGTTGGCGTGGGAGATGTCCATGACGTCGCTCAGTAACTCTACGGCCATATCGGCATCCGCTTCAAACCCCCGTTTTGCATAGCGGTATAGCAGAGCAAAGGCAAGATGGAGCAAGGTGATAGGTCGGTCCGGATGACCAGTGGGACGCATATCAAGGACATCTTGAAAGAGGGAGATGGGGGTGTCAAGGTCGAGGTAGATTCCATTAACCTGGTACCTCACGAACTTCGCGATTGCTAGATTGGACAGTGTTGCAGGGCGGCAGGGATGATCAACAGGGCAGAGATCAGAGACGTGTTCGAAGTGTGTTATGGATTGATCGAGATCCCTGCTGTTCTGCGTCCCGCCGTACCGTGCGAGAAGAAAATGTCCGGCATCCGTCCTTTGTATAAGTGTATGCATATCGCTGGATGTGAGCTGCACATTACAAGCACTCAACATCAGAATATCAGAATGCATTGGTCACTCACAGTAGAAATGGGGCGAAGAACTGCAGCACCGTTTTCATCAAAACGTCGCTGCTCCACTGTAATGAGCAGTGAACTACATGGGGATACAACTTCCTCCGCATTGTGCTGAAAGACGATGGCTGGGTTATCTCGTTAACACCCGTCACGAGCCATCCACATCAAAAATTACTAACGATTTGACTTTTCACTGCGATCCAGTAATTCTCCAACCGAGATCTCGAATGTGCGGAGGCGTTCTCCATCGCCAAGCATGGGCTCCAATTCAAATGAGGCACACACACTGACCCGAACTTCAGAAGATGGCTCGGATGGCCTAGAATTGTCCTCAATAACAGCAGGAGGTATGGGATGAAGAGATGAAGAGGAACTTACAGAAGTACGTGCTCGTTCCATTCGACGATGGTCTGATCTATGTGTACAGGTTTGCTGCTTGTCTGCCATTCAGCACCATCGACCTGTATCGTCACGTGGAAGCCAGCATGCATCCGTCGGAGACCAAGGGTGAGATCAGTCGCACGAACACCTTAGGGGAAATCGTCAATATGTGCTAGTTTGAGATACATGGCACATACTGGTAATGACGATTTGTTGCTTTTCACTGGGGTGCACCTCGCCCGGGTCCTGGGTGTGTTCTGGGTAGTTTGGCTCCTCACCCAAGGGTGGAGGATCATCAAGATGATCCAATACAAATTTCGACATCTGGTAAATGGCAGCTCAATGATGGATATGAACGAATTCGTGAGAGAGTAAGATGTTAGCTAGCAGTCGTGAAACACTGCAGTGCTTGTAAGATAAAAGAGGGAACCACAGCATACACGTGGCACCCACCCGCGATGCAATGCACAGCGCTGATGTACTGGAGTCGGGGCCAACAAACAGAATGTGTCAGGATAGTGACGACCCTTGATGTAATGTATACATACCTATGAATGAGCTAGGATAAGGCCGCTGAAATTCCTGCACTCCATAAGAAGTCTAGTTTTCTTGCAGGTTTACTGGATCATCAAAATGTGGCGTACAATGCCATCTACGCTCCACTTGGGGTGAAGCTTAACATGCCACCTGACCTTCACTGGCACACGTCAGTTTTTTTTAGGCCTACCACGTTGTAGCCTGTTGTAGCTATAGGTAAAAGTGTTTCATAAAGCAGCTGCCTTATCTGAGAGTCGAATGGATAGGCCTAAGTACCAAGTACTTAGAGCTAGGTTCTATAAATAGATGCCGCCGGCTCCCCCAAGATGCAGGCTAACGCCTTCTGCAAGCTTACCCGGCTCACTAGTTGGTTCAACGTTCAACACGGGGAGCAGTGCACAACAATACGTCCCTCAGTTCAATGAGCCCTCCCCATAACAGGTCATCAACTATCGGGTCGCCTCAAAGGCAAAGCCACAAACGTGAAGAACAGCCAATGGTTCATCATGAACTTTATCAGTGAGTCACTTGTCGAGAACACAGATGCAACGCTCCTCTCGGCTTCGACCACTGGTCTATCAGCAGTTTGACGAAGGAAAATTGTGTATACGGTACACCTACCGTTGCGAGATGGTCGCCTCGACTCAGCCACGTCAAGCTGATGTCCCGACTCCAAGTTGCATACACCCAGAGGATGGTTATCTTGGTGAAAGATTCTACTCTTAATCCGCGTGCCAATTTGAATGTGTTAACCACCATGTCTCCGCCTCTCTTGTGGCCTGAACCAACAGAACAAGTTTGGTTCAGTTTTCTTGCGTACGATGCGCTCCCGATTCGCCAGTATGACTTTGACTCTAATACAAAGTCCACTGCTAAGACTGAAACAGATTTATATGACTGCAGTCTGACAAGTCGCAGATATGCCTATTAGAACGGCGTGTTCGAGTATCGTCAGGTGTAGTTGCGTCATTGCAGGTATGTCATCATGACACACTTGCGAAAATTCGGAAGTGGTCTAATGAAACTCGACAGCAAGCATCCGCGAAGATACCATTTCTCTTGGGGGCTCCTTGTAGCATGCGCTGGACGTACATACATCTCCGACAAATATGAAGGCAACAGCTGGGCCCCCACGGTCAAGACTATCATAGTTTTGAGCTTGTAGCCTGTACAAGTTTGAAATTGTGGACGTTCTTGTCGTCAACCCTCCTTTGCGATTGCGCATAATACTGGGCATCAACAACATCACCTACTATCTATAAGTGGCCGTCATCGCATATATATATTGGGGTACAATTATCTACAGTACGTGGCATGTTCGAAACACCTTCATGGGCTTTCTGTCCACCGCCTTAGTGTAATATGCTATTCCAGTGGGCGCATGATCAATGTGCCTGGCCTGTATGCTTCCTAAGTTAATGCCATCATTATGTGGGTGTTTTGTGCAGGTGTTTTGACACTGTTCGGAAGTCATTATGAATAGTGACGTGATGGCATGAGATAGAGGAAAGTCAGTGGTAAGGGAATTAATATGTCAGTGAATTTTGCAGTGCTGACCGTTCTCGGAAGCTCAATGAAGTTGTCCCAGTGCTGTGAAGCCTACATTCCGAAGATAATTGTTATTCAGTGTGTGAAACCATAGAGTCCAATAACTTTATACTATGTAGCTTGTGTAGCAAAAGAAATTCAAGTCCCAAGTGAAGATGACAATGCGAATCTGCTAATCCGAGGTCGAGTAGAACAGTCCAAAGTATACAAAACCACAACGACTGGAAAGCGTGACCAGGGGCAATATGATATGACAACATACCGAGCTATGTGAAATGCGCAGACAGGATGAAAATCACAAAAGTCTCGTTCGACGGCGTGGCTGGCCGTGTGCACTGTCAATACAATGAGTGCATCGACAGCCCTCCCGATATGCACTTGGCTCCTATCTAGATCTGTCGACAAAGACAATTCCATAAATTTCTTTTCAAACACGGGGGTTCTCACAAGACAGGTGCGGGAGAGTCGATGTCGGAACCAGCATACACGCAGTCCATGTTCACATCCGGCAGCGGATGATCGCTCGTCCCTATTTAAAATGTTTAATGCATCATCCTCATCACTATACAAGTACCCTACCAGCATGACAATATGGGATTCCGTCCTCCTTGTGGCCCCACCACATCACTGGCGACCACTCGTCCACGAGGTTGGCGAGCGTCTGGAGGTGCCCGTATGTGGCCGGCTGGGGACCGCGCGGTCGACGCAGTGCGACGAGAGTGAAAAAAATAGCAAATATAAAGAGCGCTATACATAAGTTCCAGATCTGCACGAGTGTGTGAGGATGCTGTAGCTGCTGTACTTGGACAATAAATGCGAACCTGGGTGGAATACATGGATATCCCAAATTCTACAACTGTACTGCCATACGAGGCATTGGTTGTCCACCCATCGAAACCCAATGCAAGGCCGAACATCCAATCTGTATCGTTAAGGATATTGTTCAAGAAAACCTAGACACGAATGACTCACGTAGTATAGGTTTCACGGCGAAAATAACAAGACCGAGCGGATTAGCGAAAGCCAACTTCAGTGGACTCGTCGCTGCTTGAAGTCCTTTCCTGCTCGTAGCGCGTCGCCATTGTCTTTCATTTTGAATGACATTCGCAATGAGCTCAGAGCAATGCAGCCCAAGTGTCAGTGGTCCCTGTATAACCGCGATGTTGATAAGGGACCACAGGCCCCACTGAAAACCGATCCTTTCGGACATGTAAACAACTGTATAATTGCCATCGGGAAGGAACGTCCACTGCATGGGGACTGGGGGGTCGATTATTATCGGGCGACACGTTATGAGTGCTGCCCACAAAGCACATGCTACAACGAGCCCCCAAAGAGAAATGACAACTTTCCGGATGCTAGGGTGAGCAAGCCACGCGGAAAGCTGTGACTCTGACGGCTTCGCTGGACCTCCATACACGTCGGACACACCGCGCATGCACCGGAAAGAAACCGGGGTCAATTGTGTGTGGTGAATCAGAGCGGGGGTTAAGTCGAAAGGTGATGAGCTCCACGTCAATATTTTGACAGCCCGCACCCCTGACAATGCAATTACGACCTGCAAAAAAAGTGCGACGCCCAACAGGAGGAGAGGCAACCCTGCAATGGCAGTAAGCCATGTTCTTGAAGTGGATTTGAAGTCGTTATATAGGACAACGGAGGCTGAGCTGTAGGATAAAATGAGGAGGACAGCCATGATGCCGTTAAGCAGGGCACCATTAGGGTTTCTCCATCCACGAGCTGCGGTCAGAAGGCGCAGATTGGTGTTGAAACGAAGCCGAGACTCTAAGGCTAGCGCAGAACGCAACGAGATGCTGTGTACGAAGCCTGTAGACTCGGTGCATATCATGACCAGTGAGTTCAATGTGAACGTCTGCATTTCCTTTGACAGGCGACTGTCTTCTTCAAACAAGGGAATCGCCCCACAAACTCCGCGATTTGCCATAATGACAATCCCTGTGGTGATGCAACAGCAGCTGATGACAGTCGAGAAAGCCACTCCGACAAAGGCATATCTGCGACTTGTCAAACTACGGTCGTAGAAATCGGTTCCAGTCCCAGCAGTGGACTTCACACTAGACATTATCAAGTCGAAGTCATCCTGGCGATTCGGGAGTGCATCATAGGGAAGAAGACTGGATGGATGCCAATTGTGTTCTGTTGGCTTGGAAGAAGCTGCCATGACGGAGGGGAGAGGATAGTTACTAGATGACCAACTTGTCATCATGATGGACGCGGATTATAACATTTCGCTAAGATGACCACAGCCTCGAGGTGGCAATGATACGGTTACTGGGATGCCTTTCTGGAACGCCATAAGCAGTCGATTTTGCCAGAATCATCGCAATATTAATGTGGCGGTAATTGCACTAGCATTGCGTGAAACTGGACCACGGATCTACGTAGATACTCATCTCGCCCGCAATCTACAGACGGATTGGAAAATGAGGTAGGGGATCGAAGAAAACGGGATAGTGATACAAAAACGACGGTCAAGTCAATTGAGGACTATGCTCGACTTTTAAACCGTGACACAATTTCATATGGGCCTTCAAGAGAGAAAAGGGTGTAGAGAAGTCGTGTGAATGGCCCATAGAAGACGAGTTCATCGCCGCTATGATCGTTCGCGATAGTAGAATTAAAAGATTGATGTATGGGGCATAGGCCATGCACGAGCTCGAGTGCCTTTTGTCATGACAGTAGTAGTTGATTGTGTCTATTTGGTCACTAAGTAAAGATAAGTTAGGAGTCTACTGGGTTGTCTTCTTCAATAATGGCAGAATTTCCATGGCCCAAGTACATTCATCAATCCTTCTGGCCGTGACGAGTCCGTTTTCTATGGTCCATTCACACGACTTCTCTTGACCCTTTTCTCTCTTAAGAGCCATATGAAATCGTACCACAGTTCAAAAGGGCACCCTTGTACCACTCCCAGGAGAGCCTCGACATCATCGCTCTTGTAGTGGAGGTCAAGCATCGTCCTGTTTTCTTCATGGAGATTCAACCTCCTGCCTCATTTATCTACGACTCTAGACGTGAAGAAGCCGATGAACAAATGAGAAAATATTTTATGGATTTCGCGGGCAACCCAGCCATTCCTATCCTTCACGGCGTCAGTGCGTTTGGCACTCGGCTTTCCTTTTATGAATGTGATTCAGCCACCCGTATCTTCCAACCAGAGCTTATTGAAGCTCACCCTCCTATTCTTGCCGACGTGGCACCCATCACTCGTTGGAACTGCGATGTTCTCCAATGGGAGGGTGTGAATCGCTTGATGGATGTTGTTAATAAGGTCAAGGAGATGTGTGCTCGGCTTTGAGGGTAGGTTTGATGCACACATTATTCATTCTTAAACCCTGTCATTGACATACAATTTCTAGCATCCCTTTCTACTCGGTTGCCACATGTGCACGATCTGTTGAAGGTTACAGGAATCGACAATGCATTCAAGCTGTCTGTGACCTACACTGTTCCCCAGGGTATGACTATGCTCACTTAGTATTTTCTCACTGCTTCTCTAACCACACCTTGTTTAAAGAAGCTTTGACTCGATTGACAATCTGGACAAACTCGGTCTTCTGATCACCGTCTGTTTTCATGATGACATGACAACACGTCGAGGAAGTGCCGATCGGTGGTATGACAATGCTGACCAACTCCCTTAGCGCCTCATCGATAACGAACCCCCTACCGAACGACGACTACTCTTCACACGTGCTCGATCTGGCGCTCTCCGCGTTGTGCACCTATTTCTTGCACCTATTTCTTGTTAGTGCGTTTTTCTGTAATGTTGTGCGTATTTTATGCGTAAGTGCGATGTTTCGACGAATCAAAGTCCTGGGGGACGGGGGGAGACACTTGAGGCTCACTACGCCTACCTTCTAATTCTGCGGTAAAGGAGTCACGCTTTAACCGCGCGGGTAGAAGATACGCGTACCGAGCTCTCAGTTTCAAGCGTCATGCTTTTAGCGAGGGAGACATGCATAGTTTTCAATGACACTTGGTTCCAGGTTTCCCCATCATGCTTATCGTGCTGAGGGAAGACATAGTGTTCAAGAAGGATTCGTTTCACCTGAGTCTCGAAGGGGAGAGTCGAGGTATTTCGTGAAACTGCAGTTCAGATGCCATGTTGCCTCGTACTAACTTCTGTAGTAAGAGAAGTCGAGTATCATGTGAAGAAGACACAGTGAACATCTGGATCAATGTCTATATCGTGTGTAAATAATACTGTCCAAGAGTACGGTGTTCACTTCCAGGTAGGTCAGTCGTACAAATCGACACAGCTAGAAAGATGATACGACACATCCCGAGCTACCTGCGACGAGGCAGACAGCCTCGTTCGAGCTGTGCGCAGCGCGCGCCGTTACTGACTAGGTACCATATCAGCCCGAGTCGACAAAGATGAATTTGTTTTTCAAGGGCGGGGATTTCGTGGAGACCTGACACCAGAACCAGCATAAACACACTCCATCTTCACACCCGGCAGCGGGTGATCGCTCGTCCCTGTGTAAACGCGTAAATGCAGCATCCTCGTGCTCATACAAGTACCCTACCGGCGTGACAATAAGGGATTCCGTCCTCCTTGTGACCCCACCACATCACAGGCGACCACTCGTCTACGAGGTTGGCGAGTGTCTGGAGGTGACCGTATGCGGCCGGCTGGGAGCCACGCGGTCGGTGCAGTGCGATGAGAGTGAAGAAACAGGCGAATATAGACAGCGCTATACATAAGTTCCATATCTGCACGAGTGTGAGCATTGGGGATGGTGTAGCGGCTATCATGGACAGTATTTGCGAACCTGCGCTGTACCCATGGTTACCCAGAGGCCCTTGACTGACCTGAAATCGGCTGAGGGAGACGAAATGAAAGAAAGCCCAAACATCCAGTCTATATTGTTGATAATCGTGTTAGATAGTACATATAAAAAAGTAGACGCGAATGACTCACGCAGAAAAGGTTTCGCCAAGAAAAGTACAAGACAGCACGGATCAGTTAAAACAACCTTCAGCGGGTTCGTCGCCGTTCTGAGTCCTTTCCTTCTGGTAGCGCATCTCCACTGTCTTTCATCTCGAATGACATTCGCGATGAGCTCGGAGTAATGCAACCCAAGTGTCAACGGTCCCTGGACAACTGCCATCTGAACATAGACCAGAATCCACCCCTGAACGTTGCCACCCGGGACGGCATACGTGACGTAATTAGACTGCGCGCCGAGGAAGAATGACCATGATTGTAGGGTTAGCGCAGGGGTGTTGGAGTACTCGTTGCCGTTATACTTGTGCCAGATGAACATAACGAGCGCGGCCCATCCAGCGCATGCTACGACGATCCCCCAAAGGGAAATGATAACTTTGCGGATGCTAGGATGAGCACGCCACGCAGAGGGCTGTGTCTCTGAGGGCTTCCCAGGACCTTCATCCACGTTCAGGTCTGACACGCCACGCACGCATCGGAAAGGAACTGGGGTCAATTGGGTTTGATGAACCAAAGCGGCGGTCAAGTCGAAAGGCGAGGAGCTCCACGTTGATATTTTGGCAGCCCGCAACCCTGACAATGCAATCACCACCTGGAGAAGAAGTGTGAGGCCCAACATGAGTAGAGGCAACCCAGTGATGGTAACATATTCTTCGAAGTAATCGCCTCCGAATTCAAGTCCTGAAGTAAATGTCACTTCCGTGTCGAAACACAAGACAAGTGAGGATGAGCTGTAGGATATAATGAGGAGGATTGACATGATGCCATTGAGCAGGGCACCATTGGGGTTGCTCCATCCACGAGCCGCGGCGAGAAGCCGCAGATTAGTGTTGAAACGAAGCCGAGACTCTGATGCTAGCGCAGAGCGCAATGAGATGCCGTGTACAAAGCCTATGGACTCGGTGCATAGTGTGACGATTAAGTTTAGTGTTAGGGCCAGTATCTCTCTCTGGTGGAACAATCGAGTCGTGTTGTTGCTCGGGCTGCTCAGTGCCATTATATTGGTTACTCCCCAGACTCCGTGATTGGCTAAAGTGACCGTGCCAGCAGTGATGCAACAGCAGCTGATGACACCCGTACACATCACACCAACAACAGCATATCTGCGAGTTGTCAGACCGCGGTCGTAGAAATCGGTGCTAGCCCCCGCAGCGGGCTTCGGGTCGACTATTATCGATTCAGAGTCATCTTGGCGATTCGGGAGTGTGTCGTATGCAAGAAGACCGTATGGATACCAATTTCCTTCTCTCGGTTTGGAAGAAGCTGCCATAAGAGAGGCTGAGAATGGAGGGACAGCACATTAATGGTCGCGCAGGTTAAGTACGTAGGATCTTTGGCCGAAAATAAGCCTTGTTGGACCATCTGAGTACCTTGACGAGTATGTATGATAGAAAGGCGGTGGCTGGAGCGGGCGTTTCGGTATCCTGTGCATCGTGCGATCACCTTGTCAGTGGTCACTCATTGCGGTGTCGGACAAGTCGGACAGCCGGGAGTTTCGCAGCTTCGTAAGCTGAGGCGAATGCTTGGGGTCAATGTCAGATTTCTTGCGCGCCGTGAAATGCCGCAAGAAATGCAACAAGAATAAGGCCGCTCGAAAACCTATCGGAAACGTTATAAGAAGTCGGATATGCCTGGGGGTGTGAACCATCGGAATATTGCACTAAAATAGACCACGCAAGCATAGACCTGTGCACATGTGATTTCTGAGATGCTTACCTTTGTGCGAATGAAAAGTCAGTTGATGCGACCGAGGCGTGATAGCATCAGTTCTCTTGAGGCAAGCGTCCATGACACCCTATGAATAGGTCAAGCTGACTGTTTTTGCTTTGTATCCACGTGATAACTGCGGCCGATCACTTGTTCTCGCCAATGCATGCGCGTAGACATAAGGTCTACTGCTCGTTGAGAAAGGAGAAAGCTCACATGCACGGTAGATATCACCGCTATCACCCTGGTGCCCCAGCAATTTGTGTCAAATCAGTCGTCTACCAATTATGCAACTTGCCGGATTCAGATACTTGTGGGCCTTGGCTGGCGTAATGACACTCAGTGAATGCTGCTGCCAAGAATGCGACGATGGCCACCAAAATCCTTTTTTTCGACTCTGACGTCAAACATGATCAATGGAACTATGAGCGGCGTGTAGACATTGAGATGAAGGCCCCATCAAACAGTGTCTTGCCGTTCGCACATATTTACCATCTGTTGTGTTCGTCAACGCTTGTTCAGATAATTGGACGATTTGAAAACTCACGTAGGACAGGTTTCACGTTCGCGACTAACAGCACTCAACGGTGAGCTCCCAAGGACGGCCAGTACAAAATTCTCCAACATGTTCATCTCCTTATCGCTCATTTTCCTCCACACCCATAGCATCAAAGTAGCCTATGGACCAGATCCATCTTGCGCCCACTGGAAGAGCGTACCGCACCGAGGAGTTCACTAAGGGGTTTCATTTGCAACATGCATGTGCAATGGTAGCCACTGTCAGATCTTGCAGACACTCTGGTGTGCAACCCAGATGGGGAGTTAATGAGTGAGGGGACGGGACCGACGGTGGTTGCTAACGTGGGGAAGTTGAGTGCGTGCAAGCCAAGCGAGCACTTGTATCAGTTGTGTCAAAGGGAAACGAGCTACAGGTAGACATTAGGGTCAAACTTGCTCACTTTCTCGTGGCTGGACTTCTACGCCGGCAGGTCTTTGGAGGTTCGTTTTCTTGATGTGGTACTTTTCCTCCAGGTTCTCATCGCCCTGGCTGTATTGCGCTTGGGCCACGGTGAGGAATGAATAGACGCATGTTAGAATCGAAATGCAAAGGTGACTCCATGGCAAGGGCTCGAAGAGAACCGAAGGGCTTTTGAATCTGCGTAACCTGTAACCGTCAAAGGCAGAACCAGTATTAAATGTAAGTGCGTTAAGTACCTGCGCGCACAAAATATTGAGAAGAACTGCGATTCCGAACCCTACTCTTATATATGTACTGGTAATCCGCCCTGAATCGATCGTAAGAATACACGCCGCAGCAGCGCAGTTGTCTTTGAAGTCTGCAGGTCCTTCTTCGAAGTATCAATCTACTAGTAGACATGGTTGGTTGGTTTTTGATAAGATTAAGATAACGATTTTAGGCGCTTGGACCAATCTTGGACTCTCCTTGCTCGAAGATTCGAGAAGGTTCCTCAATATCCGGTTCATTCTGACGAGATTGTATAAAAGTACCAAGACAGAGGAGAAGTAGTATAATTAGTGAAAGACCTAGTAGTCTCTACTACACAGCAAATATCCAACTCCATCTTCACGACTTGACGCCCACCAGCTGAGATCCTTCAGCAACCTCATTCCACGAAAGCATGTCAGATGTGCGTGACATCGTATCCAATTCATTTGCGTGACTGCACAATTTGACGCGGACAAACACTTTTAGGTAAATCAGCTGAAAGACCAGGGCAATAAGGCCTTTTCTGCTAAGGACTACGACAAAGCGATCGAGCTTTTCACAGAGGCCATCGCCCTCGACCCTTCCAACCATGTCCTGTTTTCAAATCGGAGTGCTGCGAAAGCTGGCAAGAAGCTGTGGGCTGCAGCACTCGAGGACGCAGAACAGGTGAGCTTTGTCGGATTCGAATTTGGTATACTGATGTCTTTACTGTGATTCAGTGTATCAATCTCAACCCGTCGTGGTCCAAAGGCTATGCAAGAAAAGGGGCTGCATTGCACGGTGAAAGACGATTTGATGAGGCTATCGAGGCATACGAGGCAGGTATTAAGTTTGAGGACAGCCCTGCCTTGCGCAAGGGTTTACAAGAGGTGAAAGATGCAAAGTGTAGGTCACCCTCATTCACCCAGATGAAAAACTCATTGACACGCTGCTCAATCCAGCTAGGGATGGATCTGAATCCTTTGGCCTCGGTAAAATGTTTGCAGACCCAAATCTCATCGGAAAGCTAGCCACCAATCCTCGAACACAAAAACACTTGGCAGACCCAGCGTTCGTGCAAAAGGTATCTCATCCTTCAAAATCTCACTCTACACAACTAACCGATCTTACCAGATCAAACTCTTCCAACAAAACCCCGCACTCGCTGAATCGTAAGTTTAGTTCCTCAAACCCTGTCCCTTAGCACCACTTAACCCTCCCCTATTAGCGCTCTCTCATCAGACCCCCGCATGATCGACGTCCTGGGTGTCGCTATGGGCATTGATATGCAAGGTTTCTCGCGCGATGATGGCTCTGACGAACTCCCACCCGGCTTCACACCCTCCTCTCCCCCGAAGGCCCCAACCCCTCCGACCCCATCTGCATCCAAATCGAAGACACCGCCAGCACCAGCACCAGCCCCTGAGCCAGAAGACGTCGAGATGACAGAGGAGGACCTCGAGGAGGCTAAAGCCAAAGCAGACGCACTTGCCGCAAAGGCTCAGGGCGCAGAGCACTACAAGGCACAGCGCTTCGCCGAAGCGGCAGAATACTTCAAAAAGGCTTGGGATTTGTGGCCGAAGGATATCACGTTCCTTGGCAACCTCGGCGCTGCATATCTCGAGGCGAAAGAGTACGATAAATGTATTGAGACATGCGAGTCGGCTGTTGAGGAGGGCCGAGGAGTGAGCCATTCCCGTCCAATGCACGTGCCAATTTCTAACGCATGACCCAGCTCCGCGCAGACTACAAGATAATCGCCAAAATTTTCGGCCGTATTGGGACTGCGTACACTGCAAAGAACGACCTATCGTCCGCGAAGAAGTACTATCAAAAGTCGCTGTCTGAACACCGTGACGCTACCATTCTGGCAAAGCTTCAAGCCACCGAGAAAGCCATCATTGAGTCCGAGAAGCAGGCGTACATTGACCCTGCTAAGTCTGCCATCGCACGCGAGGAGGGCAATGCCGCATTCAAGAATGGTGACTTTGCCAAGGCTGTGAAGTTGTATGAAGAGAGTATCAAGCGTGATCCTTCCGATGCAAGAGGATACAACAACAGGGCGGCAGCGTACATGAAGCTTATGGCACTGGTTGAAGCTCTGAAAGATGCCGACAAAGCAATTGAGGTCGATCCTACATTTGGTGAGTTTGATTGCGTCCGATTCTTCGTATGCCATTCTTGAACTTTACTTCAGTCAAGGCATATATCCGGAAAGGCACCATCCTGCAAACGATGCGCGAGTATAGCAAGGCTCTTGAAGCCCTACAGGCCGCTTCATCAGCAGACACTGCCAATGCACACTCTCAGGAGATTCAAGCTCAGGAGTTCAAGATCCAGCAAGCCTTGTTTACTCAGCGTGCCGGAGAGACGGAGGAACAGACACTCGAGCGAGCTATGAAGGACCCCGAAGTTGCTGTGAGTGCTATCTGATCTTGTCAAACGCTATGGTGTTAACCAGAAATTCTTCTTCAGCAAATCATGAACGACCCCGTGATGCAGCAAATTTTGCAGCAAGCGCAGGGCAATGCCGGCGCATTGCAAGATCACATGAAGAACCCTGTGGTACGCCAGAAGATTATGAAACTCATCAACGCAGGAATTATCAAGACGAGGTGATTTGCGCGGTCGTGTATGAATGAAGGGCATCCCACACTACTGTAGTTGTTTTGCTTGTATCGATTCAATTGTTTGTTTTATCAACACCTTTACTTATGGCGTGTACATAACAGATTTCGCGCAACTTATAAAGGTAAATATTAATATTGTCATATTACGCTCGTTCGGTTTCAGCGATGACTTCACATTCAAACTTTATACGGAAGTCAGTGGTTCTCAACCAAGTCTGGTATCATCGTCGAGATCTCTGGGCCAACCGCTGGTGAACTTAGCCTTCTGGCTGTGTACAAAGTTCTTATGGCTTTGCTTTCATTAATTAACTCGAGGCCCCGTGAACACGCGCAATCCGCGTGCCGCACACGAGGGTTGCTGCCCAGGACCGGTGCTGTCTACTACCAGCATCATCCGTCGCTGCTCGAGACACTTGTATTGTTCTACCAACCGCCTGCTTACTCCTTCTCACCTTCAACAACCTACTCCTTAAATCACATACCATGCCTCCAACAGACCTCATGAAAAAATACCCCTCTACCAACTCATATGTGAATTTAAAACTTGTGCTGATCGGAAACGCTTCAGTTGGGAAGAGTAGCTTACTCCTCCGCTTGTTGGATGATCAACAGTTTCCCGAGAAGAACATCGTAACTGTTCTTGATCTCCACGTGCGTTCATCGATCCTTCCTTTCTTCTACACATGTCATGTGCCAACCTTGATGTCCGGGGCATAGGTGCATAAGATGGTAGTCAACGGGCAGAAAGTGAGGCTCAATATATGGGTGCGTTGATTCATTCTTTCCCTATATCGGTGCGTGTGATGTGCTCTGTAGGATACAGTCGGCCAAGAACGCTTCAACTCAATCAGACGCCCGTTCTACCGTGGTGCTCAAGGGATCATACTTGGTGCGTGCTCGCTTGCTTATACGAGACAAAGGTTCAGAGGCCTGATGATGTTGGTATGTACAGTGTATGACGTATCAGACCGCGGGTCATTCGAAGCACTTCCGAAATGGTTTTCTGAAGTCGACCCCCACGTCTCAATCGCAGTGCCGAAGATTATTGTTGGAAATAAGGTCGATCAGGTACTTGCTAATTTCTCTTTTCGTGATCTTGTTATGATCTGGACCCTTTTCATTATCCTATTCACACTACACTTGCACCCCGCTACTTGTTTCCTGTCATTCTACTAACCACCAACCCTATTCCAGGAAGACTCTCGTCAAGTCTCCACCACCGAGGGTTCCACTTTTGCCTCTCGTCAGAATGCCCTCTTTGTTGAGGCCTCTGCAAGGACAGCCGTCGGGGTACGCGAGATATTCGAGGAGCTGGTGGCGCAGATTCTTGAGACCCCAGAGCTGTGGGCATTTGTGACACCGGAAACTGTTAATGTTCTACTTGCGAAGAGCAAGGAGGACGGTAGGAGTTGGCGTTGTGCATGTTAGATTCGATGTGTAAGAGGTTGTGTTCCAAATGCATATGTAGCTTCTCGCGGCGTTAACTACTGTATCTGCAACTTTAACTGTATCTGCCCGACTTATGATGGTCAAAGAGCAGGCGTCGCCCAGGAGTAGTCCATAACCTGCGCATCCCTGAACAAGTCCTGCACGCGCTTAACCCGAGCAACCCACTCCTCTTTCGTCGCCAACCCCTCAACATCTACCTCACGCCAAACCTTCGCACTCGCATGGACATCTTCAAGAGTGCTGAGCCCCACCACAATAGGCATCCCTACCTCTCTCGTACGCGCAAATGCATACTGCAGCGCCAGGTTGGGAAGACCAGCCCCAGACGCGTCCCACTCCTCGCAGAGTTGCACAGCGCTCTTCGCCGCATCCTTGACCGCGGGCGACGCAGGGTGCCACTTTGGGGAGTCAGGTCGCAGGAGACCCATGCTCAACGGTGAGGCGCTGATGACTTGCTTCACTCTCGCGCGTGATTCGAATGCGGGCTTGAACTGCTCGATGGTGCTGTTCTGCAGGGTCAAGTGGCAGTAGGACATCACGAGGTCCAATGGCTTCCCGAGGCGTTTCTGGATGAGGATAGCGAGCCGCAGGAGGGTTGGGAGCGGGAAGCCTGACGTACTTCTATTAGGTTGAGCTTACCAGATTTACAAGTGCACTTACCGCTAATCCCGACGCGCCTGATGACGCCTCTACCATCTCGCAGCTCGAAAAGCTTCTCGACAGCAGACAAAATCTTGTGATCCTTCTCCGTATATGTTTCGCCCTCCTGACCCTCATTCAACCCATATAGTTCCCTCTCACTGCCCAGGGCAGTAACGTGGTCTCCCTCTCTTTTAGAGAGCTTCTCGTCTGCAACAAATTCGACATCATGCAGGTATACGACGTCGAGGTAGTCCGTATGCATACGCCGAAGACTGCGTGCAATACTACTCTCGATGCCCTCAGGGGTATAGTCGAATTCGGTAGCATAGCGGCCGACCTTTGTTATCTGCATCCAAAAGCAGCGTAACGTTAACGCTAAGCGTCATGCATACACGGGTGAACACACCAACGTATACGAATCGCGAGGAAATTCCTGCTCGAGAGCTTTAAGAGCGTTCCCAAGAATAATCTCGGAATCCCCATAGTATGGCGAAGTATCGAATGCATTGATGCCATAGCTGTCAACTGCTCAGAAACAACGTCCATATTCTGGCACGCCACACACCGCAGAGCCAGTCTGGTAGCGCGCAGGGGTGTTACTCCGGAAATATGGTCGCGTTCGTTATAGAAGTGAGAAAACGAGGCGGCGCCAAAGATGATTGAAGGGAAGCCACTGGGTGTTGTAGGCTTTCGATGATCTAGAGTTAGCACGGACTCGAAACATTCTGTAGGTAAATTACAAGCTTGTCCGCCTCCTTCGGCTTGTCACTATCGTCATCCGGTACCTCATCAAGAGGAGGGAGAGGATAATAAGCGTCAGGAGCGTCGAATTTGCCCATCATGGACACCACAGTCGAACAGTCGATGAGAGAATAAGTAGTGCAACAGATTACAGGTTGTCTTTTAACATCAAGACCAGGGAACTAAAAGCAACTATCCGGCCCGACATCAATAACATAGTCACATGGAACAATCATCAGCGCAGGAAAACAGAATGTAATTGGACTGTATTATGACAACGAGCACGACCGAAAAAATGGTATAGCACCCTTTCAGTGCGAGCTTAAGCTATAACTTGTCCCTCGACCAGCTGGCAATACCAATGGGTTAGCCCGGCCCTATAACCCGACATACCGGGTAAACAAACGCACCTCTTTGAGAACCTCGAGTTAACATCCAACATTTTAGTGTTTTCATCTTGTTTGACCTCGTTCCAGGGAGTAGGGTTGTTCTTTGTCCAAACGACTGTTCATTCCATTCGGTCGTTAGCAGATGCGAGTAAGGTCGGAATGAAGGTACACTATACCTGTAGGACCACGCGCGAGGCGGGTCAGATACCAGCCCGCACCCCCGACGGCTATACCAATAACGGCGTAGCTATCCAGTCGTCAATAAAACTCAACTTCAGCAACGCGGAGATACGAGCTCACATAGGAATTGCCTAAGGGAAGTAAACCGGTCAGCTCAAGCGAGCACAAATTATGGAAAATGTACCTCGATGGCATACCAATTGCGCATGAAAGTGCGTGCTCCCCGGGGTGCTACCATGATGGTTGACGTTGAAGTTGTTGTCGAAGCTTGAAGCTGAATTCTGGATCGACCGACTCGTGTTGTTCCCACGCCTATGCAGCAGCCGGGACCTACCGACTCCAGTCTCGCACAAGTCTCACAAATCATGTGTTCAGGTATTCCAGCACTCGAAGGGACCCAAGAAATGCATAGACATGACAATAAAATTATGAGCATGAACGAAAGAGTGTCCTCAGAGTGTTCTTAGAGGGCACTTAATAATATAATACAAAAACAACAGTATTGAAACATGATAACATGACTTTCCCCTCACAGGCAGTCACAACACGACAAAGAAAGGTGAGGGGAGGTGAGGTGAGAGTATGTGACACGTCATTTGGAGATAGAGGGGGAACATAGAAAAGGAAAGGGCATACGACTAGGACAGGCAATGGGCTTACAGACTCAGCTATCATATGTGAGTCAGGAACGTACTGGCAGGATTCTTCACAAGAAAATATCGGCACCCTTGCAAGCACCGCAGGGATCAACCGCAAGACAGCGTCCTATGCCAATGCCATTATGGTTATTGCCTAGTCGATTCCTCAACTTCTCCAACTGCTGCTCCCTCGAAACAAATCTCCTTTCAGCCGAGCGTCGTACACCAGGACAAGCACCAGTGAATAACGATGCTGCCTCTGCAGCATCATCACTCGAGCTAACTGGGGTGCTGGGAGTACTGCGCGACGCAACTGCAGCCGCACCCGGCGTCCACGAGAGGGGAACAAAGTTTGATAATGCTTGGAATGAAAATCGTACCGCAAGCGGTGAAGACATAATTGACGATAAAGATGAAGTTGGGGCTTGTTCTTGTTCATAGTATTCACAGGTGTCGGAGGGATCCGTTATCTTCTCAGAGGTACCGTAGAATCTGGGAGTCGCATCGTTGGCTGCGAAAACCAAAGAGAAAAGTCAGAACCCACTCATAGATAATCTGAGGTGAGGCTTAAATGCCGAACCATTTGTGGCACCCTTGGAACGCAACACCGGAACAGGAACGCGTGATTTCGTAGGGTTGGAAGTCTTGGATGGCGACGGCGAGAAAGGTTGGGGAATAAAGGACGGGGTAGTCCCACCGCGCCGTGAGGGAGGGGTAATAAATGATGTTGCTGGATAGTTTTCTGGCGCAATGAAGCGACCAGACGCAACTCTTGGCGGCGTGGCTAAAGAGGGTGGTGTGAGCGGTGCAAACGACCGCAGGGAAGTTGCACGAGGAATTGCCGATGGCGAGTTAGTTGTTCTGCTCGATGGACGGCTGCTACTTTCCGAAGTCAGCGGTGAAGAGGACGGCGGAGTGATCGGCTCCTGGACTTTGGACTGGGGGAAAGTGAAGAGAGAAATACAATCATCTTCCTCGTCGTCAAAAGGCTCAAGGACAGCAACACGTTCTCTCGCGACAACGCGAGCAGGTGCCGGCTCAGATTCAGTCGGAGGTGTGATGCAGATGATAGGTGGAGGGCTGAGGCAGATGGTTGGCGGAGGGCTGATGCAGATAGTAGGCGGAGCATTGAATGTAAACCGGATCCCGCCCTCGACTTCCTCACCAAGGAGTTCATTCTCATTCTCGTCATCAGCTTCGCCTTCATCTTCTTCGTCTTCTTCCGGCACAACGTCAAGGCTCCTCGATGTCGGAAGTTCGAAGACGACAGTGCCAACGTCTGAAGGGATAACAAAAGGTGGCAGCTCGTCCTCGTCATCGTACGCAGGACCAAACGTCGACGTGAACATTGCTTTGCCCATCTCCTCAGAATCAAGCGGGGGAGAGTTTTCAATGTCATCGAGGCATCCGAAGAACCGGTCAATCTCGTCAACATCATGCTTGACTATAGTGACAGGCTGACCCCTAGGGAATGTCCACGTCTTGGAAAGTGAAGCGCGTGGAGCATGCGAAGACGTCGGCGCAACAGGTTTGGACAACGAGTTGAGTCGGTTTGTAGCTTCGTTCAGGACTGTGACTGGGTTGATGTCGAGGTCGTCCTCGGAACCGATGGATGAACCGTCTGGGCTCTGGAAGCTGATATCGGAGTCTTCTGCGTCTTCATAACTAGCAAGCTCGTCCTCATCAGAAAAGTCACAGGTGTCCTCGTCCTCCTCTGTGACAGCATCAAGAGTCAGTTCAGCCTTGGTAAAGCTGTTGTCGACAGACTCTACATCGGTTGAAGAGGCGTCAGAGTCGATGGACTGAAAGCCAAATCCACGAGGACGGGTGCCATAAGACCGACTAGGCAATGAATTCTTTACCTGGCCGTCAACGGAAAGCGGAATGGTGGGCGTATTAAGTAGTCCAGCATCGTCGAGAAGTTTCTCCAGGTCCGCGCGTCTGGTACGCTCTTGTTCGAGTGCGGCACGGAGACGGATGCACTCATCAACTGCACTGTCAGCATCTCGAAGACGAGCACGCAACCTGTGCAACTCCTCCCTCATGCTATCGCGTTCCTTCGTCAACTGCTTGCTCTGGCTTACTGATTGCTCAAGCTCAGCGCTCTTGCTACCAAGGGCCTTTTCCAAGCCACACTTCTCGACTTCCAACAGGCCAAGTCGCGAGCGAGCAACCCAGGCTTCTCTTCTCTCAGCCTCAACCCGCCTTGTCAGGACGGTGGCTTGTTTGTCTGCGTCAGCAATACGCATGCGCCACCCATCCACATCTCTCTTCAGTTCGTCACGCTCAGCCTTCAAATCCGAAATTAGCTGCAGCATCTCGTCGCTTGGCTCGGAAGACGCCGCAGAAACGTCCGAAGCCATGGAAAGGGGACGCGATCGGGACATTGATCGGGACCGTAGCGTACGCTCGAGATCCATGATGCGAGCCAAGAGCACGTTGTGCGATCTAAATAAAAAATGTTGCTCGGCTGCGGTTAGGGGCTGTTCTGGGACGCTTTCGACATCGTTAAATTCCGAAAAACGACGGTCGGTAGGAGTCGCATCAGGTGAGGGCAAAAAGCCCATGCCGCGAGGGATGGAGTCAACAGAGCGCTTGTAGGAAATGCTGCTGCGTTTTCTACTGAAGTCGGAGCTTTCGGATGAAATAGATGAAGAGCTTCGTGAAGCGAGACTGAAGGAACCGTTGGAAGAAGGCATGACAGTGACGGGATGGCTGTTTTTCGTGACATTGGCGTTCGTAGCCGAGAATGTGTCGGAGGCGGACGTCAAGGCGAGAGATCTCAGACCGTTGGGCCGAGGATTGGGCGTAAGAGTGGGCGTGGGGAGATTTCCGGGAGTGCAAGTGACAACAGATCCAGAAACAAGAGAAAGAGGCCTAAGATTGAGGCTGGCAGGACGGTGTCGTGAAGCAGACTTTGTCACTGCTGTGGAGACTGGATTAGCGAGTGCAATAGTGGGAGCTTCTGTGAGTTCCTCGGCAATTTCGGTAACTTGAGCAGGACTTTGTTGGGATTCATCATCTTCCTCTTCCTCCTCCTCAACTAAAGTCTGAAGTTGATCTTTGGAGGTAGAAGTGGAAGGGAACATTTTTCCGAATGAATCACGCTTGCTCAGGAGGTTACTAATGCCATGCCCACTGATACCAGTACCAGGAGGGAAAGACGGCTTTGTTGCTACAGAAACTTAAGTATCAGCTGTCGGATCAAATGTGGCATAACTCACGGAACTCAAAAGACTTTGTCATATCAGGGGACGTGATATCAGGAATTTCGACCTTTGCGAAAGCGAGGTCAGGCTTTCCCTCAAGAGCCCAGAGGGCCCTGCGACGAATAGAGTCCCTGTCGCCAAGATTTATATTGTCATCTGGGTGAGCTGCGGGAAGGTCAGGAAGGGATGCGCCCATAAGTTCCGCCGACTCGCGGCGGGTGGAAACAGAAGAACGACGACTGTGATGTGAATGTGGACGCTTTGAAGGGGGTGCGTTTGAAGGTGCATTGCTATTGAATTCAATTGAAGAGGGAAATGAAGGTGCCGAGGCAGAAATAGATAGAGCTGAAAGAGAAGTAATTGAACTGTTGCGAGAGCGAGATCGTCCGTGTGAATGCTTTGGGAGGTAATTGTTTAAACTATTGGCTGGAGCACCGCCGCCCATCTTGAATGATTCGAACTAGACGCATATTAGTTAAAACTAGAGGTAGAGCATACTAACTAACCCTCTGTTTAGCTGCCAAATTGGATTCTTGAACTTTAGCAGAGACGTCGAAATTTGGGTCCATAATGACGCTGAAAACTGGTGGTTTCGATGAAAGAGCGTAATTTGTCGGGTGGACTGTGAGCTTATAATGAAAGGAATGACCGTACGACTTAAGACGTCGGAATATTGGCAAACGTCGAGGTTGATGATGGCGAGCAGCAAACTGAACTTGAACCAAACTTCAATCCAGTATGTACATAACACTTTAAACTCCGCTTCCCCACCGCAAGTGCAACCCTGCATGTACCGTCTATGAATTAATTATACTATCGGGTTACCCGAAAACCATGAAACGTGTACTTGAACAAAGTGCAGGTGACCATGAGGTGGCAAAAATTCCTTGGTCCATCGCAGCTACAAAGTACTGAAAGGCAAAGCGTCTCTCCCGATGGGGAAACCGGAACTGCGTGCGCTTCCCAAGGTCTGGACTTCATATTCTCAGACTGACAGCGAGCTCCGTGCCAACACCATTTAAAAGAAGAACGAATTCAAAGGTCTGACTAAATCACATCGTCTGTGAGCCTTCTTTTGGTTTCCCCTGCGTTACCCTGATGGTTACATATCATAGTATCTCTAGCTATGCCCGCCGTTGCGAAGCTTGCACCACAGGAGACTGTATTCTTCCTCTGTGACGTCCAAACACGTTTCAGTAAGCTTGATTCTCGATCCACTGTAAATCGCGGAAATTTACTGTCCTATCACCAATCAGAAAATGCCATATTCGGCTTTGATGAGCTTGTATTGACCATCAATAAGATGCTCAAGATCGCAAAGGTATAAAATACGCATCAACTCCCTATTGTGTTGTAACAATACATAAGGTATTGGAGATCCCCGTCGTTGTCACGGAACAGAACCCCAAAGGTAGGCTCATCCTCGTGCTTCCTATCCGAAATGAACTCACCAAAACGTACAGGCCTCGGAAACACCACCCCCAACATCGATTTGCCCTCCTTAGGGCCACTTCTCATTGCTAACATCGAGAAAGGGCTCTTCTCCATGATGACACCGGAAGTGAAGGCCCTACTCCACGAACGCCCCCAGATAAAATCTGTGGTGCTTTTTGGCATTGAGGTCAGTTTCACCCTACAGCGACTCCTTCATCACTAACATCACTCCATTCAGTCCCATGTCTGCGTGTTGCAATCTGCGCTGGATCTCATCGAGGCAGGATACAATGTCCACGTCATAGCAGATGGTGTCTCTAGCTGCAACAAAGAAGAAGTCCCCTTCGCCCTGGCACGGATTCGCCAGAGTGGTGGATACATCACTACCAGTGAGAGTGCGGCCTTTCAATTGCAACGTGCGCTTTTTATTGCAAATTATGGGGAGGCCTGCTCTGACTCATCGGTTCCAGGGGATGCTGGTGTTTCTGGGTTTAAATTGTTCTCGAATATCATAAAGGAAGAAAAAGATAACACGGTAAGGACCTCACAGAAGCTGTTGCAATACCGCGCTGTCTTGTAGAAATTCCTGCAGTTGTTTACGTATCGTAATCGAAAGAGCAAGACCCTTTCCCAATGGATGCGACGACCCGGCCAAGAGTCATTCCAAATCAGAACGATAATATCAACTTATAAGACCTAGACTAGCCCGCCCATGAGGCGATAGCAGGAACTATCAAGGCATTATTTGAACAAGCGCTTCCACTCTTCTGGATCTTTCTGGTTCGTTGACGCCCATGCTGAACGACGCTAAGTATCTTCGGTACTTGACAGACCTCTTCGACATACTCGGACATGAGATATACTTTGTTTTGAATCCTAGTTTATTGTCCGTTGGGACGAGGTATGCATGCATGATGGTGATAAAACCTCTATCAAGGCATTACATTCTTGTCGATTGAATAAGCGCTTCCACTCTTCTGGATCTTTCCGGTTCGTTGACGCCCATGCTAAGCATCTTCGGTACTTGACAGGTCTCTTCGACATACTCGGACATGAGTTATACATGCATGATGCTGATAGAACCTTGGAAGGTGAGGCACCAGGCTCTTACGGCGTTCAGCATACTAATAAACGCCAGCTGATGGACAAGCTGCCGCCCTTTAAGCTTTAAGTACACATACAGATAAGCCTATCAAAGGCTGTGGTTACGTTGCGCAAATCCTATACATAACCTGCGTGCCCATAACCTGCTGGCTCTCCATTGTCAGCGCTCCCATGTCAGCCTCTTCCAAACAGACGAAAGAAGATGGGGATCCATCCAGTTTCTCCCCTGAGACTGGCATTGAGTCCTTCGACCGCGCTCCGACAAGTCGCAAATATGCTCTTGTTGGAGTGGTGTGCTCGACTATCATCAGCTGCAGTTGCATCATTGTAGGCGGTGCCATCTGCGTCAGTGATGGAACCTCTGGTTACACGGGCGCGCCATTGAGTGTCAACAAAGAAGCACTCGGCCTGACACTAAACTTACTCGTCACATTGTGCACCGAGTCCATTGGCCTCGTACACAGCGTCTCTTTACGCTCTGCACTAGCCTCAGAGAATCGGCTCCATTTCAACACCAACCTGCGCCTCCTGACCGCAGCTCATGGATGGTGCAGTCCCAATGGCGTCTTCTTTAATGGCGTCATGACTGTCCTCCTCATAATGTCCTACAGCTCATCCTCACTTGTCATATACACTCCCGTCGATCCCGACCGTAATCAGACACCCATGATAAAACTTGTCGGCTTTACAGGATATCCCCTGCTCTTCTTAGGGTATCACGCTTCTTCTCCAGGTGGTGATCGCATTGTCAGGAATGTGGGCTGTCGAAATATTGACATGGAGTTCCTCGCCTTTCGACTTCACCTGCCGCGATGGTCCACAGCACCCAATTGACCGCAGTTCGTTCGCGATGCATGCGTGGCGTGTCTGTGCAGTGGCGTGTCTGACCTGGACGTGGACGGAAGTCCAGCGAAGCCGTCAGAGATACAGCTCTCGGCATGGCAAGCTCACCCTAGCATCCGGAGAGTCATCATTTATCTTTGGGTCGTCGTCGTTACATACGTCACAATTGGCCGCGCTCGTCACGCATTATGGTGGCATATACACCTGGTCATTCCTCTTCAACGAGAATTCCGGTTACGTGACATTGAACCTTCCGGTCGGCGATGCCAGGGGGGTGGATTCTGACCTTTGTCATCCTGGCGGCTATCCAGGGACCATTGACACTTGGGCTGCACTGTTCGGAACTCATCGCGAGTGTTGTGCAAAACGAAAGGCAATGGAGATACGCTACAGGAGAGAAAGGACTTGATACGACGACAAACCCGCTCAAGACATTTTTCACTAATCCGCTCGGTTTGATACTTTTCATCGTGAAGCCTGCGTTACGTGAGCCTTTCATGTCTTTCTTTCGATCGACAATATTAACGATATACTTAGACTGGATGTTTGGGCTTTCATTCACTCAGTATTCATACCAGTACATGGTGACATTCATATTTGAATGGACGGAGGGAGGGACCATGTTGATAATGTTTTCCTCTCATGTTTGTATTATTCTCCGAGTACTGCCGCTACAACGTCCTCACACACTCGTGCAGATCTGGAACATGTGTATGGCGCTCTTTATATTTGCCTGTGGCTGCACTCTCGTCGCACGGCACCGACCGCGTGGCCCCCAGCCGGCCACATACGGGCACCTCCAGACGCTCGCCAACCTCGTGGACGAGTGGTCGTCTGTGATGTGGTGGGGCCACAAGGCGGATGGAAACCCCTATTGCCATGCTGGTAGGGTACTCGGATGATCACGAGGATGCTGCATTGACGCGTTTACACAGGGACGAGCGATCAACCGCTGCCGAAGGTGAAGATGGACTGCGTTTATGCTGGTTTCAATGCCGCTCCCGTCCATCCATCCCGTGAGATGGCTTTGCTTTTGTAAAAGGAAAGAAAATTACATTGCAATGTGCGCTTTTAATTCAAAATTATGGGGAGACCTACTCATTAATGATTTTAAGGGATGCTGATGCTCCCGTGTTCAAATGTTTTCATTTTTCATTTCTGCATCTGTATTTATTGCCGGTGTCGGGGGCTGCTACTCACACCGAGATAAATTCAAAATCCGCCGTACGCACAACAATTTCTGATGAATCGAAGTAGAGATAGTGTAATCTCGGTGTATTTAGTGTAACTCGATATGATGTAAGAATTCGGTGTATGCAAGAACGCGGTGTCGTGAAAAAAACTCTGTGTGATTGAAAAATCTTCGGTGAGTCGAAGACTTGAAGTTGGAGCGCACTGCACCTTTGTGTATTTACCCCTGTAACGCATCACAGGGTCGGTTGCTAGTGAAGAGTATGTGACAAAAGCTGAGAAATTGTATACTATAACTGCTTTTTCGCTCCTGGGCCACCATCCTGCTCGTTTACGAGTGCCCATATGTTCACATTGTCTCCCGCAGCAACCAGTCCATGTCCGTCACCTCGCTGTACATCATGAGTGCAGTATCAGCAGCCACGACACCAGCCCCTTCAACACCAAGAGTATCCTGGATGACAGCACAAGCAGAGATGGGTTCTGAAGATAGGCCCTGTTGAGCCTTAGAGGGCACAGATTTTGTCATTTCAGGTTGGTTCAGGCTGGCAACATACAGTTTTCACTGGTAGTCTAAGTACTTACCAGTACTAAATCGTCAATCTGCGCCTCCGCAACAGAGTCCGAGCAACTAGGCCACACTCAGACATACTTAGTATGACAGCCTTGACGAGCACCCAACGCCACTGATTGCTGACTTGTTCACATGTCACGCTCCAATCAGGTGATGCTAACTCTGCATGTCACACCCAACTCTTGGTTGCCTCCATACACAAAGGGACAGTATACGTATTAGTACTTACGTAGTCGACCGCTCGACCTGTTACCGTTCCGAAATACTTCGGTTCCTAAACTTAAGAAGAACGACACGGTGCAAAGTGGCGTTATTTGGTCATGCCTCCTCGCTCGCAGTGATGCATGATTCCTTGCCCGAATAAGTAACTGATTTTGTAACCCGAACAATTTGTAGCCTAGGCTTCTCGTCCTCCAGTGCTGGATGGAGTGACTTCTCACCGCTCAGTGCCCCACTTCATCACCTACATCCTTCACCGCACTCGCCCTTCTCTAGCGCTTGTGAAGGAGCGCTTTCCCACCAGGAAAACGATAAAATCTGACGCTACCGTGACAAGACCCACGGTGACGGTGACTACACAAACGGTAGCGCGTCCGAGCCCAGCATGACTAACATACATTCGCGTATAGTAAGGTATGCACATCCACCGGCTTGCGAACCAGCTGAGTGCCACTATTAAGTAACAGGCGCAGCATTTTTTTAGGATGTGATATGGGATCAATTAGACCTGAAGGGGACAGTAGGAAGCAAGGTCATTCCCAGTCGATCGGATGATCATGACCCAGTTAAATTATTGCCCAGTCCTTTCAAATAGGAACGACCAATGGGCATTATGACCTAGACTGGTGACCAGCCCGTCTGTGTCAAGCTGTCGAGACTCGATAGGACCTATCAAGATATGCATCGTGACGATTAGCGCTTCCACATAATAACTTCTGGATCCTTTTGGCTCCTCAACACTGGCGATGTACACACTGAATGACTACATCTTTGAGAGAGCATTTTGGCTTTGCCACTCGACTTATCTCCAGTCAACCCCCTTCTAGTAAGATAGACCTCATATGTAGATCACCTTTTCGTAACATTTGCGTTGCAACGGCTAAGCCTTCTTGCTGAGATCCTTTCAGGCTAATCCACTGGGACGGATTCTCTTAATTCGCATTTTCGAGTGACTAGTAGTCGTTCCGGTGATCGACGTACCACCCGAATCTTAAGTCGTGGCTGTGCAGCGTGACAATAGGGGCCCTCAAAGTTGGACGCCCAGGCGCTGGGCCAACGCCCAACGCCCAACCACGTGACGAAAATGAGTATACCTAGAATAAATAGAAGTAAATACAAAGTAGCACAGTCACTTACCTAAACCTTATGGCGCGAAGCGCCGAAACCTTCGTGAATTGTTGAGCGCGCGCTAAACCTCGATACTTATTCCTAACCCTCAGCATTGCTAAACCTGCTAACCCCTAAACCTCGCCAGAACTAAACATTGTCAAGATATATTTTTCAAGGCTTAGGCATGATTTTTCTGTTTGGTATTTAGTGGATTTTAAAAAACTATTCCTAACATACTGAGTACATACATACTTCTATGATAAAAAATTATGACAAGGTTTAGGGGTTAGCAGGTTTAGCAATGCTGAGGGTTAGGAATAAGTATCGAGGTTTAGCGCGCGCTCAACAATTCACGAAGGTTTCGGCGCTTCGCGCCATAAGGTTTAGGTAAGTGATTGTGCTACTTTGTATTTACTTCTTTTTATTCTAGGTATACTCATTTTCGTCACGTGGTTGGGCGTTTGGGCGTTGGGCGTCCAACTTTGAGGGCCCCTATTAAGTAACGCTCGGTCCAGCCCAACACCTGCGCCAGACGAAGCTACACTCTAAAATCGTCATAAATGTGTGTGTGTACAGACAAACATTAATGTTCGTGACGATTTTATAGGCGCTTCTTACTGTCTTCTGGATCCTACTATTAATTTACTCTGGCGACGTGCACACTGGATGATGCTACGCATCTTCGGTAACAAATCTCTTCGATACATCACACATGTCATAGATTGGTGTACAAACAGGTAACTGAGATTCGTGGCCACTCTGACTACGTCCCTCGACTCTTGAGAGAGGAGAATTTGGGCTTTGCCACTCGACTTGTGTGTGGTGAGGTCTCAAACCACCTCCCTCTAGTACTGCAGTCTGCAGCTCGTCAGTAACCTTGGAAGCTCGAGGTGACAGGCGCACCATGCTCATAACTGCCCATAAACGCCAATTCTTGACCATCCTTTACCACAACGCAGCATCAATCAATATGTCTAAATTTTTCGTCAAGGTAACGTCCAAATAAGCCCGATGATCGAATTCAAAGGCTGTGCGTATCGTGGGCAAAGTCTCTACATAATCTGACGTGCTGGCCCTCCATTGTCACCTCTCTCATGGCAACTTCTTCCAAATCGATAGAAGAAAATTGGCATCTATCCAATGTTCTTGCACACGACGCACTCCCGAATCGCCAGGATGACTCTGAATCAATAATATTCGATTCGAAGTCCACTGCTGAGACTGGAACCAATTTCTACGACAGCAGTCTGACAAGTCGCAGATATGCTCTTGTTGGAGTGGGATGCTCGACTATCGTCAGCTGCACTTCCATCGCTATCGGGGCTATCATCGTAGCCAAGGTCGGAGCCTCAGGATTAGCCTACACGCCAGTCAGCACCGATAAGCAGAGAGAGATACTGGCCCTAGTACTGAACTTAATCGTCACATTATGCACCGAATCCATAGGCTTCGTACACGGCATCTCTTTACGCTCTGCGCTAGCCTCAGAATCTCGGCTTCGTTTCAACACCAATCTGCGTCTTATGACCGCAGCTCGCGGATGGAACAACCCCAATAGCGTCCTCCTTAATTGCATCATGGCCGTCCTCCTCATTCTATCCTATAGCTCATCCTCGCTTGTTGTATTACAATACGTATTTTACGCCGACCAAGCAGGCACCACTACTTCTTCTTCGCCCCTTGTTTTCGATTCCACATCAATCACGATAGGGACAGCAGGGCTCCCCCTCCTCGTGTTGGGAATCACACTTCTTCTGCAGATCGTGATTGCATTGGCAGGGATGCGGGCTGCCAAAATATTGACGTGGAGCTCCTCACCTTTCAACTTGACTGCCGCCCTGGTTCACCACACGCAATTGACCCCGGTTCCTCTCCAGTGCATGCGTGGCGCGTCTGACCTGGACGTAGGTGAAGGTCCAACGAAGCCGTCACAAACACAGCCCTCTGCGTGGCATGCTCACCCTAGCGTCCGGAAAGTCATCATTTCGCTTTGGGTGATCGTCGTTATATACGTGGGATCGGTCGCGCTCGCGACTTACCGATCATCTTTCACCTGGACGTTCCTCCCCAGCGCGGGGTCCGACTACCTCTCGTATACCATTCGGGTTTCGGGTGGTCTGGGGTGGGTGCTGGCTTTTGCCAGCCTGGCGAGTCTCCAGGGATGGATGACACTCGGGCTGCATTTCGCGGAGCTTATCGCTAATGTCATTCGAGATGAAAGACAGTGGAGACGGGCTACCGGAAGGAAAGGACTCAACACGGCGACGAACTCGTTCAAGTTGGCTTTCACTGATGCGTTCAGTCTTGTACTTCTGGTCCTCAAGTCTGCACTACGTGAGTCATTCATGTGCATCCTTTGACCAGTTGTCTTGAAAATTATTAATGATGTACTTAGACTGGATGTTTGGTCTTTCCTTTACTGTGATCGGCTCGAATTCAGGGATCAAGATATTCATGTTTCCAGCTCAGGTTCGTATTACTGTGCAAGTACTGCTGCTACAACGTCCTCACCCACTCGTGCAGTTCTGGAACCTGTGTATAGCGCTCTTTATATTTATCTGTTTCGTCACTCTCGTCGCATTGCGCCGACCCCGCGGCCCCCAGCCGACCACATACGGTCACCTCCAAACGCTTGCCAACCTCGTGGACGAGTGGTCGCCTGTGATGTGGTGGGGTCACAAGGAAGACGGAATCCCGTATTGTCATGCTGGTAGGGTGCTTGTAATATCGCGAGGATACAGTATTGACGCGTTTTTCTTACACAGGGACGAGCGATCACCCCCTGCCGGATGTGAAGATGGACTGCGTTTACTGCTGGCCCCAGCGTCAGGTCCCGTCCATGTCGCGAGACGTCCTTGCTTTTGTAAAAGGTGTTTATTAAGTCATTCTTTGTCATTAGAGGAGCTGAATTAATGCCAGCAAGCTTATCGGTGTGAATAGTCAATGCAATCGAACGATACAAAATTATGCTCGGATATCGCAAGCGAAAATCCTACAAGCATATCGGACAGACAATGGACAGATGCACAGTTAATGTAGCGACACAATTTCCCGTTTGCCTACGCATCCTCGCATTGGACATTTTCCTTACTACAGTACATAGTACGACGCTGGACGCTGGATAGTATTTGTACTCTTTCACATACCCGCACTAACATACCTCACCTTATCAGATCCTTCTGGAATTCATTCCACATACTTACCTTAGAACGAAACTTGAAAGTTTTTCGATATTACATTAATCGCTGAGGCTAGGCATGAAATGTGACATGAAGAAATTGTCCCTCTCGTTGTAGTCGGCGCTCTTGGGCAGTCTTGGGCCTGAAGTGAGACCAAACTGGACGTATCTTATCACCAGCACCGTGGGAATATGTACTGTGTGTGTCGTTGTCGCATATAAGTACGTACTCGTTCTCATCCACGACTCCAGAAGGAAACCGCCAGCGTCTTGCTTCGCTTCATTTGTAAACCCACAAGATGTTTGGGTGGCTATTTCACCTCGGTCTGGATGCCCTCATTATCAGCGCATTCCTCGCTGGCATAAGACGCTCGACGGGCCTCACGTACGTCTATTATCCATGTCATACTTAGTGCGAAACGTTGACCCTCTATACTACTGCAGACCTGCACTGTCTCAGGTTCCTAACAAGGACATTCGTCGTGAGTCCCGGCTGCACTACTTGACCTAAGAACACTTGTTCACATGATTGTTCTCGACTAGAGCTGCTGCGATCGTATCTTGAAGTTGGTGTGTAGACTGTCTCCGGATTAGCTCTTCATTTGCTCATGTATCCTAGGTGAATACGCATTCGACTTTGCAGTCGTTATATTCGGGGTATGTAACTGGCATTATATTGTCGTATCTCCGAGTGCATGCCGCTGACAAGTACAACAGCGCTCTAGTTCTTTCGAGAGGAGGCATTGAACTTGAGTCACTGGCTTTTGCAACTTCTCGATTCCCAATATGTTCCCAATTATGCATGTCTCCTGCCAATTACGCATTGTCGATAGCGGACCGCACTCACTACTCTGTAATATTTTATTCCAACGAACACAGAATTTGCTTACAGCCTTAAGGCTTCACGAATGGCTTGCAGCAAATCAAGACATTGTTTTCTTGCGTGACCAGTTCCACCTAATATCATGCATGTTCATCCTAGGAAGTTAAACACGAAGAAGTGCAGCACAATGGAGCCAAGGGCAAAGTCTGCGAATGCTCTGGGAGAAAATGAGGGTCAATACAAAACGTATGAAAGGACGGACATACCTCTCAGGCGAGACATCCTTGAACTCGGATCTGTTTTCGGGGTTGACTTGTGCGCGGAGGGATGCAGTCAGAACAAACTGGCCCACTGAACTTGCAAATCTGTGACAAGACTCAGCGCATGTCTGACACGCTCATCACTACTACTCACCCAGCAAGGAATGCATTGAAAGGATAGTTCGTAACGAGTACACAATATGCGAATTGCAGCACCCCGCTAAGCACAATGAACGCCAAGAATGCGTCGATGAACTTGAGGCGGTCGGGGGTCTGATCAAGATACGATTTCCACAACGTCAAAACTGCGACGGAGGACGTGGGTGACGTTTTGGAGGATGACTTTGGGCCAGCCATGTTGAACGAGGGACGGCAAATACGCTGCTGACGGACGACGTGGAGGAACAGTTTCGTCCAAACAAAGTCAATCGGTGACTTGAAAAGACCCCGACCCGTCACGTTCAAAAAATATTAGTCTTTTACAACTTGCACGTCGCGTCTAAGACCTACCTCCACTTGTAGTCATTATTCTTCGCGTGGACGTATCATGAGCAGTGTCGGTCTGCGTCTAGCGTCATCAAGCGCATTGTCTGCGTGGAAGAGCACGAAATGTCCAAGGCAACTCTGGGGTGCACGCAGGCACCTGCACTCGCGAATAGAACTTCCCTACAAGGTCGATGAGGGCCTTGGAAACTTCATGTCTCCAAGGACGCTCAAAATGGTTTCCGAAGAGTACCAGCAAGGCCTGCTCGACCGGCTGAACGAGATGTTCCCTGGTAAGTGATGTTTTGCGAGTAGCTGGCCTATGACTTATGCACATACAGATGCTGCTGACCAGCGAAAGAGCGTCACACAGCTCGTGATCGATACTGCAAGCTCTGGGAAAGATGCCCTGGGCTTCTCCTACGCGAGTCACGCCCTCAACAACTCCTTTTTCCTCAACTGCCTCGTATGTCTAATTCGTCCATCTACTTCTTGCATTGCTAATTTACCTTGACAGCAAACTCCAACAGAAAAGCACTACGAAGATTTCATTCACAATACTTCCATAGCCCCAGTCATCCGCTCCCAATTCGGCAGCTTCTCGCATTTCATCAATAACTTCTCTTCCGCCGCCAGGGGGATGTCGGGGTCGGGCTACATCTGGCTTATCACGGATACCGTAGGGCAACCTTGCCATTCAGCCCACATTTGCAGCCGGCACGCTTCTCGTTCGCTCGCGTGCGTGCACAGAAAACCCTGCGGGTCAGTACGAGGTGCTTCATGAGGGCAGGTTCCGCGACGGCCCACAGCCAACGCACTTGAACACAGGGTTGGGTAGCACACCGACATCTCCCACGTCAGGCATGTCGCAGGGTCCTGCACCATTGCATCCCCTCTGCCCCTGTACGAACACTACACTCATCGCTGCGCAGCCGCCAGGATGGCGCGCGTTCTTTTTATGATAGCGAGCCCATAGAGCAGGCGTCTGGCCCTTCTACGAGGAGCCTCCGTTACTTGGGTGAAAGGATCTATCCCCTATTCTGTGTCAGCATTCACGAGCATTGCTGGCTTCTCGACCACGGAGTGTGGGGCAAGGAGAAATATATGAAGGAGCTCTGGAGCGTGCTGAACTGGAATAAGGTTAGCGAACGGTATTCAACATTCAAAAGTGCGAATGCTGGCCCTCAGCCACTGCGAATGTAGGTGGATGGAGTTGCAGGAGTTTAAAGTGTTTGGATTAATTGGCATAATTCACCTGCTCGATCTACCTAGATCTACAAAGTACATACTTATACGTCCGTTTAAACTTCCTCCGGAATGCTGTTGATTTCATCTATTGATCATAAATTGGCAGGACGTGAGGCTGCTACAGACTTAGAGCATGATCGCAAGAATCTGCGTGACACTTTTGAGGCTTTCAGACTTTGGACATGCCCAAGCTTGGTAGCTGGAAATTCGTATAACAATTTTAAAACAACACCAAAGACGATGAACAACTTGGCAAAAGGTAGATCGTGACAAGCAAGTGATATATAAATCAAATCTAGATATAGTGACGCCGAGGTGGGTGGAATCAAGGGTACTTCAAGTTGAATAAAAGGAGTGATGAGAAATGTTGTTCAAGACAAATGGGATAACGGGTATGACCTTGCAAGAAATATCGGCCCCTACAACGGAAGTCTGTCCAATAAAAGATTCATGACACCAAGGAATGCTAACGCTGAGGTAGATGCCATCGCAACGGCACCGATCCAAGCAGCCCTAAGAACTGCAGCTTGGGGTGCAGTTTCGATGATCGCATCGTATGAACCCGTTCCCCTACTAACCACGCTGGAATTGCAGTAGCATGTATCGTAGAAGTTGGAATACACGAAAATGCACGACACCACCACCCAGATGGAGTTTGCAATGGCTAATATTTTGCCCATCCTTCGCAGCCCGTGCGACAATGCTAGAGCAATGCGTGCAGACAGTGATGGTCGATGGGAATAACCTGCGGCGTAGTGCGCGAGAATACTGGACGTCAGGAGCATCATCCAAATTAAGGTCGATATGGCTCCATAGAGGAGGTAGCTCAAAGCTCGACACCCCATGCGCTGCCTGAAGTTAGCCAACCCGACCACATATCATGTATATCAAGTAAACGCACTGTCGTAGGAGTGAACCATGCCGCTATAAACGCTGATCCGACCGTTCCCCATTGCAATATGAGCGAAGCGCATGAAGCGATGGCCATTCTTGTGAAGACGCCAGGCCCCCAATGGCTGGGCTCTGCACCCAATGGCTCTGCACCACAGGGCTCTGCACAGTAGGGCTCTGCACAGTACCTGGCGATTTCCTCGGAGGACCCATATCGATTGCTGGGGTGGATGGATTCGGAAGTGTCGGACTCGACCCATTCGCTCCCAGAACGAACGGGAATACGGCATTCAGCCTTTTCTGATGCTACCTCGAACATCAGGGAGATCGCGTTGGCTGTAGATGCCCATGGCAGCGAACGCGAGTAATTAAACACTGGAGGGGTAAGGAGTTCGTCTGGAGACATCACATCCTTCTCCTTAGCAGTGATTGTTAAAGGTCTTCGTGTGAACGCAAGTGGCGTTCTCATATGAGCACCTGCTGGTCCTGGGTGCGCATGTCGGTCGGCACGATCATAAGCCGCTTGCAAGCGATCGTAATCGCATTTGGGGGAGAGCTGCAGCCATCCGACGACTATTGGAATCAACCACAGCCACAGTGAGCCAGTGGGATCACCGTCGGCTACAGAATACATATCCGCTGGTGAGTTGACTACATTCACGATATAGGCGACAACTACCCAGGCGATGGAGGTTGCGGACGCAATTGACCACGTGTGTGTGTAGTCCACCAATTCAGAGAAATATTTCCACCAGCAGTCGTTTTCCGGAAGGACAAGGAGAGAGGGGACGCGATCGAGATGGAGTCTTAGTGGGACTTGCTGCAGGCTGCTCAAGATAGAGACCACGGAACGGGAATTGGGGTAATTCGCCGATTGACGAAATTGCTGGGTAATCCAGCGAGAATTGAGGAGCGTGATGAATAAAGAGTACCCAGCAAGTGCCGGTGACCCAACGGTTAACACAGCAGACATGAGATTGTCAAGCCTGTACTGTGCCCCAAAGGGGAGCTGCGAAATCAATGCAAGGTTGGGCAGTAGCCATGCACTGAAATCTTGCGAAAATACAGACCACTGAAAAGGTTCTTGTCCGGTCCCACAGGCAGAGGTACACAGCGAGTAGCTGATCGATGTCGCATCAGAAGCATTCGAAACGGGGCCTCCGTCGCCATTGAGTAGACCAGTTAAATTCTGGGTAGCATTCGCATTCGCATTCGCTACAATGCCAATCAGACATTGAGTGAAGTTGACTCCAGCTACTTGTTGGACAGCGTGCACCAGTAGTAGGAGACCTAGGCAGAAGGAATGAATGAGAAAATAAAACCCACTCATTGCACTTACATGCCAGCTGAGAGCCTGTATGCAAGCGCATGCAGTGTTATTGGCCAATAGTGCACGATACTGTATGATTTTCGTTGAAGAAATTAACATCGATTCCTTGATATGCTTGACTGAAAATGTCTCACCCGGATGGTCTGTAGGAATGTCACTGTCAAAATACATTTGAGAGTGGGCCACCAGTGTGTTTTATGAATCATTGTGATCGGTGGCTTCTGTCTACTATCGTGTGAAGAGTGGGCGTCTTGTGCGTTAAATCCCTGTGTCTGTCAAGGAAGGCGCTGGATAGAATTATCAGTATTACCAAAAACGAGCGTGTCATTGTACAAGAGGCAAGAAACGAGCGAACGCGGTTCTTGAAGAAAAGACGAAAACGGCGAGAATGTCGGTGCTCCGAGCACCCGTGACGTCGTTTGCATGTAAGCGGGTTCCTGTTCCTGGTCAACAGCGAACTTCGAAGCAATCAGATGATGTTCGTCAGAAGATATAGTTGCCATCTTCGGTGCACGGCATACAGCCTCATGATAGGCGAGTGAGCTCGAGTGAGCCAATTTTTCCCCAACTCCCATGTTAGTGGGGGCTTTGAGGGACTTTGGACAGTCTTGACAGTCGAACACAAATGTATTGCTGGCGTTTTCGCCGCTTTCGGGTGGACCCGCATTAATTCAATCCAAGGCAGAAAGAACCCCAGTAGATCCAAGGAAACCACAGAAAAAATCCAATGCCAGATAATATAAGCGATGATGAGCGTACCACTATAGAGTACTGTAACTGCTTAGAGAATTTGTGGCGGAACTTGAAGACAATTACTCTAAAATTTCAGTTCGATTCGAAGACGACGGTATAATCGAACAAGTGCGGAGGTGGGTGCATGCATGGGGCGTTCCTTGCTATATTATGATATCTGTTTAGGCGGACGCGGCGGGTATCTTAAGAGCGTCATTCAACCCAGGCTGCATCATCTTGGTCTGATCAGATTCGACGACGTGCTTGATACTTTTATTGGCATTAGTACTCACTTGTTTTGAAAATTAAAACTTATTGGCACCTTATGTAAATCCACTCATTCACTTGTCCCAGCTCGTGCCCTGGCAATTCCCTGGTTTTCGCAAGTTATACAAGTAAGCGCGTGATTCAGAAGCTCCCACAAGGGCAGAAACGCAGACAAGCGAGAGTGATGAGCTTCATCGGATCAGCTTCGGCTGAGCACATTCGTTTGGTCAGACCCCCAACCACTGCTTGAGAGAGCCAATGTCTATACATAAGTAAGATATTGACAAGGACGGGAAAGTGACAATCTCGCTTGTTTCGAACATTAAAACTTATTGGCACCTTAGAGCCTGGACAGCTGCTGTTTATTTTGAGTGTGTTTCTCAGTTTGTTTCTGTATGTGGCGTGGCAATGTGTGACTTGCGGTGATAATCAGTGACGCATTCGTGACATGTCCATGAGATTGGCTTGCGGCGTAGTGTACCGTGGATATCCCTGGAGAAATTGGGGGTCAGTTATCCACCGGCGGCAAAAGCCGGGCCGGCGGATCCGGGCGCTGCAAAAATTTTCAATCCATAGCGCGTTTTCGCGAAATTTGCATTCATTCACCAATACTAAGTGAAGATATATTATGTAGCATCTATACCATGCCCAGTCTGCCTCTGTCAAGACCCTCTCTTGCACACAGGTGTGTGCTGGTGGAAGAATGACAGTGTTTCTCGGTGTTGCAGGTACCAAATCCTTATTAGCAAGCACATCAGCTAGTTTCCCGGAGTCGAGATTAATGATACTGGCAGCATCAAAACCTTTGCTGTTTAAAGAATCCACTTTACTTGAACCATCTTCGGCTATATCCTCAGGGTCAGTGACATCCGAGTCTGAGTTGTTATCCTTGTCAGGTGCTTCAACCTCATCTGTGAAATCATTGTCCATGTCAGAAGTTTCATTGTTGTCATCACCTTCCTTCCCTTGCTTGCGCTTGCCACCAAAAATGGTTGATAACATATCTTGCCATCTGACAGTTGGTTTCTTTTTTGGAGGTGGTGCCTAGTATCAATGTCTGTGAGTCACAGATACTGTCAATCACAGGTCATTGAAACACCACAGGTCATTGAAACACATCCTTGTTTACTCAACAACCACACAAAATATATGTCTCAAAATATTTGGAATGCATGAAGATCCTGTAGACCTCGTCTGTTGTCAAGTTTGAAGCAAACTTAATTTGAGAAAATGCTGGAGACAGAAAGAATGGGTGCTTACACAGCGCCAAATTTGGTAGTTTCAAAATTTCACCATCCAGTCTCAACTCAGAACACTCATATTTTGTCAAAATATTGCATGTATCAAGTCTAATAGCATGGTGGCTACATGGAGAGCATACTCTTGTTGAAATTTGAATGATATAGCACATGGTACAGTTCAAGGAAGGTTTTTCAGGGTCCACATCAATGATGTGCAATAGATAGCTTACATAATGATGGATAAGGAAATAATATGGTGTTTCATTCAGTGAGAAATACTGAAAACAAGGTCCCTCCACTAAATTTGCCATGGTGCTCAAACTACTGGGAATCTACTCATAAAAATTATATAGGTCTACTTGTGAGATGTCTGTTTATATGGGAAAAATACAGTGGAGCCTCAGAGTTGTGATGTGGCGGTGTAGCACATCAAATATCATTTTTGCATTTCAATGACCTGTGATTCACTGTAGTAAATGGAAATTTTAATGTACACTCATATCAGGATCATGTTTGTACCAACTACAAATTTGGACTGTCCTAACAAGTGTTTTCACCTGCTGCTGACTGCGAAGGGGTGAGTTGAGCCAAGTGAATGTTGAGCCGGTCTGCTTGTCAGTGTCATATACCTGATCTGACCGCTCTGATGATATTAATATCTGCTCTGCCTGACCTCATACTTTCCCTGCTTTCCTACCACCTCCGCTCTGTCTGTCCTCTGCTTGACCTAGTTGGCCCCTACATCTGCTCCTGCACTTCTGCTTGACCGCTGTAGTGAATTACAGGTATGAGTGGATGGGAGGGATGCTAGTTAGAACAATAATCTCAGTCTGTAGTTGGAACTCTTTATTACAAGTCATGTACCTAGTTAGAACAATACTAGTGACTCATTAACTCATTGTATCGCATCTGTAAAATAACGGGTACTCATGTTAGGTACCGTGCCGGGCTCAAGAAGCAGAGGGGTTGGGGCTTGGCTTCAGCTCTTGTGCTGCGCCCTTAGCCGAGTACGTTCCCTGAATTTGGAGTGGGTCTGACATTGTCCAATGGTAGGACAATGTCATATCCCATACATCTGGATCCGGAATTCCGGATCTACTTCATTAAAGTCCGGTCCTCCATCCTGCTATTCTGCCCAGCACTCCGCCTTCATCTCCGCACTCACCCCTAACTCCTTTTAGATTAGCTATTGCTCTGGTTACCGGTTATGTCCTATTCCGCTATGCTTACTGATCCGTCCATTCTTACTTCATTTCCGACTTCACTGCTTTGATCTGTTACACTTAGTAATAGACTTTCCACATGCTTCGTACATAGCCCTTACCTTTGCTGACTGATTTACTTACATGATACCTACAGTATATAAACCCCTGTAATACTCTGGAACTCCTTGGTTCAAATATCATCTTAGTTCTGCTCATTCCTGCAATCTCCAGACTTGAGTCTCATCTCTTGTCCACCTCCGAGTCTTAGGGGTTAAACCTTAGGACTAATCCTCTGGCTCTACCTTAGGGTAGTCTAACCTCTGTTCTGTTTCTACTCTGGACTTCTGTGGTAGCCTTACTCCATCCCCACATAGTCTTCCAGAGTTCCGCCGAACTCCACCAATGTTTGTTCTCCGGAACTCCCTGTATTTCTGTCGGACTTCCCCTCTGCCCACTGGAAATTAAGGGCACATACTCAGGTAAGGGGCACAGCGCACGAGCTGAAGTCGAAGCCCTCTGAGTAACCTCCCCCTTGAGCATGACCTTAACAGACAAGTAGACTGCTTTGGTCCGCTTTGAGGGTCAGGAGGTAAGTGATATTAGCGGCGGGCTGACTAGGAGCAGAGCGGAGAAGGTGGAGGATAGTGTGGAGGGTGGATAGGAGCAAAGGGGGATTATTGATAGAGGCGGAGAAGTAAGGGGGAAGACTTTAGAGCATGGCTCTAAGTTGGAGCGGAAAGTTGGAGGTGACAACAAGATGAAGCTTGTGTCTGGAGGAGGCAAGGTCCTACTGAGAATTCTCACAAGTAGAAACTGCAAGAAGACAAGTAATATTAAGACTGAGGAAAATATCTAAGTACAGGATATGTTATATACTTCTAAGTGTGAGGCAGTGATTAGGAGAACTATGTTGTAAAGCTATGTACCAAGGATATAATTTGTAAGTACTTACACAGGCGAAGACATAAGTTGGAGTGAATATCAATATGTACACATCGGATCAGTGATTGAGCGGTAAGAAGAGTTACCGGTGATCCGGAAGTAAGGGTCTATGTACCGAAGGGGAAAGTATATGTCTAAAAGGGGAAAGAGATTCCAGTTGAATGGAGATGTTATAGAAGGGGACCAGTCAGGCGGTTGAGCAGAAGCGTAGGAGCTAGAGTTTTAAAGTCTGGTTGCCAGACTGAAAAAAAGACCGGGACCAGACCAAAACTGGACTTTTTTGAACTGGACTTCGGTTGTGGTCCCTGGAACATCCAAACACCAGTGGTTGCAGTTGCTCAGAAATCCAGCGGTATGGGCAACTGACCAAGACTGACTGCAACCGGTCTTTTATGAACCGGTTGCCAGTCGAGGCAAGGCGTAATGCAAAAAGTATGTACTACAACAGACTATGAAAATCAAGTAATAACTAGCTCATCCTTGTCACACTCCCAGTCAGACACCTCACCATCAAGCCACAATAGTTCTTCAAAATCTTCGAGTATGATATCTTCAATGACAACTGAATTATCAGCAGCATGGTTGGCAACAGAACCCCGCCACAGAAACTTCAAGACCTGCATCTGTTCAAAATGCTCAGCACCTAAATGTGAGCACCGATCAGTGGCAGTCTCTCCACCAGCCAAGAATAACCGTTCACATGGAACAGATGAAGCTGGGATAGCACACACATCCATTGCAATTCGTCCAAGGATCAGGTAAGTAGAAATGTGTTTCTAATGAAATGAATTAATTTGCTAAAAACATGCATAATTGAAAACAACTTACCAACCACCAGTTAACGACATCAGTGTCTTTCAACACATCATCTGGAACATCACTGAGATAATGGTGAAGCTCAGCATGCCAGTCTGCATGATGATCACGGGATGCCTGTTCCACCAGCATACAACGGTGATGATCAAACTCAGATTCAATAATGCGGGAGTTGGACTTGGCTGCTGTGATGATGGTATGGGCAGGTGCCTTGGGTCCATGCTTCATATATTCTGTCATAGTCGACTCAACTACTTTCAGGGCCTCGTTACACCAATCAACAGCATTCAGATTCCCCACAGCATGCTCCGCTGCCTGCTCTTCAGGACCGCCCCACTGCATTGTAATGTATGCAAGCTTGTAGTATGGGTGGAGGACTAAATCAAACAGTTAGTGTAGCCATGTGCGCATGCAGAAACTAGGATGCACCGAGAGCAAGCACATAGACAGGCTTGTTGTCAAACTTTTTGTAATACTTACCAAGCTTGTCGAGACCTTTCTGGATGGCACCTTTGTACATCTCATACTTTGGTAAATCATGCTTCACCCCCCATGCAGTCTGAAGCTCCTTGATGGCAGGTATAGCATGCCAGAGTGTAGGTTGTTTTTCAGATGAGAAATACTGCTGAATATTATCAGTGTCCTATAATTTAAACAATTAGTGTGTGCGATAAATGATAAGAAATGAACTTACTGCAATAATTTCTCGTGTATTGTTCACACGCTCCCAGTTGGCACTCTTGAAAGTGAATGTGGACCAAGGTATCTTCTTGATGAGTTTTCCATTGCGTTGAATGGTTATTATTGGTCCAAAGAGTTCGTCGGCAGTGCTTATAAACAAGTTAATGGGCTGTGAGATAATTCAGCAAGCATTGGGAGAAAAAAAGACTGGGACGTACATGTCTCAGTGCATAAGCATGACTGAGCATGCTGTCTGCCGTTCCCCATCTGACGTTGCTGTGCAAAGGGATCTTGAGGACCTTGTCAATGCCACTGTTTTGTTGCAGGGTCTCGAAGTATTCTATGCGCTGCCCAGAACATTGTATCTTTGCAATAGGTCAGATTAGTTACAGTAACGAATATATAACAAATAACGTACCTTGATGGCAATAGTACAAACCACAGCGACAATGTCCAGAGAGTTTCCAAGAACCCAATTGCTAGAATTAGTAGGGTCGAATTCCCAGATAGCAGTGCTAGTCTCTACATTGGCAATGCATGTGATTGTGGACATGAGAGCAACGACGCCAAGGTTGACAACGTGAGCTAGACATGGGAGACAGTTTTGAACTGTGTCGAATGAATATATGTTTTGGCAATGGAGGATGGTCTCAATTGTGGAACATGTGGTGTCATTGTTTGAGGTATTATCTGCTGTGATGCAGAAGAGCTGCTGAGCTTGTGAGCAAACACTATAATATAAACAAATCTATCATTGCATACCTTAGATGACTGGCTCACCACAATCCCAGCATGCTCACATAAACCAATGAAGTAATGCCCAAAATTGTCCCCACTATGAGCCCCCGAGATGCCTTTGAATGCAATAACTTGTGCCTGAAGAGTCCATCCACCAGTTGCATCGTCCACCTCAATTCAGTGTGCAGTAAGTCCAAAAAATGCAGCCTTAGTTTGGTCAACAGACCAGAGGTCTGTTGTTGTTGAGATGCAACCACTGTTGGCAGACTTGAGTTAGTCAGTAGCTAGTACTAGTGCACTATGATAATAAAAATCATCTACCTGAATATCAGACTTTAATTGCACAAAGAAATCCAGGAAGGCACTGTGGATGTAAGTTGTAATGTCATGCACTGAGGGAATATCGGCCTTCATAGCAGCTGGCCGCATTGTGACTGAACAGTTCCTAAAGGTGGCCTTGTTTGCCACAGCCAAAGACTGTTGAGTCAGCATCGTAGTTCAGTAATTGATCAATATCAATGGCTAATCAGTGCTCACCTGATCATCACAGACCACAAATTTTGCAACCGCATGCAGGACATCCTCTCTTGAAAACTGGTGTAACTTTGAGGCCTTCAGAAACATTCCATCTAGCTTCTTCTGAACATTCTTCTTCTTTGCTTCTTCCTGGGCTTGTACTGATGCTCATGGAAGTACATGATGGTTCTCGCATATCCCCAATTCTGCACACTTTTTCTTGTATACATTGTAGTGGCTTTGGATATGCTGACAGCAAGATGAATTACTGCCAACGTGAACATCTTCCGTTTGCCATTTTCTGCAATGAATTGCACATCTTCCCTTAACACTGCAGGTGAGTATTCTAATATTTCTCAGAGTCAATATACTAATTTGCATATATTGCACCAGTGCCCCCACTTTGTCTCCACCTTGCTGTCTGTTCTGATAAACCTGACAGTACATGCGTTTGAGAATATAGTGAGTAGATCATTGGCGCTACTTTTCTTTGTCTTTATTCCTTTGGGGAGTGCGGCACGATGGACATCTTCAAGATTGATACCATCAGTGTCCTTTTTTCAGTTCGTCTTGAGCTAATATCATTATATTCAGAACAAAAAACTAACCTCATCACAGTCCCCATTTTCTTCAACCATTTCCCCAGTGCTATTGACTGTCCTACTAGTATGCTCATCCACTATGTTGATGGTCTCCCGGGGCCGTATGTCTTCCTCAACTTTGACTTCGACATCTTTGAAGCGCCGTGCATGTTTAGTTGCCACCTTCTTCGAGGTACATTGTGCCTGTATGATTCTATCATCTGACTCTATGTCTGATCGATCCTCGCTACTGGTTATAGCCTTTCTCTTTCCTGTCTTCTTTGATGATGGCTTTGACTTTGGTGAATGAGCTCGTGCAGTTTTCATATTATGAGAATGTGATACATTGGGTGCCACACTGGCCTTTTCGGTCGGTCTTATGATATGAGTGGATTTTCAATGGCCTGACATGATGATAGAGGGAGGATGGTGCTGGTAGACTCAGTTTAGTGACTATGTAGGCTACAACACATGTTAAATGCATGTAGTAGGTACTATAACATTGACTCAACATTGGTTCAAATCGGTCTCTACTGGTCTTAGACCAGTTGCAACCACAACTGGTCCAGACCGGTTGCAAAATCATACAACTGCAACAGCAATTAGTCTTCACAAGTCCAGTTCAAGGTCCAACTATAATGTCATTTTTCCAAGACCAGTTGCATCAAAATTACCAAAAAAACTGAACTTAACTGGACTTTAAAACTCTAGTAGGAGCGGATGCGGATGGTGATTGGATGGAGCGGAGGATGGATGGAGTGGAGGTGATCGGAAAGCGGAGTGGATATTGATACCGGAGCGGTCGGATCAGGTATATGACAACTCACATCTCAGTCTGTAGTCAGAACTGAGATGCTCGTGTGGACCAGCTCATAACTTTATAGTATGTAGGATGGAAACAAAAATAAAATGATCGAGAGATGGAATATTTAAGTGGTACGAACCAACATCAAAGCGTTGTTTGTCCATCACTCCTTTTATTGCGCTCGCACTGACATCTCAGATCCTTTGGACAGCACAAGTTATCATTCAGATCATTCGGAGTCCAACACTCCCCCTCGAGTGCAATCCAGGCTCATTGTTAGGTACCGTGCTGACTCAAGAAGCAGAGGGGTCGGGGCTTGGCTTCAGCTCTTGCACTGCACCCTTAGCCGAGTACATGCCCCAAATTTGGAGTGGGTCCGATGTTGTCTGACGATAGGACCAGTGGACCACTTAGGTCCACTTTGAGGGTTGGGAGGTAAGAGCTACTAGTGGTAGGCCAACTAGGAGTGGAGCGGAGAAGGCGGAGGATAATGCAGAAGGTGGAGAGGAGCAGGGGGAATACTTGATAGGGTCAGAGAGGTAAAGAGAAGACTTAGAGCGCGGCTCTAAGTCGGAGCGGAGGGTCGGAGGTGACAACAAGGTGAAACTTGTGTCCAGAGGAGGCAAGGTCCTACTGAGAATTCTCACAAGTAGAAACTGCAAGAAGACAAGTAATATTAAGACTGAGGAAAAATATCTAAGTACAGGATATGTTATATACTTCTAAGTATGAGGCAGTGATCAGGATAACTATGTTGTAAAGCTATGTACCAAGGATATGATTTGTAAGTACCTACACAGGTGAAGACATAAGTCGGAGCGGATATCAATATGTACGCGTCGGATCAGTGATTGAGCGGTAAGAGGAATTACTGGTGATCCGGGAGTAAGGGTCTATGTACCGAAAGGGAAAGTATATATCTAAAAGGGGAAAGCGGTCCCAGTTGAATGGAGACATTTATGGAAGGGGACCAGTTGGACGGTCAGGTGGAAACATAGGGGTGGATGTGGATGATGATTTGACGGAGCGGAGGTGGTCGGAAAGTGGAGTGGATATTAATATTGGAGCGGTCGGATCAGGTATATGACACTCATTTGAGCTCTGAGCTTCTGTAGACGGGGGCAAGGTAAGCCTTTGGTGAACGTGTCTGCCACATTGTCTTCGCTGGGGCAGTAGAACAATTGGAAAGTGCCATCCTTTATGTGGGCTCGGATGAAGTGGTACTGAATGGCTATGTGCTTGGTGCAGGACTGGAATTTTTTCATTCGATGCCAGGGCGATGGCAGCCTGGTTGTTGCAGTAGATGGGACTCAGGAGAATTTGGGGCTCATACAGTTCTTTGGAGAGATACTGCAGGTATAGTAGCTCTCAGGCAACAGTTGTTAGCACTATATATTCTGCCTCAGCAGTTGATAAAGCGATCGAGGGCTGCTTATGTGTGCTCCAAGCGATGGGGCCACCATTCAGCAATACAATGTAGCCCGACATCAAATGCTGATGGGGCTGGGACGCCCAGTCCACATCAACAAACACCTCAAGACCTCCATCTGTGGAGCCAAGGGTGAGTTTGAAGTGCGCTGTGCCTTTTAGGTAGCACATGACTGCACTTCGCTCCCTCCCAGTGTGCCTTTCCAGGGTTGTGCATAAATTGGGAGAGGGTGGTGACTGCAAAAGAAATATTGGGGCGAGTGCTGGTAGCGGCATACATAAGAGAACCGATGGTGTGCTGGTATGGGACGTCAGCCATGGCTTGCAGTTCAGCATGAGTGGAGGGAGACTGATCAGCAGATAGGATAGTGCCTGGCATCCATAGGCATCTGAGCACTCTTTGCATCAGTCAGGTTGAAGCGCTCTAGAACTGTGTCAATATATGCCTTCTGGGACAGGCTGATGGTCTGTGTGATGCGGTCGCAGGTGACTTTCAAACCTAGAAGCCAACTCAACTTGCCTAAGTCAGAGATTTTGAAGAACTCAGCGCAGTTGCAACTTGAACCGCTGAATGTGGGAAGTATGGCTAGAAGGTGACGGCCATGTTGTCGATGGACACAGGTCACAACTGTGTGTTCCTGTGAGGTACATTTAAAATAGACAGCTTGGTCAACCTTCAAGTGACTGAACCCAATCTTCAGGAAAACACTGGCCAGTTCTTCCACCCATTTGAACCCTGCTTGCTTCAATCCTGGCAAGCTTCTCTTCAAGCTGCAGCACCTTTCCCTTCTCTCCTTCCTTCAAGTACCCAGGTGGCACCCTCATATAAATATCCTCTTGGACATCTGCATATAGGTACTGCACTTTTGATGTCTACCTGGTGTATCTCCCAGTCGCACTGAGCTGCCATCATTAGCACCGTCCTGGATGGTTGTCATGTTGGAGGTAGGTGCAAATGTATTGAAGTAGTCGACCCCATACTGCTGACATTGTCTGTTCGCCACGAGATGGGCGTGCAGCTTCAGCTTCTCTCCGTCTGGTCCTCACTTGGTAGCCAGAACAAAATGACATGGAATTATGTTAGTGCTGCGCGGTGAGTCAACCACTTCCCATGTTCCAAGCTTTTCCAGCTGACTGATCTCATAGTCGACTGCCTCTTGCCACTCCTTGCCGTCCAGGCCATTCAGGGCCTACTGAAGGGTAGGCTCAGGTTGGACAGCCACTAGGGCATACTGGTGAGTGACTTCCTCCTGCTCCTTCAAGGCTGAGTCTTCTAGTTCGAAGATTTTGGCGGCCAACATTGCTCTCTCTCCCTTGTTAAGGGCAGCAAAGTATCCTGGAGGTGGGTGTACTCAGGTTATTCTTGGCACGGTGTGGGGAACATCCCCACTGTAGGCCCGTATCCCATATAATTCCCAAGCCTTACCAGCATTTTCCCGTGCATTCTGCTACTGTTCCACTACCCATCCGCATCTTATCCGACCCATCCGCTACATGGAACCTAGCGGAACAATCACACACCACGCGCATCATATCCCTTTAGACTTCGGAATGTCCTCCTCCATCCTGTCCCCGTCCTTCCATCCTCACTGGTGAGTACTAGCTATGTTCCCCGTGTTACTGACATGTTCCTATCTCATTTCATATGTGTTACAATACTTATACGGATCCTTCTGCTACTTGGAACCGGTTCCTTATCTCACAGCCTCACCCGGGTGTAGCATAGTGCTTTTCGGAACCCCTTCCTATATAGATAGCAATAGATGGGATCTTAGTTTTTTACCTTTTGATAGACCCGACTCCACTTCCACTTACAGAGTACTTCCCAGTACTCCACTCACTGTTTAAAATATCTTCCTGAATCTATTCCTGATCTCATCACAATGTTCCCGCCTCTGTGAGTTCCGGTCAAAACACCCAACATCAGATCTGACGACTTGGAGCAAGTACCAGACACAAGCCTGGTCTGACTTTGCCCAATCATCCTGCAGGCTCATAGTTTCCTTTTCCCTCCGTTAGTTCCATTTGTTCGCCATTTGTTCCGTCTGTTCTGCATTAGTTCCACTTGTTGTGTGTAGTTCCGCTTGTTGCGCATTAGTTTCACTTGTTGCGCGTTTGTTCTGTTCATCACACGCTTTGTTCCACTCGTCACGTACCCTCCGTATCAGTGTGTTCCAAGTCCTAGTAAGGACCGGAACCCTTCGGGTCACTAGACAGAGTCTAGTCTTTGCTTTCCTCGCACTTACTTGAGGACCCACTACCCAGTAGCAATCCCCTCAGGACAAGTATTAGTC